AGGAACGCTTGTCGAAATGCTCTGTACAGGGCAACACATTCCTTGAAAGGTGAGGATGGGGACAGGACGCCAAAGAAACAAAACATCAGAGGCCAGCCGTCTTGTCGCCTGAAGGGCTCCGCTCCTTGGTGGCACGGGCACAGTCAAGGTGGGCTTGACTGCCAGACGATCAGATCCGGCGAGTCAGGATGGTCCCTGTTTCTTGACCAAGTTTCTCGCCTGACGTTCCCTGTCGATTTCTGATCCCTTGGTCTCTCTTGTTGCTTTGTTGCTGTGTCTCCAATTGTCTCACTATCAGGTATCCGGGGGATCAGGGATCCTACAGCAGTAAGACCTGCTGTATGTCGTAGACAGAACGGGAATCGGCGGATGGGCCTCTGTTGGTGAATGGGTGTGGTGTGTTCTCAGCAAGTACGGAGTACGGAATATGTCACGGTGGAGATCCGAACAGAAACAACGTGAGGGATGCCAAAAGCTGTCTGAGGACAGTGAGGAAGTGACGAAAGAACGAGCAAACGGGGGACGGTTGTGGCTGCTGTTTTGGTCTGTGACGCGACCCCCATCATAAAACTGAGACACGCTTTTGAGCTTGGAAGGGAAGGAGCGGCCGACAAGGCAATTTCCTGACTAGGACGGGAGCTCCCACGGCCCCGTAGTCATCTACAGGGAACGCTTTCCCCTTTTCCGACCATCGCTCCTTCTTCGACTTCTCTTGTATTTTGCTCTTTCCTTTTTTTTTTTTTTTTTTGTCCAACGGCAGACCCGCACCAAAGCTTTCACGGACGAATAAACGGCGACGGCTCCATCGTGACTTCCTATTTTTCCACTCTCTCTCTCGTCCTCTTCGTTCTTGATCTCACTTGGTTTGCCTCTTTCACGCGGGTTTCCTTCGTATTTGCCATTTGCCTTCTTGTACCATGTTAACCTAGGAGGGCAGGCGCTAGTGACGCCGCTAGGCAAGGGAGACTTCCCCGGCATACGGGGCAGGAGCGACTGTACCGAGACCAAGTGTGTCGTCTCGTATTAGCATCCGCCGCTGGTGTGCTTTAGCGCGTCATCTCGCAGAGCAGGACCTTGTTCGCCCTTTCCTCTTCTTCCTGCTATGCACTGATACATAAAAACGCCAAAACGCGTGTGCATCGTCAAATTGGACCGCGTTCGGGCCCTATCACTTAAGTATTCCGTGCTTGGTGCGTCCTATTCAGTACTTCTCGTTGCAACACGTCGTATGATGTGTGTCCCGCTTTCATCAGAGCAGCTGGGCCTCGCTGCATGCGCCCTATCATGATCTTGCCCGCCAAGCGCCGCTGCAATTTGGCTCTCGGCATTCCATCTGCCATCTGTTGTTCTCGCTCGTACGTTTTGCATATCTCGCATGTTTTTGCATCTTTTGCACGTCTTGCTGCCCGATGCTGCCCATTCTGTTCCTTTGACTCCATCGCTCCCGCGCCAGCGTTCGGTTCTTCTACATCGTATCTGATGACCATTTACCCAGCGACACAAGCCTCTGGTCCGCATCGCACCTCGGCTGCCAGACGGTCTTGTTTCAGTCCCCTGATAGTGAAGAACAGTACTCAAATGGGCAAAGACGAGCACAGAAACTGGTCAAGCCAAGACCGGGTCTGGGCTGGGCTGGGCTGGTTCCAGGTTCCAAACCCGCGGTAGAGCTAGGACGAAAAGGATGAAGAGCGCGAGAAACCTGGGAGAGAGGGCGATATCCACTGAGAGCGCACATTTTTGTGCTTCCTCTGGTCCGTGCCTGGTCCGTCCTCTCCCCTCCATCGCCCCTTTGCGCAGATTTGACAGACGGCATATCCTTGCAAGTTACAGGGGCCCAGTGAGCATCGACAGACGGCCCCGGCCTTGGTCCAGTGCAAAGGCCCGGCTGCCGCGCGTGGGCCGCGAGTGGAAGAACGGAGACAAGTGCAAAACGGATACAGGAAAAGGGCATGTAAAACTGAAAGTCTGAGATGTCAATGGGGGGACAGAGGAGAACAAAAAAAATAAGGGGGGCTGGGCATCCACTGGTTTTGACAGGGGTGTCAGGACTTACTATCTGATTGGTCACAGCTGCCCAGGGTCGAGATTGCGGCTACGACTCTAGAGCCTGTCGTTTTGTCGACGGAGTCCTTTTTCGTTTTCAACCCTCCCTTGTCCAGACACCTTTTTCTTTGCTCTTTTTGTTTTTGCTCATACTTTAACCCTTTTCAGGGTTCCGTTTAATTAGAAACGCGAAAATCACACTCTTTTTCTGTGATGGCGTCGCAAAGGCGCGATAGCGCGTCGGAGAAAGTTTAAGTGAAATACGACGCTGCGGGTGTCTTGTGACAAACAACGGGAAAACGATGGCTTGAGTTTCGGTTCCTTTGTCTCGCTTGTCATGACAAGAGAAATTCGTCACTTAGACCATCCTGAGTGGCGTTCGACGATCCACTCCTTTGACGGAGTTCAGCAGGATACCTATGTTTGGAGGACATGGCTCGAGATGGCATCTGTCAGTCTGTCAATCCTGTCGTGCACTTTACATGTAGCCAGCCGCACTTCCAGTTGGTTGATGCCGTCCAAGGGAAGCAAATCAAACCAGGGACTGACCTATAGTCTACCGTGTGGATTTTCCCTGGTTCGTTCTCCCGGGCTCGAAACGATCTATTGGCCCTTTTACGGCACGGCCAATTAAAATAAAAAAAAGGAAAATAAAAAAGGAAAAGGAAACACAGCGCAGGTGACAAAACCATTCGCTTGTAATTCGTACACCGACGAGTGGCTTGTGGACGCCCGATGTGTGGCATATGATGCCCTGTTAGGGTGTTGGAAAAGAGGTTGCCGGGGCTCCCTTGCATCGACAAATGTCTAGTCACCAACAAGATCGTATGGATATGTGTCAAAATCATCCAAAATGCAAAGAGAAACTAGATGGATGGCTGTCAGTTATGCCGCGCCGGTGCTTCCCAGGTTGGCGTTTCCCGCTTTCTGTACCACTTACATATAATATTGCGAAACATCCCGCAAATGGCGGTCAGGATAAGATGCCTCAAATACACCTCAACACAACCCCTGCGGATGTAAGGAGAGAGCATCCGCAAGAAAACGAGAGGACATGATCGACTCTTTGGTTTGTAAAGTTCTTCCATTTTCTAACTGAGACAAGAAATATCCACGATGTTGCATAAACTTTGCACATCCAGAGCAGGAGACTGCAGTTGACAGCTAGCAAGGTGAGCGTTACTGTGTGTGATTGGCCAAAGCAGGTTTCTTTGCAGCTTCCACCGTGTTTCTCTCCGAGGCATCTTTCCTTCATCTCCGCTGAATCTGTTCCTCCCCATGTCCCTTGCTTCTCGCATGCGCAGGTCTCACAGTCATGTGTTTCTGGACGACGTACCCTAGTACACGGAGTCCTCCGTAGAAGCCCCGGGAGTACAACTTAGAAAGCCCATTGGGCTGCCAATCTTGTCTTTCTCCTTACCACCACATAAAAGGCAAAAAGAAATAACAAGACACGCCGAGTGACAGACAGAAGCTGAGAGCGGCTGAGCAATGCATGCACGGCGAAAAGCAATGTGAGCAGGGGAAAGATAGAAAAACAGACAACGGTGGTCGAAATGCAGAGTAACGGTGGGCGTCGACAAGGTTAAAAAAAGACTCACCTGGGACCTGGTCCAAGCCAACGGCAACATGCACCTGCTGCGTGCCGACCGATATGCATGCACTGTAAGACTGTACGATGAACGATGAACGATGGGAAGAAGGGGGATCGAGCGGAGGCCGAACTGTGCGCAAAAATGGAGGCATGCAGGCACGCGGCGCAAAAATAAGGACCAAGAAAGTGGATAGAGCGTGCAAGCAGCCACGGGTGGGATCGACCAAGGTGCCAGGCGAAGGAAACATAAAAAATAAGTGTCGAGCTGTCAGCGCACAAAAGGTGTGTGCAACCGGAAACTAGAGCTTGTCCTTTTGTGGAGCTATGATAGCCCGAGCAAGGTAGAATACGTCAAAATATGAATAGGGACGTAAAAAGAAGTGAAAGGGAAACGACAAAAGATCATTGGCAAGACGGTGATTCGTATAATCACTGTCCAGTGGTTATGGATAACTGGTGCATTTAGAGTGACAGAACATCACTGTCCGTGGCGAGAGGAATCGGAAGACGGCGAATCAAGATTGCCTGGTCCGTGGATTGAAACGTCGCGACCAGATGGGAACGAAGGACGGTACCCGGTAGTGTTTGCATCGTCCATCGTTTCTCCCTTTCACAAATATGGTACAATGACTTTGGAAGATGGCCGAGTAAACGAACCAGAATTACTCCCTGCATGGAGTAGAAAAATAACAAGAAAGCTCGTAACGACATATCAAACAATGTGTGTCTTGTCATCCGACGGAGAGGCAAAGGCAAACGTGGCAAGCAGTTGCGTCGTGCAAATACACGGATCGTGATCGTACTAAGTACACATAAAAATATATAGTTATAACTTGTATTATTATATTTTATTTTGTTTCGTATTTCAAATGTCTGGATTTTCCCATTAACCAATTTTTCACAACAACAAAAGAAAAAACCTAACGTCAATTCTTAACAAGATTTCAGCTCATTCAATGCATTAATCGATTTTAATGACAAAGACAAAGATCGAAATGTAAACAAACACACAGCGAACCCCATGAACCGAAAGCAAATTCCCCAGAATCCAAAACCAATATGTGCCGCCCAGTTTTTTATGAAATATAGATGGTATGTAAAGAGATGAGAAACAAATATGCCAGCCCAGGTACAAATAAATATTGGAGATACGCTACACGGCAAAAACAAGAGCAAGAGGGGGCGTGCCGGTGCGAAATGCAAACGTACAGAAAGATAAACCAGAAAACCTCCATGCGGTCCATCCCCGCAACGAAAAGAAAACAAGAGCCGAGAAACCGTGAAACCAAAAACGAAAGGATATTAGGTAGTAGTATGTATAAAAGGATAGGCAACGAGGGTCACGCGGCAAGGCCAGGATATCCTAAGATGCCAGGTTCGTCTGCGACAGGTCAAAGCCGGCAAACCCGTTGTTGTCAATGGGGCTCTGTGCGCCGCTGGGCAGGAACACGGAGTAGTCCGTTCCGGCCTGCAGCTCCTCCGTGAAGCTGCCGTAGCTGTGGTTCCGGCTGATGCCCTCGTGGATGGAGCCGCCGTGGATGGACCCGTAGGAGCCGCCGCCAACCGACACGCCCGTCGGGCTGACAGTGCCGTCGTAGACCACGCCATCGAGGCTGTTGCCGTCGTAGGCCACGGGGCCAACCTCAAAGGCGGCGCTGTCGAGGGCGCTCGCGTCAAACGCAAACGGCACAGCTTGGCCATTGGGGCCCGTCGTTGACGCAAAGTGGTGGCTGTGGTTCATGGACGGTATGATGTGGAAATCGTCGCCGACTTCGCCCAGCACGGTGCCGACATTGCCTCGACCAGTCGCATCCGTGACCGTCGGCAGCGACGTTGGCGGCCCTGCCGCCTCTGTTGTGGTGGCGGCAGCAGCAGTGGTGGCTGTGCCGGCGGCGGCCGTGATCTCGTCGTGCGACCAGTGGGCCGGTGCTGCCGGCAGCAGCTCGGGCGACGACGGCGACGACAGCGACGGCGACAGGGCCATGCGCATGCCGCCGCCAGTCCGCTCATTGGCAAACATGAGGAGGCGCTCGGCGTACTGGGTGCGGCTGTTGGGACTAGCGCTCAGCGTGCGCACAAAGAACTCGAGCGGGTCGACCGAGAAGGACATGCGGCCGACGCCCAGCACGCCCATGTCAGAGGCCCCGGCAAAGTCCATGCCCATGGCGGCACCGCCGCCGGCGACGTTGGTGCCCGAGGCGCTGGCCATGTCGCAGGCCTGCAAGACGTTCATGGACCAGGTGCCAATCTCGAAAATCTTCTCAAAGATGCCCATGCCGTGGACTTCGATGGCCTGCGGGGGCAGGCTCTGGATGACGGCGGCGGTGCGGGCAGCAATGGTGAGTGGGAAGGCGAAGCGCATGCTCTCGTCGGGTGCGGTCCACGAGAGGAGTTGCTGGCGGAACGAGGACTGCCAGACAATGAGGCGCAGCCACTGCTGCGTGATGAGGAGGTCGGCTTTTTGAATGTCGGTCGTCTCCGGCTCGTTCTCCTGCTTGACCTCCGTGTCGTCGCCGACCGCAACCCCGCTCGTGCGCAGTGCTGCATTCAGTCCAGCACTGAATTCGGCTGGCGAGCTCGGCGACGGTGGCGGGGCTTCGTGGCCAGTGGGCGACCGGTCTTCGGGCGTATGGCTCGCCGTGGACAGACCATGTGTCACGGTTACAATCTCGCTCTTGGCTTTGGCAAGGAAGGGCGGCCGAACGGCGAGGATGGCTTGAAGAGTGAGGTATGTAGCGGCTGTGACGCGTGGGTCGGAGCCTTCGTTCCAGGCGTTCACAAAGGACTCGTCGAGTGGGGTATAGGAGCTGATGAGCTGGCGGAAGCCAGAATGGATCTCGGGGGCTTCGTACGGATGGCGGGTGGTTGGAAGCGACGGAGTCTTCTTGAGTGTAATGGGTTTGCTTCGCAGAATGGCAAAGGATCTGTATGAGGTGGGGTTAGTATAGCAACCAAAGAATTTTGGAAACTTTGACAGAGTGAGCTTACCGTTCGGTCACAAAGAGCTGCCAAAAGGTACGCTGCCGGCACAGCTTTTCCGCAGCATCTAGACCGGCGTAGGAAGCGTCGTCATGCAATGCAATCTCCTGGGCGAGCGTCAATGCCTCTCGCAGGTAGACCCACGACTTGCGGGACTGGTTGATCTCGAAGAAGGATGTCGAGAGCCAAAACGAGGAGATGACGGCGTTCAAGGACGCGTCGTTGAAGAAGTCGTATGACTGGCGCGCCGAAATGCATTCGTCCAAGAAAAAACGGCCGGCGCATTCCCACGACGGGTGTGGTGCATCCGCCGTGATGTTCTGTCCAGACATGTGGAAGCAAGTGAGGGCGCACAGGGCGTAGAGGAAGTTGCGGTCCGAGAAGGTCAGCTCGGCCAAGCCGGCGTGGCTCCGGTTGACCATGTTGCGCACAGCGGGCATGTAGGGGAGCGGCATGATGGGGTAGATGTGCTCGTAGTAGAGACTGACGCATCGCGGCATGAGGTACATGTAGCTGCGGGTCGTCGGGCGGTAGTGCTCGGACGAGAAGGCGCCGCGCGGTTCGACGGCGTGCCGGGGATCCGACGATACATTCTGCCAGGAGATGTCGGACGGCGGCGCGGGTGTAGACGGGACCGACATGTCAATGCCATTGATTAGGTCCGAGCTGCTCTCGCGGCTGTGTTTGTTGTTGTTGGCGGTGTTGGCGGTGTTGGTGTTTTGGTTGACCATGGCAGCGCTGGCGTTCTGTTCAATCGAGTACCGTTCCCGGAGCTCGTTGATGACGCGCCCGCGACCACGTTTGGGTCCCCGTTTCAGAGGAACGTGGTCGCGCTTGCAAGCCAGCGACGCATTGACGCACGGCTGGCACGGAAGTTGGCCATCGCAGCGGATTCCTGGACAAGTCAGTAGGCGTGAGACAAGGCGGGAGAAGCATTCTATCAAGGGCGCAGCGTCGACCATGGGAAACTCACTTCGTCGACGGCAGTGGTCGCAGACGGTGCGTTTGGGCAGTGCCTGGCCGGGCCCGTTCTGGGTCTGAGCGGACTCGGCGGCGTCGTTGGTGTAGAGGACGGCCTTGGCGCCGGCCTGGGGTGACGGCGGCGGCGGCGGCGGCGGGAGCGACGGCAGCAAGTCGTCGATACCACCGTCTTCGGTCTTCATTGTCGTGGCGCAAGCACCCACATAGTCTGCCTTTGTGGGCAGCGCGGCACCAGGACTGGGCCGATGCGACCCGACGCCGATGCGTTGGCTGTTGAGTGTGGGTGTGTGCTTGCGTGTGTGTCTGTGTGCGTGTTGCGTCGTCGATGCTTTCTATCAATTCTGCAATCGTACAGTGGAGATGAACTTGGACGGACTCGGCGCTCGGTGTAGGAGCAAGCGAGACGGCGTGCAGGGGCCTGTAACCAGTGTCGAGAGAGAAGAAACGAGAGAGAAGAAACGAGAGAGAAGAAAGGAATGTTTGCCAGGGCCGGCGTTGGCCTATGACTGGCAAAACGCAACGAGACGATGGCAGGATGAGCACACAGGCGAGCTGTCACGATGTTGTCTCCGTGCTGACAGATGGCGGGTGTGGTTTGAGTGAGGAGAAGGAAGAGGAGGAGGAAGCAGAAGGGAAAAGGGACGATCGGCTGGAGCCAACCAGGCCGCTGCAGGGTGGCTAGAGCTAGCTGCAGCCGTCGCAGCAAACGACAGCAGTTCCAGCAGCTTTACGGAGTACAGACCCTGATGGAGGACGTGGGCGAGGGGCCGGCGTAAGCGAGCGGTGGTCGAGGCTTGGTGGTGTGGCCGAGAGGGGAATGGAAAAAAGCAACAGGATAAAATGGGCGATGGAAAATTCAGTCAGTGGTTGGCCGCAGACGGCGGGGCTGCGACAATGCGGGGGGGTCTTGCCGGGGGACGTTAGCGAGCGAAGGACGCGCACGATGGGCGGTGCTGCAGAATCGAGAATCGGGCGTGATTGGCGTGCACGAGGGAAAGAGCGCTGGGAACTGGTGAGATGGGAAGGAGGGTGGGCAATGGCCAATGTCAACACGGAAGGAGCGGATGGCGAGGATGGTGAGGAAAGAACGAATGAGAGCGTGAAAACCCAGATCTCAAAAATACTTCAATACGAGGGTGCAGCTACGTTAGATTGTGGGCAGACTGCAAACTGCCGTCAGAAAGAGGCGACATGCGAAACGTAATGAAAGCCAGACGGACCGATGAGAGTGGGCATGGAGGGAGAGGACGAGGCTAGGAGGCTTGGACGTAAAAACAAGTCCATAACTAAGACACAAAACATTTACAGACGAAAACTGACAAGTCTAAGTAACTCGGCCTTTCTACTGTTGATCATTGGGAAAAAAGGGGAAGGTGAGGAAGGCGAGCATAAACAGAAGGTGAACAGATAGTCAAAATGAGGGAAGGAACGACCACGTCGACTCATACTACATTACTCACTTCATTTGCGATGGCTGAATTTTGGCAGCGGCATCGCCGTCAAAAATTTACCCTTTCATTTTCTTTCATTCGTGTCTGAAGTGCGCCTTTGTCTGGGCATTGCTCTTTGGCCTTTTTTACCTTTATATTGCTCACGGTTGATGCGCGCGCCATGCTCTTTTCTGCCGTTCCGCCTACTTTTGCCTGTAAGGAGTATGCACCTTTTTATTCTTAGGCCATTTGAAAACGTTTTTCTTTCTTTTTCTTTTCTTTTCTGCTTTTTTCTGCTTTGCTCTGCGCTTTAGCGCGGCACTAGCACTGTGCAGGCCGTCTGTACCAAACCGATTTGGCCCACAGGGGGCACAGTTGGTGCGCGATATCGGGTCCCCAGCATTGGGGCTCTAATGGCGCCCCTGACAGGCGGCTGGCGAGGGTCTAGAGGCCCGCAAGCAAATGGCGAACAACACCAAACAGAAATTGACACCTTGGCCAGCTCGCTTCACGTTCACTCGACCGTCTGGACCGCAGGGCCGTATTTACCTGGTGTCATTTTTGTTACATTTTTCTTACATACCGGATTACGTCATTGGCTGCGCATCCTGCGCAGGGCATATCGACGGGCAACACGGCATGCGGTGAGGTTTTTTTTGTCAACTCCGGGAAGCTAAGACTTTTGACTCGATTGGTTGGGATCTGCATCGAGCTTGATAGCAAGGAATGGCATTGGCCAATTCATTGTTCATTGCCAATCGTCTCTGGCCTGAATTTTATATTTGTGTGTATCGGATGGGCATCAATTCCAAACCACCGTACGCCATACATCCACGCCAAGGCCTATCGTGAAAAACACGGAAAAATGATGTTGACTTTACAAGAAAAAGTAATAAGTGTGCCTTTCATCGCCATAGAAAGAACGTCACAGCATCAAGCTTACAGCTCGTCCTTTTTGAATGTTTCCTCGCTGCCCTCGTCATCGATGTCGCCGCCTGCATTCGGTGCGTCCGTTTCGCCCTCGACCTTTTCGACGGTTACAGTCACCTTGTCCGTGGGCTGCTTCGTCTCCTTTGCGTCGTTCTTGTTGTTCTTGTCCCCGACCTTGTCCTTCGTCTCGTCCGTCTTCTCCGTCTTCTCCGTCGCATCGTTGCTCACGCCCCATTCGGCGTCGTCGCCCTCCTCAGGCTCCAGCACCGCCCGGATCTCCAGTGCCGGGTCGCCCGGGTTCTCCACCGCCTCCAGCCGCCATGCACGACCGTCGGCAATCTTGACGAGCTTCCCGACGAGTTCCTTAATCACGTCGTGGCGGATGTTGAGTTCCTTGAGCTCCTCGGTCGAAACAATGGCCACCTCGCCGCCGTTGGCCTTGCTGGCAGCACGCACGAGGACTTTGACGACACGGGCGTTGTTCGCGAGGAGCTTGGCATCGTTGCCGCCACCAAAATGCTTGGGCGCCTCTAGTTTGAGCGGGGGCTGGCCGTCCTGGCCGCGGCCCAGGGCCTTGCGCGCGCCAATCGTGACGCCGCCGACGACGATGCCGGCCTGGTTGTGCGGTGTCTGGCCATCCTGGCCATCGCCTGCTTTAGCCGTGGCATCTCGGTCCTCTGCCTCGGCGCCGGCGGCCGTTGGAACACCGCGCATCGCCGCGTAGGCTTCAATAGTCTTTTGCTGGTGCCACTGGACGGCCTCTTCCTCGGAGCGGACAATGAGGCGGCAGCTGATGGGGTGGGCGCGGGTGGGCTTGGGGGGCAGGAACGCCGGCTCTTCGCAGAGGCGCGGCGTGCGCACCTCCATCAGGTACGAGCAGGTGGTGACCTCCTTGATCCAGCTGATGCGGTCGTTTGTGCCGCCCGGGTTGCAGTGGTACTGGATCTCGACCGTGCGCTCGCGGCCCGTCAGATCACACACCGTCCCGCCACCCAAGCGCTGCACCATGTACCGCTGGTCGCCCTTGACCTGCAGCTCCGTGTTGTAGGCGTCGCCGCCTGGTTTGGCCGACGCAGAGCCGCCCAGCGGCTTCTGTACCTCCACGTCCTTGGCGTGTACCGCGTGCGCCTCGGCCTCTCCTTGTGCTGTGTTTTCATTTTGCCGCTTCTTCATCCGTCCCAGAACGTAGTCTTGGCTGTGGGGATCTTTCACGGGCTTCCCCGTCTTGGTCGTCAGCGCGTGAAACTGCACAATCTCCTTGCCGTAGCAAAAGCTGTAGCTCCACCATCCAGATATGTAGTATAAGCACTCTCCCTCGAGCGTGCTGATGATGTCGACGCCGCGGCCAGACATGCGAGCCAATTCACGGGCTTCTCCGGCACGGGCCAGCTCGGCCGCGGTCTGGTTCGGTGGTGGTGGGGGCGCCAAAACGGGGACGGAGCAAAGGTAACGAGAGGGGGGGATGTTCATGATTTCAAAGGTTTCGGAGATCTGGGTGCCGTCCGCGGCTTCGCTATCTTCGTCGTCGCCAGGGTGTACGCCATTTTGGCCGGCTCTTGCCTTTTGTGCATTGTTAGTATATGATGATGTGGGTGCCGCAGCAGCGGGATTGTTCTGGTAAGCGCTCGGATCGTGGCGGCCGGCGCCGTCGAGGAGCAGCTGGGCATCCTCTTCGAGAATGTAGGATTCAGAGAAGACGACTTCGAACTGGAGAAGGAGAGGTGGTTAGTATTCAATAATTGGGGAGATCCCTCCACGGCGATACTTACCTGCGGATAAGCAAGAATGTCCTCGTGGATACTAAACCCAGGTTGTCTTGCTGCGCTTAGCTGCAGTGCAGCAAGCAGTAATAGGATTGCAGTTCTCATGATGGTGGTTGTTGGTACATATTCGCAACGTTGTCGGGTCGAGTCGTGTGATGATGGAGTGGAGATGGTGCCAGGTGTAGCTTTGTGCTCGGAGTTACTCCGTAAATGGATGAGGCACGTGTAGCGGTGATTACTAATACTTACTAGTTGCGCTGGGGCCATGTGGGGCGGCGTCGGGAAATTACCCTTGGCTGCTGCTGTTAGTCGCTACTAACGCGTCTTATGCACACTAAAGCTCCTAACAAATGATGAAGGTGCTGGCGGAACAAACATCTAGTCTCGTGGACGCAACGGCGGCAAAACGGCAGGTTGGGGCAGCGCGACGTCGGCCGGGGGGCTGACAGGCTCGTCCTGTCCTGCACGCGCTTCTGCCTCGACAGACCCAGGCCGGCCAGACTCATCGGCCTCACGAGGCCCACCGCCTGCTCCGTCCGCAGAGAGGGGTTCCAGCTCGACCTAATGAGTCTGGCCGGCCTCACGTCGCCGGTGTGCAGAACGCCGGGACTTGCACTCGTCCACAATGATAACCGTCCCCACAACGGTGAAAACCGTCCCCACGATGCCGAAAATTGTCCCGACATCGTCCAATGACATCCCCATCTGTGCATATTGTTAGTGACTGGCATGAGTAAACGGAAGTTGGGGATAAGCTGGGCCATGCTTTTTGTTGTTGTGCTGTTGTGTTGCTGCTCTTGGTGCTTCTTGCTGGTGGCGGTGGCGGGGATGTTGACGTCGATGACAATATGTGTAAGTGAGAAAAATTTAAGTGTACACTTTACTTGTTATCATTCTCGAGATTGTCGTTGCTGTGGCCAATGTCACTGTGTATATGTGTTGCCTTGGCCGGACGACGAACGAAATGTGAAGTTGGCTATATTTCCATAATAAATCACCAAAATTAGTTGGCTCCTAATTACTGGCCACAGTAGATAGTCATGAATAATAACGGTGTACATATTTACTTGGAGCTGTACATTACAGATCGGGGCAATGTGTAAGCGCAGAACCTAAATAGTATGTATATAAATCGACGGTAAAACATTTAACAATATTGAACGACAGGACCGCGAAATTCGACTATTAAAATCAAAACTCCAGTTGGTAGTAAAGAAAGAGAAATGAGATTTGCTCTCTTATCAAAAAGTACAACAAAAAGCATCAGCAAGACGGATGAGCGCTGCGAAGATGGGCGAATGGAACTCTCTTTTTCGAAAGAGGCGATTGCAACTGGCGCCTCACAGGGAGCCAGATTCAAATGGTGAGAACCAGGCATCAACGAAACGCACGTCCGGCAAAGACAAGTCTCAAGACAATAAGGCTGTTACGTCTTCACCCAAATCAACACTGAGACGACCACCGGAACAGTCACGAGCGAACCAAGCAGTCTCTGCAACGCATACCCCGCCGTCGTTGTACGTTTATACACCAGTACCGCCACCACCGAACGACGAATACTTAGCTCCGACTAGCCACGACGACGAGAATGTATCACTTGGACGCCTCCGGGCCCTTTGTCCACGCGGACCATACCAAGAACAACCTGCACAGAAAGTTATCACCAGATTACTCGCCAAATATTCCAGAGCCACCAAAGCCACCAAAGCGACAGGGGATGCAAGAACGCCGAGTACTCACCGCTCAAAGAAGAGACCAACAAGATTCCTGGGCAAAAACGCCGTAGTATCACTTCACGACGACATCGATGTGCTCGCCGCGCGCGGTCTGTTCAATGCCGCTTGCAGCCCGCTCGTCCGTCTACCAGACGATGTGATTGCACGCATCATGGGCTACCTGGACTGGGACGATCTGTACTTTCTGCGTCACACGAGCCGCGTGTTCATGCGCCTTTTCAGCTGTCGAGATGAGTTTGCCTCGCTGCGCGACGTCAACGCCATCAGCAACAATACCAGTCTCTATGTTTTGCCTACGCCTTGGACCCCGCCGGCCTTTCCTACTGACAACTTCGGCGCATGGTCAACGTTGCGCCAACGCTGCCACCTCGCCGAAGACATGTGTGGAGGCTGCAAGGCCTACGGGAAGTTTCGGTACTACGACATGTTCATGCACTGCACAGCGTGCGAAGCCGACCACCCGATGAGCCTCTTTTCGGGAAAGATGATCCGACGTGATGACAAGGAGATTATGGAGAACCGAGTGTGCCAAGCACACGAGGGACACGTACGCCTGTGTCAGCACAAGACAGTCGACTGGGACACGGTCATCAAGAGTTTACCGAATGGCCGCCTCAACAACAATTTCCGGGATGATTGCTGGGCCAACCAGCTGTCGAGTGCAGAGGGTGACAACACCGCCTTCTCAGTCGACGCTCATCTTCGAATTGTGTGCGACCATCCAAGCCACGCAAAGCATCCCCACCATACGGGCAAGGCCGACGACCGTGTCCAGGGTCAGGGCGAGGCGGACCATACACAGCTTCCTTCATACGAACGCTTCACGACCAAGGACCACGGCGAAAGCCCGTCGTTTGTAGTGCACGACATGATGGTGGACGGTGTACGACACAAAGTGATTACATGGTCATATACTGCCCACCTAAATCTCGCCGACGCCGACGACAGTAGGCATAACGGAGCTATTACGGCACAGGCCTTCCGGGATCGTGTTCACGAGCTGCGCAAGGGACAGAGCCCCGCCCGGTACATTGCACCTCCGGACTACCCGGGCATTCTGCCCGAGCTACGCTGCGTGGACCCAGAGCGCTGTGGCTGTCTTGTGTACCTGGGATTCCAGCGACGGGGGGGAGATGCCCCAATCGCTTGTCGGAAACACGAAGTTGTACGGGCGCTTCCAGTCCGCATTTCGGACATTGACCACCTCCGCGTTCGCCTGGCCACCTGCGACCAAGGGCCACGCTGTCTCAAGCTGATTTATACGCGGATCATACGACTCGAGGGTTTCTACGTGCACCCTTCTCCGTCATGGCCACCGGCTATGATACATGGACCACGTCAGCACAACCATCACTTTTTCTCCGTTTACGCGATGCGTTTAGGAATGCCTCTGTGCCTCTCGGATGGTACCAGGCCTTGGATCCCCAGTCCTACCGCATGACGGACGATCCTACACGGCACCACTCGCAGTGGTGCCGTGGTAAACGTTGCCGTTTGAATCCTGCGTTTCTCCGTGAACGATGCGTGTCGACCACTTACGAAATGAACAGAAGCTGTTCGATTGGATGCGAAATAACCCAGTCAAGTCTGTATCATCAAACAGAGCAAGACGTAAGGAACGGCTATTATATAACTGTCGGAGTACAGGATCGGTGGAAGTATTAAGGCCATCGTTTATTTACGAATGTTTCAAAACACGGCGATAACACGAAACACAATCGTTCTATTATTTATTTATTGTTTTTAAAAATTATAAAAAATCAAACCCGGCTATTGCTAAAGGAGACGGGTCGGGAAAAGTGCGTCTGCGTTGTTGCTACCTCGTCTTTGTTGGATGCGGGCTTTGAGTTGTATGGATTTTGGTATTGGCGTTGGTGTGGAATAGGAGAGCGAGGGAAATGAATGAGAGAAAAGAATTTAAACAACTAGTCATTTAATAACTGTGTCTGCTCCTTACCATGCAATTGTGATCTTGAGAGGATGAGACTAGCAGAGCCTTGAGTCAGGTCGCCTGGGGAATATTCATTTTCGACCTGTTGTACGTCATTTTGTGGCTGATAGTGAATGGCGAGAAGAGGTCCATTTGGTGGAAAAGTTGCCCTGTGATGTAACTCCTTTCGACTCAGTTGAAAAACCCCCAATCTCGAAGGCAGGTCTCGGCGGAATGCGTATCTTACCTTGACCTTCTTGTTCTTTTACCTAAGATAATCTCATTTACCTGTCATTCTCAGACATAGTACTGCCATGTCATCCATCCATATCGTGAATTCGACTCGTTTTCCGCCTCAAAAGCGTGTTTCAAATTGCGTTGTTGCGGACACCCAACAAAGGAAACGACGGAGCAAGGGGACATCCTGCCCCAAAAATGCGGGACTGACTGGCGGGACCCACAACAGTGACACCCCCGCGAGTTGTGTGCCCTGCTGCCTATAAGAAGAGGCTCTGCGGAATTTGGGGTTTTACTTTGTGTTTTATTTTATTCCCATATGCAGTCCGGTCAGGTACGCCGTATACTGCACTTGCTTGGGCACCACAGACATGCCCTGCCTGCCGTCAACGTGACACTTGACGTGCACAACTCGAGCTAGGCAGACATTGTGGTTGCCGGCCAAGACTTGTGATGCGGCAGTGCTCCTTTTTGTCTTTGTTGATCATTTTTTAATTTTTTAATTTTTAATTTTAATTTTAATTTTTAATTTTATTTTCTTTCTTCCCCTTTTGACCACTTTTCCGTGTCCTCGGTAACACTTCCTCAGTCCTCGCCTCATCGCCAAGATGATGGGTAATCCGTATTGCCGTCCGGCGGCGGTGCAGCAACTTGCCGGACGCTTTCCCTCCTTGGCTTAGACGGCATTGGCTTTCCGCCTCAAGGTATCCAACGCCAAACTGCCTCTACTGCCACCCTTCGTCTCTGCCTTCCCCAGCAGAGCCTCAAAAAAAAAACGGAGAGTTTCTGCCTGAGACAACGCGGTCCAGGCTCTCGTACCATGTCGCAGAACTATGACATGAAATGGAAAGACTTTAGATCGACAAGAAGCTTCACGGGATCACTGCTCTGCCTCCTTTTCTTTACTGCTATCATGAACGCCGGTTGTGAACTGCAACCCAAGCCCCAATGCCGTTACGGCCTTCCTTTTTATTGGACTTGATTTTAATTTGACGTTTTGTTTAAATTTCTTTACACGGTTTTCTTCCGGCCGATCCCCGTCCAAGTCCTCAGGCCACCGGGAGTGGATCTTCCACAGCTATGGTTGGCAAATCACCAACAACGTCTGGTCAGTTGAGTCAGTCTTCTTGTTTTCGTTCTCGCGCCCTTTGCACATCTCTGGTGGGAATGCCGAATTCTGCTTCGCCCCCCAATCCGTCCATGATGGCGACCTCTCGTCAACGTATAACTGTGACTGAGACTGAGCCTCGTTGGAAACAAAGAGATATAAAGGACGGTCCGGTTCCTCACTTGGAAGGCATCGACTCTCCATCCCATCCCATACCACACACATTCGTTCTCACGACGCGTTCTTGGCCACTCGGGCACTTTCCCATTTCCACTCCTATTCAGCGACGACGACCCTGTCGTCTTCTTGTTCTCCCTTCGCACACAATCATGGCACACAGCATGAGCCGAATGGCATCAGGGGCACAAGTGGCCGGCCCATCAGACATTGTCTGCCAACAATGGTTGGACCAGGGCATACGAACACGAAAAACCTACATTACTGTCTGGTACTGCGTATGTTGACGTTGCCCCTCCCCATCGTTCTGTTTTTGTTATTGAGAAACACGTCCAAATTAACGACCACCGCTGTAGTGCGACTGTGGCAATGGTCCCATGCTCTTGTCGGACTCCTGCTCTGGCAGCGGCTGCTCGCACTACCGCTGCTCGTACTGCACGGAGGAGGAGATTGAGGAGACGACCGACGACTACATCCTGCAAGCTGCCCTGCAGACGGCTTTGCAGGCGCACCACGCCCCGGCATGCTGCTCCTCCAACTGAGGACGGCACCTACTTTTGTTTTGCAGGGCAGATTACGCCAATCCGCGGTACGGCAACAGACGACAAAATACAGAAATGCATTTTTGCATCAAGGCACTAGGACAGTGCATATTATTTCTCGGATTTCTCTTGTGCGGGCCACAACAGAACAGCTTTCATGCTTCATGGGGTGGATGTCTTCTTTTCTTCCTTTGTTGTTTCCATAGCTATATTCTCTTATATCTTCGGTGCTGTGTTACGATGCTACGACATGTACGTCCAACTCAGCTCAACTTCAATGCCACTGAGTCTTCTACTAGTCCCCAAGTCTCTTTGCAGCCGTGACTCCTCTCAACGATTTGGTCGCCCCGTCGTCGTTGCGTTCGTGAGGGTATGACAACATGCAAGCTCGGTCATCGTACCAGCCTCTCCACTTTCGATGGCACAACGCACCCCACGGGCCGTGACCTGATTGCTTGGCCCGCCAGGCAGAAAAGCAACAGAGCTGTCATACCTCGATGACGAAATACCTGAGACATTGGCTTGTGCAGGAGAGACGAATGGGAACGACGGGCCACGACCGGGTGCTTTTGATGCAGAAAAAGAAACAAAAAAAGTGTCACATCTGGCTTGTGATCCGCGTTGACTCCTCTCCACGGAACAATATTCGTCAAAAGCGATGCAGCGAGTGAGAGGCAGACCGAAAAAAGGGGGCTGGGTGTACGGTCTGCTGACAGTCGCGCCCTCGCACCGGTACGTGCATCGGTCGCCATTGGACCGAAACCGACCAGTGAGGTCTCAGCCTTGTATGCGGCTCTGCTGGGGTGGGGCAGGGGCACCTCTGCGTTTTGTTTTGATTTGTTTTGGTTCGTTCTGGTTCATTTTGGCCGTTTCTGTGTTTTGGACGAGGGGGCGGGGCCTATGGACGCCTAGCGGGGGTCTTGATGCAACAGTCGTTTGCCGGCCAGGAACTGATCTTGTTGTCGAAAGCCGCGCCCTGAAGGAGGTCCATAAAGTGGTCGTTGGAGACGCACGAACGTCAACTTCTTCGACGGGACGATCAGCGCCTTGGCGCCATGACAAAAGGCGCACTTTGGAAATTCAAAAGGAAAACGAAGACGGAGTACATTCGTAACAGAATAGAAGATGGCGTTATGCCTCCCGATTGACTGGACCTGAGCTCGTCGGACCACAACTTTTTTCCTGGCAACCAGCAGCCTGCAATGCAACCAAATGCAGGCAACAGGCAGGGTATTTTTCTTTTGCTGTCACCGAAGCGTACGGTCCCGTAAGGCGGAGTGAATCACCGCGAAACAGAGCCCGATCAAGAAAAATAAAAAAAAGGGCCAAAATGTATATTGACGACTTGCCATCTCACAGCCATCCCTTGACTGTGACTGGCTGTTTGGTAAAATACAATGTCAATGTCACGGAATGCAACACGGAGGACTTTCCTCTGTCAGCCTACAAAGGCAGAATGTTGACGCTGGTCAAAAAAATAAAATAAAACATAAAACATAAAAAACTTGATGCATTTCGAGGACGAATGATCTCTGCGGCTCTCCGAGACTCAATAATGGCCGAAGCGGGTTGCCTTGGCTGTCCCACGCGCTCCGGCAAATGCACAAGAGTGTGGAGGGGCGGTGCAGAAGGTTACAGGCGCAGGTGCAGGTGCAGCTGCAGGTGCATGTGGTGCCTACAGTAGCGTGCATTCTCTGCCTGTGCAGTCCTGTGAATCGACGACACGACGACGATCACCCAAGACAGCAGAAGCTCGTCCGAATTTGTTTCGTCACGATGACAAGAGTGGCAAGAGTGTTTGCCGGTGCATTGCTCATTGGAGTATGGCACGTCAGTGCAAGGGCGTGCGGAGTCGCCTTGTAAGGCAGAAAAGACAGGGGTGTGTGGGGGAGGAGTTCCGACGAGAGTCACAGCCATCGATGCGTGGGAATGCGAGGGAATGCGAGAGAAACGACCAAGAACAACATGAAGGATAATGAAAACAATGACCAGATGACGAATGAGCTGCCTCAGAAGCACAATTGGCCGAACAACCAAATGAGCCCAAGGAAGGCCTGCAATGGGTCCGCCACCAACCGTAAGCACTTGCATCTCGATTCCCAGGCAGCAGCAGGCAGAGAAATTGGGCCGCTGGTGCGTGACTGTGTGCTGTGTCAATAGACAATTTGCACGGCCATGCATTGTGCTCTGCTGACATTGCACAAGACACAAGCGTATATTGTCATCGTTATTGCATAATGCGCAATGTCTGGCACATCGTACTGTGGAGCGAGTAGACGGTCAAGTGAGATGCAATTGCGCCTCTGACGGGTTAAAACGGTATTGACGACGTCGATTTTTCTTTGCTGGAACCCCCCGGAAACGCTATAACGTCCGCCGTTTATAGGTGATGATTTCGGGTAAATAGAGACAAGAAAACAATGACGATGGCAGAGACCGGTGGACAGTAAGACGGTATTCCGGGGCAAGACAGGCAAGAGCCATCATAACCACTGCACATGGTGTCGCCTGGGAAGAGTTGCCGACATTCCTGGCCGTGGTCTTAGGCCGGGCGCAGCGATCATACAAACGTCCAACACAGAATAGAGGGCAACATATAGGGCTCGGCATCGGCCTTATTTCGAGCGGCCTTATTCCTGTGGCTTTATTCTCTGTGGCCTGTATTTTCTAGAAGGGGGATAAAACGGTAGAATGAGACCAGCTGAGAAGCACGGCAGAGACTGGTGACGTGACGCCAGGGGACGAGAACAGCATTGCTTCATCCGGGCCACGGGAAGATGCTGCCACGAGGCAGAGCACCAATACGGCCAATAAGGCCCATTCATGCCGTGCCTTGGTCGTGCTCACCGTTTTATATTATCCGCGCGCAGCGCACGACGGCACGCTGGTAGTTTTGATAGTCTTCCGCGCCTAATTAACCGTGCCGTCTCGAGTGTCGTGCTTCCCGGGTCAGTGAGCGACACAACGAGGACCAAAGGACCAAAGGACCAAAAGACCAAAAGACCAAATGGGCACCGAGGCGCCTGTCGGTGTGTTGGCCTTCATTTATACTGTGGCGCTGCCACATTTCGCAAATCTCTGTTCCTGGCCCGGATAAAATGGCGGAACGAGCGGGAATGCAGGCCACGAGATGGAAATTCAGGAACCAGGAACCGCCCGTGGCCTTTAGCGTGACAGTCGGTAGGCATGTCGGTAGGCATGTCTGCAGTGTGCACACGCACGTCGTGGCAGGGATGTCAATAAATAGACAGAGGTTGCCCTGCAGGCACGTCTGCTGGCTGCCGGTGCCCCCCGTTTGAGTGTTTGTTTTTGTCCGCGTCGATTTTGAATTCCAAGTTTCATTCTACCCCTGTGTCTCATCACACCCACTCCTTTGCACCCGGAGCCGATCGTTGCTCCTTCCACTCCTTTGAAAACAAAAAGACGAAAACAAAACTAGCACATCGCCTGTTCTCCACGCCTAAATTCAAAACACCCATCTCAATAACAACGACAACACTACGACATGAGTTACATGACATACTCGTCAACAAAACCTACAGTCCTTACTTGATACAACACCAGTCGTCTTCCAGGAGCAGACGTGACTATGACCAGTCGACGACATCACACTCATTGAACAAACAAACGCATCAGATACAACACGTGGTACAATGTATACCACCAGGCCATCTCGGGCATACATGCCCCGGTCCACGGCTGCCAATGCCATCGACTGGGAGCCGCCTGGCGGGGGCGCCGAGGCCTCATCGTCGCGCCAAACCCGCCAAAACCGCCAGTCGCCGACGAGTCCGCTGGCACGCTTGTCTACGATCATGGCCTCTGTCCGGAGCAGCCTCGTGGGCCAGCCGCCAAGTGACGAGGAAATCGGCAGAGCGCAGACCCAAGTCTACTACAGCGAGGACAAGACCACGGGGAGCAGCAGCGACGACGATGGGCCCAAGGGCAGGGCCGGCAAGGCCGGCGTCCGCGGGAAGGCCAGCTCTCTGCGTGCCGTGTCGTCTCTCGAGTCGCTCTCTGTGGCGCAAGAGCGCCGGGACGCAGAGAGAGCAGAGAGAGCAGAGAGAGCTCGTCGGCTCAGCACGATGACGGAAGACCGTGCGGACGACGGTCGTTTTGGGTGTCTCCCCGCCGCCCTTCGACGCCGTCGCCGTGTGCTCCTGATGGCAGCCGGCGTCCTGGCCGCACTGGTCTTGGTCATTGGCCTCAGTGCCGGCCTGGGCGTGCGTGCCGCCAAGGCTCGGCATGCGCTCCTGGCCGGCCCTGGTGCCAACATGTCTGCCACATCTACACCGTCCATCGTCCCCCCACATCCCACAGCCACGCCCATTGATTTCAACGTCACATCGTCCGCCAACGCTACATCACCAACGTCCACGTCGACGCTGCCGTCGTCTACCCTCTCGTCCAACGCAACCACAGTCGTGCCGCCCACGTCTTCCAGTACGCCTCCACCGGCCGTCGTGCCATCCTCCAGCACTACACCTGCCCCGGCACCTCTTGCCACGCCTGCTCCTTCACCCTCACCATCACCGTCACCGTCACCGACGACCACACTCATACTAACGACGCCGGCTCCTTCTCCAGATCCGGCGCCCACGCCATCACCCACGCCAGAGCCTGCGCCCACACCGGACCCGGCACCAGCTCCTGTGCCGGTTCCTGTGCCTGCGCCCGCGCCACCCACGTCGCCCTCGTCGCCGTCCTCCAGCAACCCGTCCGGCGGCCCCTTTGCGGGCGACGTCACCTACTATGTCCCCGGCCTGGGGGCCTGTGGTCGCTACAGCGCCGCCACCGACTACATTGCCGCCGTCTCCCAGTCGCTGTACGACGCCGTCGGCGCCGCCCACGGCGTCAGCAACCCCAACAACAACCCGCTGTGTGGCCGCCGCATCCGCGTCGCGCTCGGCGGCGGCGTGGGCGCGACCGTCGACGTCACCATCGTCGACCGCTGCACGGCCTGTGCGGAAAACGACGTCGACCTTTCGCCGAGCGCCTTTGGGCAGCTGGCCGGGGCTGCGATGGGACGTGTCCAAGGGTCCTGGTTCTTTTTGGACTAGGCGGTGGCAACTGCGTCTGTACGAATGTGCACCCGTCATGTTTTATGTTTCATGTCCATACTTTTTTTTCCTTGTGGTTTCGACACGCCTTCGCTTCTTGTACATTGTTTTTCACTTCGTCGTGCGTTGGTACGCCTCTTTGTATATACCCTATTGAACATATTGACCGTAGTTCACATTTATCTCATCGACAAAACGTCGTTGCAGCACGTGACAAGACGTCGCATGATGGCACGGCGATGTCCAGCATGACAAAATGCTCTGGACAAGTTAAGAGATGCTTTGCATATCAAATGCACCCCTGGAGGGTCGCTCGTGTCTTGGTTTAGCGCCCGAAGTTGTGATCAGTTAGCGGATGTCGTGATTGCGGGTGCCCCACAGGTATCGTCGGGGCAGAAATAGACTCGGCCGAGATATAGTGTCGACCTCTGCTCGGGCAAGTATCATCAACGGCCGACATGGGAATGTACGGCGTAGGTAAGCGGTTGAATTTTACGCATTGGTGGATGTTCAGCAAGCTCCATTAGCGGACGCGAATGGCGCCATTGTTTCCCAAGAGCTTGTCTGACCTTTCATCTTAAAACGACAACACGTTGTCCACAACACGTTGTCTTGCACCTTGCCGGATTCACTCTTCTCTACACCCGCCCGACTCTGCGTCACACTCAGACACACCACCATGGCAAGACACGACATCCCACGCCACAATGGCAATGCCAACGCGTCGACCGACGCCGCTGTCCAGCATGGCGAGACCTCGCCCCTCCTCGCCGCCACGCAGCCCATCCACGGCAACGTCCCGCCCGGCGCCAAGGCCGTCCCGGGCCTCCTCTGGATCGAGGCGGCCTTGTTCACCAATGTGTTCCTGGCCGGCTTCGACGGCACCGTGACGGCCTCGACGTACGCCGTCATCACGTCCGAGTTCCAGAGCGCCAACCTGGCCGCGTGGATCTCCACGTCGTACCTCGTCACCACGACGGCGCTGCAGCCGCTGTACGGCCGTCTCTCGGACATTGTCGGCCGGCGCGCCTGTCTGCTGGCGGCCACCCTGCTCTTCGGCCTCGGCTGCCTCGGCTGCGCGCTCAGCCCCAACCTGGGCCTGCTGATTGCCATGCGCGCGCTGGCGGGCGCCGGCGGCGGCGGCCTCATGACGATGGCGACCATCATCAACACGGACCTCATTGCGCCGGAGCAGCGCGGCATGTACCAGGCGGGGCAGAACATCTTGCACGGCGTGGGCGCCATCCTGGGCGCGTCGCTGGGCGGCACGCTGGCCGGCTGGCTGGGCTGGCGGTTCGCGTTTCTGGTGCAGGTGCCCATCTGCCTGGCGGCGCTGGTCGTGGCCCGCGTCGTGGTGCCGAAGAGCATTGTGCCCCGGCGGCACCGCGCCGTTGTCAAGCCTGACGGTGATGCTGCTGACGTCGAGTCTGTCGTTGGTGGCAACGCGCGAGGACCCTCGACGGCCACGGCGACGCGGCCCATGTCGACGTGGGAGCAGGTCGACTTTCTCGGCGCCGTCCTGCTCATTGCCGGCCTGTCCCTCTTTCTGGCGGCGCTCAGTGCCGGCAGCAACAACGGCGGTGCCGGCGCGGCGCTGGCGTGGGCGCAGCCGTCGGTCCTCGGCTGCCTCGGCGGCAGCATTGTGCTGCTGGTCGCCTTTCTCGCCGTCGAGGCCCGCACGACGGCCGTGCCCCTGCTGCCGCTCAGCATGCTCCACGGCGTCGAGCGCGTGTCCCTGCTCGTCGCCAACGTCTGCCTCGGCATGTCCGGCTACGGCTTCCTGTTCCTCATGCCCCTCTTCTTCCAGGCCGTGCTGCTCGACTCGGCCGCCGTCGCCGGCCTGCGCCTCGTCGCCTCGTCGCTCGCCACGCCCCTCGGCGGCCTCACGACGGGCCTCGCCATGAAGTTTCTGGCCCCGCGCTACGCGGCCAACGCCAACGCCCTCCTGACCGCCTTGGCCCGCGGCGGTGCCCTCGTCCTGCTCGCCGGCGGCGTCACCAACCTCGCCCTCGGCATGCACGACCCCTCCTGGCACTACGCCGCCTACCTCACCGTCGGCGGCTTCGGCCAGGGCATGTCCTACCCGGCCAGCCTCTTCCGCTTCATCGGCGCCTGCGACTTTGGCGAGCACGCCGTCGCCACCTACCTCGTGTACCTCGTGCGCTCCGTCGGCTCCGTCGCCGGCGTCGCCGCCATCTCCACCATTGTGCAGACACACCTCCTCGCCCGGCTCACCGACGTCTTTGCCGGCACCCCGGGCGGCGCCGAGCTGATTGACACGCTGACGCACTCCGTCGAGGCCCTGCGGGAACTGCCCACGGACACGCGCGTCGTCGTGCAGGGCATCTACTACGAGGCCTGCCGGCGCGGACTGTACTTTTTGCTGGCCGTGGGCAGTGTCACGGTGGTGTGCACCTTTTTGCTGTCGACGAAGCCAAGAAAGTAGTTGGTGGGGGGGATTTGTGCTATATAATTGAATTGACTGTATTTTGGCGTTTTTAAAAGCATATATTATTGCTAACATAGTTTAGTAGGGCAACTGCTTTTTTCTTTTTTCTTTTTTCTTTTCTTTTTATCGTCAAATAATAAATATAGAATAAATCAAGAAATGTAGACATTGTTGTTATGGCCTACGACGCAAACCTCGCTAACACATTCTAATACAATTCATCTATAATTTTCGTTTTCTTTATCTCGACAAAAAATGCAGAATCACATGCCTGTGGTGAACTCCAAAGTTGCAGAATCGGATTTGAGCATAGTCGGATCGAAGCAGCGGCGGGAGAGATAAGGCGACGGTTCGGTAGCCAACGCGGACAGTTCCGCACCGTTTTCTTCGCGACTTTTCTTCGCAGGGCAGTGCCAAGGTCATAATTATCAGTTTAAACAAGTGGGGAGGTGCTACTGTGGCCAACGACTCGCCCATGTGACATGGATCGTGAAAGTTGCGGACAGGAAAGATGAAGAAAGACAATGCAGAATCTGAACGTCACGACACCTGTTTTTGCATTTAAAACACGCTGGCTCAAGCACGTTGCACATGTTCATACAAACGAGCGACGGCTCAACATGTTCGCAGACGGGTGTTTCGACTGTCGGTGCCCGGAGTATCGGCACACGCGAGGACCTTTCGTTCTTCGATATAGCATATTTTCCCCTCGTCCATGTCGACATCGGCCGTCGGCGTCGCATTAGGCATAGCGGGCGCCTCGTTACGCAGACTTGTCCACCATTGAGAAGCCATATCTCCATAGCCACTACGATCGACACAGTGCTACGATGTGTAGCAGCATCGATCGCCGCCGACGCCCTGGTTTTTCCATATTGCATGCGTCGTTTCACTGCCGATCCTGAGGCTCGTTCTGAACCAATCGATGGCCAGCAGCCCCTGTGGTGTAAATGACGGCCCAAAGCCAGTTTCCTATTTGGTACACCGCCGGGCGCTACTGGGCGTTGTGGCGTTCTGGCCCGCTTTGGCCCGTCTTGGGCGGCAGTTGAGCGGTGGAACGAACCGAACGAGCAGACGAAGCACAAAGTCGCATGTCGTGCATCCCTTTCCTCCTCCGTGCAGCAATTGGCTGCTTGGCCGGCAGCTGGACCATGTTGCTGCGTCGCGACTGCTGAGTGGACCGAACGTCGTCCGGTGCGATAAGCTTAATTGGTCGTGGTGCTTGTTCCATAATACAAGCTCACGACAGTACTTTTGTACGCATACGTATCGAGCTGGGAGGGACCTGGCAGTACGCGGCCGGTCCACCGAGGCCCGAAAGGGAAGTTGAAAGGTCGTTCCAGATAGGCAGTCTTTGTCCTCCCTCGAGTTATATAAACCGGCTCGAGTCGACAGATTCACCAGGAAATGGAGCCAGGAAATGGAGCCAGGCAACCTTCCAGTATCCTCCCGGACAGCTTTCCAATTTCCCCATCTTGATCCACGATGAAGACCTCCTACGTTCCCGTCTTGGCCGGCTTCGCCAGTCTCCCGGGCGCCCATGCCTGGGGCAGCCTCGGCCACGCGACCGTGGCGTATGTGGCGCAGAACTTTGTGACGAGCGAGGTCAAGACGTGGGCGCAGGGCGTGCTGGCGGACACCTCGACGTCGTACCTGGCCAACATTGCGTCGTGGGCCGACACGTACCGGGCGACGACGGCGGGCAAGTGGTCGGCGCCGTTCCACTTCATCGACGCCGAGGACAACCCGCCGTCGAGCTGCAACGTCGACTACGCGCGCGACTGCGGCAGCAGCGGCTGCTCCATCAGCGCCATTGCCAACTACACGCAGCGCGTGGGCGACGGGCGCCTGAGCGCGGCCAACATCAACCAGGCGCTCAAGTTCCTCGTGCACTTTGTCGGCGACATCACGCAGCCGCTGCACGACGAGGCCCTCGACGTCGGCGGCAACACCATCACGGTCACGTTTGACGGCTACAGCGACAACCTGCACGCCGACTGGGACACGTACATCCCCGAGAAGCTCGTCGGCGGCAGCACGCTCGCGGACGCGCAGTCGTGGGCCACGAGCCTCACGGCCGCCATCAACACGGGCAGCTACGCCAGCGCCAAGGCGTCGTGGATCGCCGGCGACGACGTGGGCAGCGCCGTGGCCACCGCCACGCGCTGGGCGGCCGACGCCAACGCGCTCGTGTGCTCCGTCGTCATGCCGCACGGCGTCGCGGCCCTCGAGACGGGCGACCTCTACCCGACCTACTACAACGGCGTCGTCCCCACCGTCGAGCTGCAGATCGCCAAGGCCGGCTACCGCCTCGCCAACTGGCTCAACCTGATCTACGCCCAGGACATTGCCGCCGGCGCGGCCGCCAAGCGCGCGCCCGTGGCCGACCTCTCCGGCGCCGACCTGCTGCCCCCGCCGCGGCCCCTGAGCAAGGCGAAGCTGGCCCGCGCGGCGCTGGGCGGCAGCTGTGGCCAGCACCGTCATTGAGCGGACGGGGAGTGGTCCGTACGCGATATGTGAATGATGACGACGTGACGACGACGTGACGACGAAGTGACGACGGTGACGACGTGACAAAGAATGCATAAAGACGAGATGCAATTGTAATCAATATTGGAAACAAAGTACATAGAACAGAACAACACTATGCTAGTCTGCAAACGACAGTGGCAATGACAACGTATTCTGCGCGACTTGAAGCTGTAAATATCGACTCTGATTCTAGATCCAAGTCTATACACGGACCCTTCAAACAGCACCTTCTTGTCCGTTCCACATCTCCTCACAGCGTAGGGTATTGGTACTCCCTCCTGCGCGACTCAGGCCGAAAACACCATGCTCGAGACGCCCGACACGAGCAGCGCCCACACGCCCAGCTGCGCCATTGTCATCGACGGCGACGTGTGCCCGCCCGGTGCGGCGTCGCTGCTGAACCCCAAGATGCGCGACTGGTTGAGGTCGTGGTGGTTGCCCCCGAAGCAGTTGGCAAACGAACTCATGTCCGGATGGGCGGGCGGCGCCTCGCAGTACAGGTAGCAGCCCTCGACGACGTGGACGGCGTTGGGCGAGCAGCAGGCGACCATGTCGGGCTCGGACCCGTTGTTGCCCGGGATGACGGCCACGGGGACGTCGTGGGGGATGGGCAGCGACTCGAGGTCGGGCAGCACGCCGGCGCCGGGACAGGTCGATGCCGGCGAGGGGGCGCTCGACGTCGCGGAGGCGGCAGAGGAGGGCGCGGTGACGGATGAGGACATTGTGATGGTGGGGTGTCTTGTTAAGTTTTGGTGTTGATCATATGTATCTTCGTGATGTTTGTTTGAGGATGTATGTTGGCGATGGGAAAGACAGAATTGCGAGATGATTTATCGCCGTGGTGGACGTGTCTTATTTATTATATTCATCATTATATTCATTACTTGTACGAATGTACACACAAGGCCTCTCGGCACGACCCCCTACGGACATAAACCCTGCCTCGAATCTTTTCAAGTTTGTTCACTGCTTGGCGCTACAGTGGCGAGTGCCCTCAATCCCTGAAAAGGCCTATGATCCCTGCCGCTTTGGGCATGTCATCTGCCCTGTGGGGCGACCAATGGTGAGAGTGAGAAAGTGTACTTCGTACAGAATATGGAGTCGAACATCTCCGGGCGGGTATTTAAGCTTATGACGGGACGAAATGGTGTGGACTCGGAGTGTTCGCAGGACCATTTAGCATTGTTGACACGGTAAAGAGAAACGTCACTGCAAAAGTGGCCCAAGAGTTGGATAACCATTAGTTCGTTTATCAATGTTGGACCCTCGAGACCCAGAGACCCTGCTCGACGTAAAACCTGCCAGGCATCCTTGGCATGCATCCACCGCTGCAAGTGACATCATTTCGGCGGATATCAAAGTTAACCACTGCATAGCGCCTTGGCACACTCATTTCCCCAGTCTCGACAACAGGCCGAATAGGGGGCCGCAATATCATGAAAGCAAACGCGTCGAGTCCCGGGTATCACGGCACGCGATGGAACAATGTGTCGACTTTGCAGCGTAACCGTGTCACGCCGGGGGGTATCTTCAAAATCAGGTCAGACATTTTGTTGCAATAAATGCGCTATACCCTATTGTTTACAGCTCGAAATCTGTCCTGGCCCGTCACGCGGTTGTTGCCTTTGCGCACCGTCTTTGTCAGTGCCTGCTGCACGGCAACAGTTGACGACACGCCCAGAACACGGCCGTCCGCGTCCAGCGCCTCGGCCTTGACAGCGACGATGCGCACGTCCCTGGCCCGGTTGATGCGCGTCGACGTCTCGAACCCGCGGCGCGGCACCACCTTGGCCTTCCACACGGTGTCTTTTGCCCCTGTCGTGTCGCCGGCCGCCGGCTGCTCGCCCCACGAGAAGCGCCACGCCCGGGTGACGGTGTCGCCGTTCCAGCTGACAAACAGGCGCACGGCGCCGCCCGCATCGACGGCATCGGACGCCCCCGCCGCCGGCTGCTGCTCGGCGTAGACGGCGGGCGTCTCGGCGGCATAGCCCGTCCAGTTGAAGCGGAACGCGCGGTAGTTTTGCAGCTTGTCCCGGAGGAAGCCGCGGCCCAGCCAGGCGTGGAAGACGGGCGTGCCGGCGGCGTCGTACTCGGTGACCTGGCCCTCGGAGCCCCAGTTGACGAGGTCGCCGCCGCCGGGCAGGGACTGCAGGGAGCCCTGGGACTTGGTGAGGATGGGCGGGTCGCCGCGGGCGCGGTCGGGGACGGCGACGGCGGGCGGCTCGAGGGCGCGGTCGAGGGTGGCGGTCTGGGCGGCGTGGTCGAGGCGGATGTACTTGCCGCGGGAGTAGGGGTTGATGCGGATCTCGCGGCCGCGGCCGGCCGACTCGGAGCCGTAGACGGAGTTGTCAAAGACGGAGATGACGTCCGCCCCGCCGTCCGATCCCTCGACAAAGTAGCGCGCGTGGTGCTGGAACCCGAAGCGGACGCCGTCGCCGAGGGCAAAGTCGGAGTGGTTGCCGCCGAGGCGCCAGATGACCGACCCGTCCGTGCCGCTGATCTTGAAGATGGTGGACGCGTGGCGGGCCGACACGAGGTAGTGGCCGTCGGCGCCCTTGGCGACGGAGTTGATGTGGAAGTAGTCCCAGGCGGTGGCGCTGCTGCGGCCCACGCCGGCCAGGCCGCGCGGCAGGGAGAGGGCGGACTCTGCGAGTTGTTAGAGGGGCTGGGATGGGATGCGGGTGCCTTTGTGGACTCACCGTCGGGCGACACGTGGTCGAGACTGCTCCATTCAAAGACGACGTCGCCCGTGGTAATGTCGAGTTCTGTGGTTCGGTTAGCAGATGCACTCCAGCGTCTCTGCGCGTCTCTGCGCGTCTCTGTGAATTCAAGCGAGCACCTACCCTGAAACCGCGCGTCGACAATCCACGTCTGCGCGTCGTCGCCGCCGTACGCCGCCAGGTTCCGCTGCACCGGCTCGTAGATCTGCAGCAGCGCCGTCGTCTCGTCCACAATCGCAAACTCGTGCTTGTCCGACACGCGGTGGCCGCCCGCCCGCAGCACGCGCACGACGCTGTAGTGGTCATCCAGCAGCGCGTGGCGGCCGTGGCCGTGGCCGTGGTTGCCGTTGTGCAGCCCCTCAAACGAGAACAGCACGTCCTGGCCCTGGAACCGCGCCGCCTGCAAGTTGCACGTCCAGCCGGCAAAGTAGCCAAAGCCGGACCACACGAGGTCGCCCGCGCTGTCCAGAATGTAGGGCGCCACCTGGTTCGAGACGCGGTCGTCCGGCTCGCCGTACGTGGTAAAGGGCGACACGAACAGGTAGCCCGGCGCGCAGCGGCCGTTGCACGGAATGGTGATGTTGAGGTGCGGCGGCGAGAGGTCGGGCCGGGAGCGGTAGGTGGTGTCGGCAGAGGCTGGGGAGGCTACGGCTGCGGCCAGGGCCAGGGCCAGGAGGGCGGGTGTCGTTGGCGAGCGTCCCATGTTTGTTTGCGTGGGTGTGAGAGGCGAGGAATGATGGTTGTGTTGTGCCCTGCTCGTCCGTGGTTTGTTTGGTATAGGACTTTGTATAAAAAGATTTGGTACAAAAGAAATGGCTCGTGGAAGCTGAGATGGAATGGACCCTCGGGCACAACCACGCCGACGTCGCCAAGATCGATGCAATTGCGAAATCACTTGAAACGATATCACCATCGACCGTCGCGTGCAGACACGGCCTAGATGCAATCTCGCCCGAGTTATCAAGATGGCCTTGCTGGGCGGCTCCACTTGTGGGCCGCGTCCGTCTCGCCCGCGCCTGTGGCAGGGCTTGCTTTCGGACAAGGCCCGCGCCATCTCGTTCCATCTCTCCTATCACATCTCGATACGCTGCGTGCTGTGTCGCCGCCCAAACGAGTGGCATCCATGGCGCACGTCCGAGATGGTGCAATCGCGACGCTAGATTTGCCCATCAGGACCTGTGTCCGTTGCCAGGTTCTCTCGACGAGTATATGAAGACTCGTTCCGCCAAGGGGATGTGATCGGCAGACGAATGGACCAAGCGGGCCGCAGACAGTGACTGCATCTTGACATTTCTCACCACTTCCACAGCTTGCAGCAAAGCATCACCAACATTATCCACACCTCCCACATGGCCAAGTCGGACCTCCTCGCGGCCTCTGTGCCCGTGTCCGACGAGGAAAAGTCGGCCCAGGCGCTCTCCAGCATGCCCGCCGCCGGCAGCGCCAGCGACAGCGACGTCGGCCACACGCAGACGTGGACCGCGGCCGAGGAGCAGGCCCTCGTGCGCAAGGTCGACTGGATCGTGATGCCCATCCTGATGCTCGTCTTCTTCGGCCTGCAGCTCGACCGAGCCAACGCCGGCAACGCCCTGACGGACAACTTCCTCAAGGACGTCGGCATCACCCAGAACCAGTTCAACATCGGCACGCAGCTGCTCAACGCCGGCATCGTCGTGCTGGAGATCCCGTCCAACCTCGTGCTGTACCGCGTCGGCCCCAAGGCGTGGATCGGCGTCCAGATCTTTCTGTGGGGCTTCGTGGCCACCTTCCAGTCGTTCCAAAAGGGCCTCGGCGGCTACCTGTCGACGCGCCTGCTGCTGGGCCTCTGCGAGTCGGGCTTCATCCCCGGCAGCCTCTTTACCATCTCGCAGTGGTACCGCGCCCACGAGCTGAGCCGCCGCTATGCCTTTTTCTTCCTGGGCAACGGCCTGGCCACGGCCGCCGGCGGCCTCATTGCCTACGGCGTGCTGCACATGCGCGGCCTCGCCGGCCTGGCCGGCTGGCAGTGGCTGTTTATTGTGCGTTCATCGTCCTCCGCGTGCCACACTACCGTACGACGTCTCCCTGACACTTACGCTAACACACCCAGCTCGAAGGCATCTTTACCGTGCTCACCGGCGTCGTCTTCGTCACCCTCTTCCCCGGCCTGCCGAGCAACCCCGTCTCCTTTGCCGGCGTGCGCTACTTTAGCGACCGCGAGCTGCTGATCCTGCGCCAGCGCAAGGCCCTCGACGACCCCACGGCCGGCCCGCTGCGGCGCCGCGTCGCGTGGCAGGACCTGCGCGTGACCCTCTTCAGCGGCAAGGTCTGGCTGCACGTGCTGCTGACGACCGTCGGCCTCGCGCCCTCCACGGCGCTGTGGTCCTACGCGCCCACCATTGTCGCCTCCTACGGCTTCGATCGGCTCGCCTCCAACGCCATGACCAGCGTCGGCCAGTGGGTCTCCGTCGCCCTCGTCGTCCTCGGCGGCTTCGTGGCCGACCGCTGGGGCCGCCGCGGCTGCTTCGTCCTCGTCGCCGTCGCCATCGAGTTCGTCTTCACCGTCGCCTACAAGTGCCTGCCCGACGACGCCGCCCGCGCCACCAAGTTTGCCCTCCTCACCCTCGCCAGCGCCACCTGCAGCTGGTGGCACGCCGCCCACGGCTCCTGGCTCGCCATCAACGCCCGCTCGCCCGCCGAGCGCTCCGTCCGCATGGCCCTCTTCATCATGGCCGCCAACTGCGCCGGCATCGTCGGCGGCCAGCTCTTCCGCTCCGACGACCTGCCCTACTACCACCGCGGCTGGACCATTGCCGTCGCCTTTATGGCCTTTTCCGTCGCCGTCACGCTGGCCCTGCTGGTCCTGTACGCCCTGGCCAACCGGCAGCTGAAGAAGGAGGCCGGTGTGGACGCCGGCCACGTCGACAAGGACGGCCAGCCCATTGCTTCTCCGGTTGTGAAGCTCTACAACTACTAATGGGGTGTTTGCGCTCTGATGGTGTTACTTTGTATTTTAGATACTAGCCAGTTGCAACTCATGACATTCGTTTCTAAAAAGTAGTGGCATCCTTTCATGTCTCGTAAATGTAACAAATGTAACAAGGCACTACGTAGACGGCTACAGCAGCGGGTCATACACTGGAGCAAACACGTTGTTGAACCACGACTCAAAGTCTTGGCTCGTGTCCAGGTCCATCGACGTGAGCAACGCGTTCATGCCGTCGTGGTTTGCGCTGTGGCCCGTGTTGCCCCCGTTGCCCCTGGTGGGCCCATTCGGCAGAAGCGTGCCCTGGTACAGAGACACGGCCGGACCGCCGACGCTCCCACCCACACCGCCACCCATTGCCACGGGCGTGCTCCCGGCACTGCCCCCGCCGCCGCCGCCGACACTGCTGTCCGGCTTGGGCGGCGCGCGCGCCAGGAACCGCGCCATGATCTCGTGCCGGCCCAGCATGTCGTTGATAATGGCCGCCTGGTGGTGCGCCGTGGACGCGTCGCCGCTGCGCGCCGTGCGCATCAGCCGCAGCACCAGGTCCTCCTCGGCCGCCAGCAGCGTGTCGATCAGCACGGCGCCGCGCTTGGCCATGGCGTCGCAGCGCCGGTGCCGCAGCCGGTCCGCGGCCCGCGCCAGCGTCTGCCGGTACGCGTGCGCCGTGTCGTCGGTGTGGTCGGTGCGGTGGAACAGCTCGAGGCCCAGCACGACGGCCGCCGTCACGCAGAACGCCGAGTGCGTCCAGATGGACAGCGTCTGCTCGGCCAGCGCCTGCTCGTGCTCGCGCAGAATGGTCGTGGCCGCGGCCACGCAGGTCGAGCGCGTGTGCCGAAACGCGGGCCCGCCCTGGAACGAGTCGTAGAGCACCGGCCGGTGGATCATGATGATCTTCTCGGCGGCCGAGATGGCGAGCGTGCGCCGCGCCAGCGCCAGCCAGGGCGTGTGCACGGCGCCGGGGCCGGCGGGGGCCGCGTCGTCCCGCAGCAGAAACTCGGGGATCTGCGCCACGTTGGCCCGCATCACGCGGTCGCACGCCAGGATATGCTGGTACGCCTCGGCGGGCGGCTTGCGCGCGCCCATCGGCCCCAGCCCGTCCAGCAGCGGCGGGATCAGCGACGCCGTCCGGCCCAGCATGCGCACGTACGACGAGTTGGTGGGCTCGCGGGCCGGCCGCGCCACCATGTCCTCGTCGTTGCAGTTGTCCGGCAGCGGCGTGATGTACTGCGACGGGTGGATGACGTACGTGTCCGTGTACGGGATCTGGAAGTGGTCCTGGATCACCAGCTGCAGCCACACGCGCTTGCCCGTCTCGATCTCGACCCGCTCGTGCCACGCGTCCACCTCGGTGCCCTCTTCTGGCGGGTCCGCAATCTTGTGCAGGCCCAGGCAGTGGGCGATGCGCACGGCCGCGCCCACCAGAATCGCATTCAGGTCCGTCCGGTCGAGGTTGTGCGCGATCCGCGTCGAGATGACAATCGCCTGCACCGCGTACAGCGACAGGTTCTCCAGAAAGTTCTCGCCGTACAGGGTGTGCACCATGGCCTGGAACTGCCGGCCCACCAGCGCCTCGTCAAAGTCCCAGTCGCCCGTCACCTCGCGCCGGTACGGCTCGTTGTTGAGCAGCGTCCACAGCGACACGCTGCACACGGCAAAGTACAGCGCCAGCCACAGCGGGTGGTCCGCCGTGCCCGTGCGCCAAAACTGCTCGCACTGCGCCGCAAACGTCGGCCCGTGGAACGCGTTGTGGTGCCACCGCAGGTGGTCCATGTGGAACGCCACCACCTGGCGCGCGACGCGCGGCGGCAGCAGCACCGACGGCTCCGTCGGGTCGCTGTCGCTGGCGTCCGCCCGCAGCGTCATGGCCTGCCGGCCGACCCACGCGGCGTCGCAGTTGATCGATGCCAGCTCCGAATACCGCCGGTTCTGGTAGCAGCGGCAGCGGCGGTGCGGGAAGCATGCCTGGCTGTGCCGGCCCCAGGCCAGAAACTCGAAGCCGGTCAGGATGGACGCGTGGTTGTCGTCGAGCTGGTGCGTGGTCGGCATGCGCTGGTGCTGGTGCTGCTGCTGCTGCTGCTGCTGCTGGTGCTGCTGCTGGAACTGCACGGTTCGTTGCTGCACGCCGAACACCGGCGTCGACGCAGAGGATGTCGACGCCGACGTCGACGTGGCCATGCTTGTCGGACTGGCCACAGTCACCGTTCCGCCGTAGCTGCTGCGCATCTCGTCTTCGTCCGTCGGTGCCGGGCTGTGCATCGCAGGGTCCACGCCCATGGCCGCGCCGTTCGTGTCGTCGGCATCCGGCTGGAGTGGCCCGTCGCCGGACGTAGCCGACTTGCCGTGTTCCAGGAAGTGGACGCGTCGGTCAATGTCGGCGACGGCATCTCGGCAGCCGGGCCCCAGCGCGACCAGACGAGCCCGGAGCGTCCGCAGGAACCGCAGCTCGTCCCGGTGCAGCGACAGCGACTTGCTGATCCGCACCACCTCGCGGGTGCATGTCTTGGACAGCCGCACACATCGGCCACACGGCGTCTGCTTGTCACACCGGACCTTGCGTTGCGAGCATTCTAGCAGGCCAGTTGGCTGTCAGCCTCGCCTGTCGTCTGAACGAGACGACATGAAAAAGAACATAAAAAGAACCAAACAATCTGTGCGCCTACCTTTGCATGCTGTTGGAGGCCGTTGAGACACTCGTAAGGTCCGCGGCGGCGGCGACAGCGGCACAAACTGGGTCTGGCTGGCCATGATCGTGTATGGACAGGAGCATAACCGCAGCCACACGCACACATCTCGGCCAAATGGTGTCGGTGTGTCGTCGACAGTGTTCCGCGCGCCAGCACCCGACACACACAACGAGACAGCAGCTGATAAGGGACCAAGGCGCCTTCGACAAATGGCGTTACGTGAGTTAGCTCTTGCGTGATAACACTAAAGCGGGGCGGATTGGTGAGAGTCACGTGTGGGTCCACTTTTCTGCATGTAAGTGCGCTGGCGGGCGGCGAAGCACGCGACGTCTCGGATTGGTCAGCTCTGCTGCAACAAAACGGAAAGAGCCGTGTGTCAGAGATAATCTTCATCCACACTCTTCTTGCATCTCACAGAGTTGTGCGCCGTCAGAGTCAAACTTATTGTCGTCCATCTTGTCATCTTCGTCAACACTCGCCCATATTCATTACCATGTCTTAGACTCTACTCACAGATCCTGAACTCGTACTAACCTCTCACCTCTCGGCCCTCGCCGAAACTCTTTCCGTCATCATTATTCCCGCCAACTCTGGTTGTCCTTAAAGCCCACCCCCATCACACTTATGATCATGTGCTACGCTTAGGCAATTGACCGACATGCCTCAACACTCGCGGCTTTCCTGCTGGACATGCCGTCTGCGCAAGAAAAAGTGCGACCGCACACTTCCCCTCTGCAGCAACTGCCGAGGCCTGGGCCTTTCCTGTCGCAATGGCGACGAGACACGGCCGGGCTGGATGGAAGGCGGCAAAGCGCAGGAACAGCACGCCCTCGTCATCCGAGCGCAAATTAAAGAACACCAGGTCCGAGAGAGATCACTTGTCGCACAACATCGCAGGGCCCAAAAACAGCAACGACGCAGTGACGGGAGATCCGAGCTGCTTATGCATGAGGAGGCATGGGATACGTCGGCTGCGAAGGAATCGAGGCCTGCAGGAGCAACAAGCCATTCGTCATCATCCCAAGCATCATCGTCCTCGCCTGTTCCTGCGTCGGCGGCCTTTGCGCCGCCCGGGCAATCGTACATTTCCGCCGACTTCACCGTCATGTACCTCGACTACGTGTTTCCCTTTTTGTTCCCGCACTACCGCCCAACCATCTTTGAAGGCGGCCGGGCATGGGTCCTGGCGACGCTGCAGACGCAGAAGCCGCTGTACCACACGGCCATGAGCCTGGCTTCCTTCTTTCTGGCCCTGATAACACAAACCCCGTCAACATCAACATCGACGCCGCAGTCGCCGTCTGAAACATCTCTGACGGCCCAGTCCCACACAACCCTCCAATCCTTCTGCGGCGGGTTTATCTGGGACATTCTTGGCCAGCACATGGACGAAGCCAGCCGCGCCGTGCGCGCCGTCATTGACCGCATTCCCCGCGCGCCGGCGGACACGGCGCTGGTCCCGCGCACGCGGCTGCTGGTGAACATTGTGCAGCTGCAAGTGTTTGAAACGGCCATGGGGACCGGCGCCGGGACGGGCACAGGAACAGGAACACGCGGCATTCACCTGCGTGCCGCCACAGAAGTGTTTGACGGCATTGTCCGGCAGTACGATTCCCTCGGCCACGTCCTGGCGTCGCTCGACAGCTCGTTTTCGGAGGCGCTGCAGGGCACCGGCTGGCGCATCTGGAACATTGACCAGGCGGCCTTCCGTTTCGCGGCCAGTGCGCTTCTGTACATGGACATTGTGGAGAGCACGACGCGGCAGGGGGTGCCGCACCTGCGAACATGGTACCCGCGACTGGTTGCGCAAGCGGACGGAAACACAAAAGACACCAGGCGACTCCGCATGGAAGACGTGGTCGGATGTCAGGGCTGGATGCTGATGGTCATCAGCGAGATTGCCGTTCTTGCCAACTGGGCTTACCAGGGCTCTGAGAGGAACAATGGCGACCTGGGCCGGCTGGCAGAGCTCCATGCGCGGAGCCACAATCTTTCATGGCGCATCCACGATGGTCTACGGTATTTGACGAGAGACACGGAATCTGCCACATCTCCGCTCAGTGCAAGTACGAGTGCAAGTGCAGCGTCTCCGCCTCCAGTTTTGCAAGCCTACTACCGGCCCGACAGTGGCGCCCAACTCCAGGAACAGGCCCAAGTCACACGCATCTGGGCCTATGCCGGCCTCTTGTATTTGGAGACAGTCACGAGAAAGTGTGCCTGCGACAACTGCGCCAGCAAGTCTCACAAAGAGAACGCCACAACCGTCCTTGCGCTGTTGCAACAAGTGACGTTGCCGGCTGTGCTACGAGGCCTCAATTGGCCCATCTTTGTCACGGGCTTCATGGCGACCGTCGAGCAACGAGCAGAAATCCGCAATATTGTGGCCACGGCAGGCCCGCTACAGAAATTCGGCGGCCTGGCGTCGACGCTGCACCACTTGGAGGAGTTGTGGAACCGCCCGCCCCAGCAGCACAACGAACCACCACGCACATTTCGAGAGTCGGTGGCCTTGCTGGCCGACAGTCCCGTTTTCATGTAATGACAAGTGACAAACTACTGGATTGAAGAAATCTACATGCTCTTTATCGAGCCTCATGCATCCCGACTGCACACCCTAGTGGCCCTTCCACTTGCCCACAATCTCGGCCGCCGAGGACGTCTTGACCTCGGGAAACTGGACGTTGAGCGTCTTCTCGACCGGCACGTCGAACCGCCCCTCCACCACCCACCGCCCAAACATGGCCATCATGCCCTGCACTGCCGGCTTGGGCATCATCTTGTAAAAGGCGGTGTGCAAGGGCAGCTCGGTGATTTCGTTCTTGGCCAGCGACGCGGGCGAGTCGTGCGACACGGCAAACTGGGCGCCGCGCGCCGCCTCGGCCAGCGCGAGCAGCTCGTTCAGGGTGAGGCGGTCACCGTACAGGTACGTCGTGGGCGCCCAGGTGTCGAGCGACAGCAGCCGGGCGACAAACGCGGCGACGTCGAAGCTGTACGTGACGGCGATGGTGTCGTCGCCCGTGCCGGGGATGCCGGCGACCTTGTTCTTGACGTCAATGGCAAAGCCCAGGGGCGGCAGGTAGGACTTGACGTGGGGGAGGCCGTAGAAGTCGAGGAAGTAGCCGTTGACGACGGTCGTGTACTGGAGCGACGTCTTGGCGAGGGCCTCGATGGCGGCGTGGCGGAACGGATACAGGAAGGAACTGTTTGTCAGTCACCAGTAGTATAAACTGCGCAGCAAACAGACACGACATGGGCGCCTCCCAGGGAAACGTACTCGGTGGAATGCTCCATGCCCCAGTCGCTGGCAATAAAGCGCGTGACGGTGCCCGACTGGACGGCCGCCTCGATCAGCGACAGCTGCGCGGCGCTGCTGGTGGCCTCCATCACGCTGATGGCGCTGATAACTGTGCCAATGTTGTTGTCGGCCAGCGTCTTGGTCGTGGCCGCGACGTCCGAGTAGTCGACCGCCAACGACAACTCTTTGCGGGCGGCGTCCTCGGGCGTCTTGCGGCCCAGAGCAAAAACGGTGATCTCGGAAAGCGAGACGCACAGGACCTCCACAAGGGTGCGGCCCACGTTGCCATGGCCGCCGGCGACAGCAATGTTGGACATGGTGAAGACGTTGGATGATGAAGACGGTGATGGTAGAGGAGCTGGACGGAACCAGTTTTATGATGTAGACCTTGTGTGACTTGTTAAGAGGCAGATGGATGATGTTGATCTCCTACATGTTCTCTGCACGTCAGGGAGCTGCTGTCTATTTATATTGGTGTTCCGTCTACAGCCACGGCTATCAGAAATATGCTACACCTTCTCGTCATCCTGTCGGGCGATATAATCTCCGTCTGCAAACCTGCTTGTCAACTGGATGCCTTCTACGCCCTTCTTCAATCAACCCGTCGCTCCGTCGGTGAAGTTTTGCGGGCGACAGGCGACGGGCGCCGTTTCGTCGTCGAAACAAATGGCGCTAAAGACCGCGCGGTGCTCAAGCATGGATGGATCTAACGACCGCGCGGTGCCCTGACAAGGTAAAGTGGTCAGCAAGACTCCAGATCCTGACGAATCGAGACCCACATGTCGGCGGAGAATCGCAGTCCCGGCCTCGCGACGACAGCCACAACTTCCACGATGGACGGCACATTTCCATTTACCATTGTCAATATCGACGAGAATTATTAATGAAAGTGTCCGAGAACTGAACTGATACATGAGCTTACGCTTCTGTTTTCCGGAGGGGTGGCAGACACAGGCCACGTTCAGCTGCGGAAGAGTCTTGTACCTTGATCCTCGGCGGATTTAGGACACGACGTCTTGATAAAATATAACGATACGTGCCGGACTAGCGCTCACAGTGCAAAATCTGTATGAAGTGTACTGTCATTTATATTTCTCTACTAACGTCCACCAAGGCAACCAAAGATTAATGTAAATTCACATATGAAATTATTCTGTGCTTCCAAGTCATAGCAGTAAAATTCCATAAACAAGCAAACAATTACCCACCCCGATGGTCATGGTCGTAAATCTATTATCTTGTTCACATCCTGCAAATCGGTTAGCAATCTCGGCTGTCTTTGAGAATATCGGAGGGACGACAATACCTTTGAACCGGGGTGAGGCCGAGCAGCCGCATGCCGTTCTCCAAGACCTGCCGCGCACTCTCGTACACGACGGCACGAGCAACCATGCTCTCGCGCGTGTCGGCACCGACGACTTGCAAGACGTCGTAGGCCGACGACAGCTGGTGGGCCAGGCGGAACAGGTAGGTCAAGATGGTCGACGGCTCGAGGTTGCGCAGCGCCGTGGACGTGACGTCGGGGTACTGGGCCATGAGACGGACGAGGTCGGCGCCATGGGGCGTGTCGAGGTCGGGGCCCAGGGCGGCCAGGACGGCGGCGCCGCGCTCGCGGACCGCACTGTGCAGGTCGGCCCGCGCGAGGCCGGCCTTGCGCAGGATGGAGCAGAGGCGGGCGTGGCAGTACTGCAGATACGGGCCCGTGTCGCCCTCAAAGGACGTCATGCGCTTGATGTCAAAGGGGTAGTTGTTGATGCGCTTGCCGGTCATGTCCTGCACCATGACGGCGGCGATGCCGACCGTGTCGGCCACGGCGGCCGGGTCGTCGACCTGCGCATACTTTGTCGCGTTGCGACGCATGACGTCGTGCATGGCGTCGGCCGTTTGGTCCAGGATGTCGCTCAGCAGCTTGACATTGCCCAGGCGCGACGACATGCCCATGACCTTGCCAAAGTTGACGTGCTGCACGCGCGCCGCCAGATCGGCGCGGCCGATGAGCTCGAGCACCTTGCGGATGCGCTGAAAGTACAGATCCTGCTCCGAGGAGACGACGTAGATCATCTTGTCGAAGCTGTACTTTGCCTCGCGCTCGAGGACGGCACCGACGTCGCGGAGCAGATACGTCGTGGTGCCTGTCCGGCCGCGGACCACAGCGACGCCCAGGGCCTTGGCACCATGCTTCTTGAAGTCAATCAGCCACGACCCCTTCTCTTCCTCATACACGCCCTTTTCCCTGAGCAGCGTCTCCACGGCCTGCACCGACTCTGGCTGCACCTGCGACTCGCCCGCGTACTCGTCAAAGGCAATGTTGAGGCGCGCGTACGTGGCGACGTAGCGGTCGATGCTGATGTCGCGGAACCGCCTCCACAGCGCCAGCGCCTCTTCGTCGCCGTCTTCCATGCGGCGGAAAAAGTCGTTGCGCTCCGCAAACAGGCCCTGGGACTCAATCTCAGCCGTGTCGCGTCCTTCGTCGCGTGCCGTTTTGCTCGCGTCTTGCTCCGGCTTAAAGTCCTTGTTGATCCGCGCATAGACGTCCAGCAGGTGCCGCAGCGGCTCGCGGGCCAGGGCCTCCTCGGATCCATATCGCTGCCAGCCCACCGCCAGCAGGCCAAACTGCTTGCCCCAGTCGCCGAGGTAGTTGATCTTGACCACGTCCCATCCCATGGATGCGTACAGGTTCGCGACAAAGGCCCCGATGATGGTGCTGCGCAGATGCCCGGCGTGGAACTCCTTGGCAATGTTGGGCGACGAGAACTCGACGAGGACGCGCTTCGGTTTGGCGGCACCCTCTGTGCGGTCGTGCCCGTACAGGGCGCTGCGCTCAAACAAGTAGGGAAGCAGGTACTGCGCAAGGGGGCGCGGGCGCAGGTAGATGGGGAGGTGAATGCCCGTCGGCACAGGCCTGGCAAAGAGCGGGTGGGTGTCCGGAAAACGGGCCGCCAGGTCGGCACAGAGCTCGTCGATTTTGCCTTGTAGGCGGAGTCGCGGCACGGGCACCACCAAGTCGCCCTTGGCCAACGCAGTCGTGGACTGCACGGCATCGTAGGCCACGGCCGGGGCGCACGCCGTTAGTTGGGCAAGAATCGCGGCGACGTGCACGCGGTACAGGTCCACCGGCCGACTGCGAAGATGTACATCGGGGAGTTCAGCAATGTCTTGTGGCGCGGGCTCCACGCCGTCAATGGCGGGCAGAACGCCTGCCAGGTCTTTGCCTGTTGTTGTCGACATTGGCAACGTTCTTTTTCACGGACGAGAAGAATTCAGGTAACCTGGCGTCGATGTTGGCGAAACGAGGAATTTTGTGAATAGAGGTGAACGTCGACGTTTAATGGTGTGTCTCCTGCTGGGGGATGCCGTGTGAGTCAACGTTGTCGCATTGCGGATGAAACACGGCGCTTAATGGCGGGAGGCTCAGCATGCCTGAGCGGTAAAAGTGGAGTCATGCGGCTCTGTCCGACGTGAGTGGACAGGAGAACACTGCGACGTTGATTATTTCATCACGTGGGACGGATCGTTTGTTGTGTACGAGATCTACGGTAGGCGGACTGCGAGTTTCTCCACGATGGTCATGGCGATTACTTTGTGGCGTATAACGACACAGGCTGTTTTCACAACGACGGGGACCAGACTCTGGACGCCATCGCAGCGATTGACGTATTGGTCGACTATGGAGGGTAGCGGCAGCTACTTATTCTTTATTCTTTGTTTTTGTTTTTTATATTTCTTATTATATTCAGACGCCGGGGAGGTATTGCCCTTACACGTATTTAATATGATAGGCGGACGGCTATTTAGCAATCTATTTTGCAAGCATTGTGCTGTGCCCAGCGGCGTCCCAGTCAACGCCAATGTATCCAAACGCCGTGCCCAAAGACCATCCATGTTGACTATCATACACACTGCTCACCCCTCACCCTCACCCTCACCCTCACCCTACCAATCTTTCTCCACGAGCCACTGGTCCCACAGCGACAGCCCGGCCCCGTCAACCAGGTCGCAGTCCCGGTGGCCCCATTTGCGCCGGTACACCTCGCGGCCCGCCTCAGTCAGGACGTCGATGCCCTCGGCGATGCCCTGGGCCGGATAGTAAAACTTCTCGCCCTGGCCGCCCTTCTGGCCGGCCTGCCACGTGTTGCGCTCGCGGTCGCCGTGCTTGTACTGGAACATGCGGTCAGAGACGGTACGGAGCTTGCGCCACTGGTCGAGGCGGCTGTCGACGGGGGGCGCGGGAGGGAGATTATTGTTCGCGGCAGCAGCCGCGTCGTCGCGCCCGTGAATCTTCTTTTCCTCCTCCGTCTGCGGCCGCGGGTTGGGGTCGACAAAGTCGGGGTCCGGCAGCCCGTCGACGCGGTACAGCACGGCCAGGTCGGCGAGCACGGTGTTGACGTCGGTGACGATGCCGGCGCGGCGGTCCTCAATGGTCCAGTTGGCCATGGCCAGGCGCGCGTGCATGTCGCAGTCCGTCATGTAGTAGGGGATCAGCGTGTCCCAGCCGCCGACGGCCTCGTAGGCCGCCGGGTTGACCAGCGCCAGGTGGTCGTAGGCGAAAAACCGCAGGCCCCAGTGCGGGTCGTCGAGCAGCGTGCCCTGCAGCGCCTGGCAGCACAGCTCGTACACCGTCTTGTACCCGGACCCGGCCTTGCCATTCACGCCCTTGTCGCTGTACGGCGGCGTCACGCCGTCCAGCCCCTCCTCGTACGACAGCGTCAGCACGTCCATGTGCGACCAAAAGTAGTACGACCACCCGCGCGCGTACGTCAGCGACAGGTAAAAGTTTTGCAGCTGCGCAAACGTCAGCAGCACCGGCGTCTGCACGACGTTGACGCCCAGCCGGCGCAGCGTCGTGTGGTTGAGGTAGAACGGGTGCTGCAGCGTCAGCTGGCCGCGCGTGTTGGCCTGCTGCACGCCCGTGTTCTCCACCACGTAGATTTGCTCGGCGGGCCACCCGGCCGTGATGTACGACACCACCGCCTGCAGCAGGATCGGCCACGACCGCGTGAAGCCAATGAGCAGGGGCGGCGGCGTCGACAGGCCGTACTCCGTGTGTAGATTCGGCCGCGGGCGGTTCCACTCGGGGATCGGCGGCGGCAGCGTCGACGCGTCCGAGTTGGCCAGCAGCGGGAAGGGTTCGCGCACCGGCGGCGGGACGTAGCCGCTGTTGTCGGAGGGCAGCGGCTTGTACTTGGGGTGCGGTCGTGGTTTTTCTTTTTCTTTTTCTTTTTCTTCTTTTCCTTGTCCCTGTCCGCTGCGCATGGGCGGCAGCGGCAGCTTTTCCTTGACGGTGTCGAGGGCCGTTACGCCCATCTCGGTGCGCGAGAAGAGTGCGAGGAGCACGACAAAGGAGAAGATGCTGATGACGGCGAACCGCCGCCGTGGTGACAGCCCGATCAACATGATGCAGTCGAGGAATGGCGGTGGTGGTGACGAAGACGATGATCTATGATGGTGACGACAGTGGCCCCGACTTGGACGGACGGGCATACGACGACGAAATACCGAGGCTTCAAAAGGGATGGGAAAGCAAAGGAAATAGTTTACATCAGTCGTTTCCAAGAGAAAAAGAAGAAGAAAAAAAAGGCATTCCTTACCCAACCCTTCATCTCCCACCCTTGCTCTCCCAAACAAAAACATCCCCTTTCCATTGCCGCTTGTCGCCTCTTACATTGTGCTGACGACTGTCCACCGACCTATGCCTATGTCTGACTACGCAGTGCTACGGAGATGACGTACGGTAAAGAATCTGATGAGATCGGCACGCTAGAACTCACCACCGCCCGGGATCCAATGCGCGCCAGCCCTTGCCAAAGCGAAGCAACACAAACTCACAAATCACAAAGACAGACTCGACGCCCGGACGCTACTGAAATCAAAAGAAGCGGGTTCGGCGGGCCACTAGCCTCTCGCCCTAGCAGAAATCTTAAAAACTAACGATTGTCTCTGCCAAGGTTAGCCAAACGCCAGAGAACACGCTGTCGAGCCGTCATCGATATGCCGTGTTTTGTGGAGCACCACTCTGGAATGCAGGAATTCAGGGAGAACAATGGACGTACGAGGGACAGCAAGGACAGCAAGGACAGGGAGACAGGGAGCAGGAGGAAAGTCTCCGTCCCTGTACCACGGACAGGTCGCGTTGGTCTTTTTACTTTTTCTACTTTTCTCTGCTTTTTTTTATGGTTGTTTCAATTGGCTTTCCTTCCTCCACGCAGCACATGTGTACCAACGGTCAGAGAAAATGCATGACGACGGCGACAAAACTAAGCCAAGTTGCTATTCCCACTGCCGCAAAGACACAAAGAGCCACCAAGCAATAAGTGACAGCGTCAAATTGTCGAATTTACGAAATACACACTAGACTATATGCTTTGCCGTGGGACGCAAACAATACTTTGTCTCCCACAACGTCCAATGCCTTCTCGCACGGAAAGTAATAAGCAAACCGTGCCTTGAATTATCCCCTGTTCGAAATACAGAGTTGTCAGCACATGTCAGATCAACCAAGGTCGACAACCGAGCTGTCAGACCAACCATGCGAGTTTGTATTCCGATCTCCTCAAGAGTCTCACGGAGTGGTCGTCTTAGCTCCCCCACTGTGGGTTGCCGTTATGCGTCGTCATTGTGCCGTTGTCCCGGCGCTTTGCGCTTTGGCTTCCCCCTGCAATGCACCACCAGCCGGGCGTACCTCGTACTCTGGCTCCAAGATGGGGCATGAATACGAGATTTAAATTTCATTTTCAACACACTCTCCGCGTCGACTATTAAGCATATCCTTCGCGTGGTGTCGCGCTTTTTTTCTTTTTTTGTACTGTTTTGGTAATAAAAAAAAAGGCACTTTTATTGATTCTGAGTCGCGTGAGTAGCATGTAGTGAGTAGCATGTAGTATTGCTCGGTAGGCACAACAAAATACATTTTCCGTTCGTGTTTTTCCCGGGCCTGGCCGTCGCTTGGCATTGCTTGACTTCTTGGCCGAGGCCACCCCTGCCCACAAAGTGAAACGACGTACCAGCCAGTGATATGCGGCTCCGAGTCAGAAACGATTCTTTGCGATCCTTCCGTATGCAATTACGACACTCGTTATTTTCCGTGATTTGTAACCAGCGCACCTTTGGGGACGCTTTCCCCACGTGGAGACAAGCGGGCTCGACAATTGCTAGTGCGAATCCTTCCAGGCACACATTTGACAGACCTGTGCTTGCGTCGTATCTATTTTTGTCCCCGACAAACTGATGCACAGCCAACTCAGTGGCTTGAACAGGACGGCCGTGGGTTGTCGTCGATTCTTCCTATATGGAAGACCGTAAGCCAAACGACGACACAAACACAGCACCGGCGCAGTGCAGATAAGTCGTGATAGTTCAAATGGGAATCCATTACAGTAATCGAATTTCTCAGCGGGATTCTGAAGTCTGGAGATTTGTTCCGCATATATTCATATACATAAACATCTGTACCTGTGAAACTAGAAAACACGGAAAAAAAATAAAGCGATGGCAAACAGTTAACTGTCAATAGCAGTTCCGCGAGTTTGTATTCACGTGCCCAGCATGATGGCGATGAAGAGAATTGTCGCCGTTCAGCCTTCTACGGTCCAACTTGAAGTGGAAGTGCATGGGACCATCATCAGGCAACCGCCACTGTTGCAACAAACTATCAGTCATGTTTATGTCACGCCCGAGTTCTCACGGTTTTACTCAGCGGCACAATATGGTCAATACGCACTCGCGGAAGAAGGATGGAGACGTCGACTTCACTCTGTCTCTCCGTCCTGCCCAGGAAGCGGGTGGCGCGGATCACAAAACACCGCCAGTACGTATTGCTACAACTTGACCGGGTGTTAGGCAGGGCAGAGGCGTTCGGCCGGCTTGTACACAGGTTTGCGCTCTGGCAGTAGATGACCGGCCCGTCCACGAGCCCTTGGCAAGGAACTACCACCACGTCACCACCTTGGCTGGCAATTTGGTGCGGCTCTAGATCCGACCCCGCGAGCTGCACAAGGCCGTTTATGTCGTGGCCGACAGACTGTACTTGAGTCACGACTGGCGTGGATTCCGGAAACTGAGCAACATCGTCGAGCATAGCGACGGCGGCCTGGACCCGATCAGCCGGGCCTCGTGAACCCAGACAGCCTATGGCACCCGGGCTGCGAGCTGGCGCCAGATACACCGGAGCAGAGCTACCTCAGCGGCGTCGATCTGGACCGTTAGGAGCTGACCATGGAGACGCCCTCGGACGGCAATTCGAATTCGCCGGTGCCGTGCTGACTGGGAAGTGACAATGGCCCGCCCAGGAAACCTCATGTAGAACTACGCATATGGGGATGGATAGTCGGGATATAGGCAACGTTGCGTTGACTTCTTTTCTTTTTTCCTACCTTTATTTTCACGCTCGTTGCTTCGACGAGATACCTGATGATTATTAAAGAACAAAATGAATATAATTCCGCTTGTCATTCCATATTATGTTCGTGTCAGTTAGAAGGTATACCTTATTGGCACATCCCAGTGCTCGCTACGATAATAACAACACATATATTTCTCATCAAGAGGTATTTCACGCAGTAAAGTAGTCTATATTTCAATCAAGTATATAAACATTGGTCACTTCGGGCGCCTTAGTTGACGACTAACGAGCCGCACAACGCCAATCCCGCCGAGGAGGTTGTCAAACCGCTACCTAGTTTCCTACGGGTCCTAGCGACTTATAATGAATATACTGATAAATGTTGACAAGACTTCTTCATGACTTTAGTTGACCGCAGACACTCAGAAAGATTCAGTGACTCGGCGGCAGCGGCTACTGCCACCTGACGGACTTACTGGAGCGCGTGCAACGCAACACGGACGATATCAAGTATAAAAAGGTAAACCAATATGGCATCCGAAACTAGTAAGGTGTATGGTGTACGGAAAGCGGATCATCGGTCGCAGCCTCTGTGTGGAAAAAGGGAAACAAGTGCTCGGATGGTGGTCGAGGCCTTTTCAGCCATCTCTTCACTTCGTGTTGCACTCGGACGATCCATCCCACATGGCTCCGACGCCAAGAACGCTCTCCGCATCTAACTGCCGATGCTCTTTGTTTCTCTCGGAAAACGCCGCCAGATGGTTCCCCACAAGCCGCTAGAGAGGGGTGTTGAGGGAAAATTGTTCCCCCTGGACAAGCCAAGCCCCCAAACTCGGAGACACTAGAAAAGGTACGTTTGGCGAGAACCACGAACATGCCAACTAGCGCCCAGATGGCCGGTTTGCAGGATTCCAGAGGATGATGGACTTGGCGACATCATAACGACAATGCGACGGCGGGACGATTTGTTTGCCCCTCATGACCTCCGCACACGGCTTGCTATTTCATAGTCCGTCTCTTTCCAGTTGCAGACGTCACATAACGGTCGATAGCCAGCAAACATCGACACACTGCCAACAGCCAAAATGGCCATTGAAAACATCGTCCCTGCGAGCGGTGGTGGTGCCACCACTGTTCCTCTCCTTATCAACGGAAAGGAGATTGCCACGCCGACTGTGTTTCCTGTCGTGTCTCCCGACGTCGGCACGGGCTCCATCTGGCAGGCCTCGTCGGCGTCGCGCGAGGATGCCGTGGCCGCTGTCAACGCCGCCCGCGACGCCTTTCCGGCGTGGTCTCGCACGAAGCCCGCCGTTCGACGAAACATTCTCCTCCGGGCCGCCGATCTCCTCGAGGCACACGCGGCCGAGTACCAGGCATACATGGTGCAGGAAACGGGCTCGGGCGCTGGGTTCGCCGAGTTCAACCTGATGACGTCGCGCGAGATCATCCGCGACTGTGCTGGACGCATCAGCGGCGCCCTGAGCGGCACGGCGCCCATCTGCGACGACGCCGACACGCAGGCCCTGGTGGTCAAGGAGCCCTATGGCGTTATTCTGGGCATTGCGCCTTGGTACGGCTCTCCACGCCCAGCGTCCTTGTGTAACACTGCAACACACAAAAAATTCGAGTAAGCTGCATGCTGACAGTCTAGGAACGCCCCGTATATTCTCGGCATCCGGTCGGTCGTCTACGCGCTGGCGGCGGGCAACACCTGCGTGCTCAAAGGCAGCGAAGTGTCCCCGCGCTGCTTCTGGGCCATCGGCGCGCTCTTCCGCCAGGCAGGCCTGCCCGACGGCTGCCTGAACGTGCTGTACCACCGCCCGGCCGACGCAGCGGAGGTCACGCGCAGCCTCATCGAGCACCCGGCCGTGCGAAAGATCAACTTTACGGGCAGCACGGCGGTCGGCCGCATCATTTCGGAACTGGCCGGACGGCATCTCAAGCCGGTCCTCATGGAGCTCGGCGGCAAGAACAACGCCATTGTCTGCGAGGACGCCAACGTGGCCTATGCTGCGCAGCAGTGCTGCTTGGGCGCGTTTTTGCATGTAGGTCGGACGGTACCTTGCTGATGGTGCTGTGCAACACAGAGAGTCTAACGCAGCTGTCCTAGGCCGGTCAAATATGCATGTCCACGGAACGCATCCTCGTCCACAGGAATGTCGTCGAGGCTTTCAAGGTGGAGCTGAAAAAGGCCATCGCCACCATTTTCAGCGAGGCGGCGCCGGCTCAGCCGCTTGCGCTGCCTGGTGGCTACGACAAGGTCACCAGCCTCGTCCAAGACGCCGTGGCGAAAGGCGCCGGTGTGTTTCACGGGCAAGCGCCGGCCTCTGCGTCGTCGTCCACCTCGTCCCGCACCATCCACCCCATTGTCCTCGACGGCGTCACGGACCAAATGGACATTTACCAGACCGAGAGCTTTGGCCCCTCCGTGTCGCTGATTTCCGTCGCTGACGACGACGAGGCCGTCCGCATTGCCAACGACTCCGACTACGGCCTCAGCGGCGCCGTCTTTACCGAGGACCTGGCCAGGGGCCTGTCCATTGCGCGCCGGATCGAGACGGGGGCGGTGCACATCAACAGCATGAGCGTGCACGACGAGGCCGGCCTGCCGCACGGCGGCGTGAAGAGCAGCGGATTCGGCCGGTTCAATGCAGATGCCGGGCTCAACGAGTTTCTCAAGACCAAGACGATTACGTTCCGTCCGAGCAAGTAGGCGACCGCGGGCCAAGCGCGATGCCATGGCCGGATGGAAGGAGGTGGGGAATTTAATTCTTCTTTCAAAAAAGAGCTACAGGGCTTACATTCGAATAATGATCCGCCTGTTGCTTCGTTAGTGCTTTGCCTTTCCCAATCGAGTCGTCCCACGCTACGTCGCAGTACTGTCCGTCTCAGGAGCGTTTCCCGTCCGTTGCCGCCGCGTTTACTTGTCGTTTAGCAGTCATACCGCTCGATGGGAGTTGCTAGAGATCTAAAAGACCTCTATTATTCCTCCAGTCTCTGACTGGTTCTATTTATTCTCTGTCAACACATATCGTGGGCCTAATAAACATCAGCTTGTTTCCCCCTCACCGTGCCCCAGGCACTTCTTTCACAACGACCATCGTCAACAATACAAGTGGCCCAACTCGACAGTCATGCTGGTCTGGTGCAGCACAATGACACAGAGAGAACTGGGAATGACAGCCGTTGCTGTTGTCATGATTGTCGTATGCCGGACGGGAGCGACGAGAGGCGAAGCGCCCGTCCCTGTGTGGGAAGGAGAGCTGCAAGGACAGAAATGGCAACGACAATGGGCATGAAGTAACGGTGGGATTTGTTGTGCCTGGAAATGTAGCCGAATTAAATAGCGGCATGTGTCGCAATTGAAACGACATGAGAATGTAAAGTAATGTTTTGTGGGTTCAATTTTAAGGCTGCGAGAAAGTGCGGTACAGTGCCTGTGTACCCTGTAGGCCACCCACCTGCAAGGTTACAGTGGATATTACTGGCTACGTTACTGCACCAGCTCCCCCCGACGTCCCGTTAGCAAATGCTAAGTTTCGCGTCCCCACTCGAATACATGCAACCAACAAGGCTGAACAGCCCTGTCCATTTCAACCCCAACCTCAGCTTCGTCCTCAACCAAGCCAACAACCTACAGCCCACGGCCTACGGCCACTGGACATGATTCCGACATCCGACATTCCTGATACAAAGATGGATTGGGATAGCGTCGCTTTCAACGCCAGCGCCTTTGTCGCGGGTTTGTTTCTCCTTGAATTCGGCGCGGATCGCTTCATCGACCACACCGCGATTGTCGCGCGCCGACTCCGCGTCTCGCAGACCTTGGTCGCCTTGCTCACCGCTGGCGCAGAATGGGAAGAGGTGTGTTTGAATCGGCTACAATATGGAATGGTGACGAGGACGCTAATTTGCTCTGCAGCTGGCCGTTGTTGTGGCCGCGATCCTCCAACGCCGCTCGTCTCTGGCCGTCGGCAATGTCGTCGGTTCCTCCATCTCAAACATTCTCGGTGCCTTCTCTCTGGGGCTCCTCGTCCATCCCGGCCGCTTGACCTTTGACCACAGCGCAAAGGTATATGCTGCATTGCTCTTTGTCGTCACCACGCTCGCAGCCGTCGTGGGCCTCACAAGCCGCCTCGGCCGAATCGCGGGTGCCGTCTTCATCGCCGTGTTCGCCTTGTATCTGGCTTCCGTTGGCTACGGCATCTACAAGGGTGTGTTGGACACGCCGGAGGATGTCGACTCGGATAGCGATTCGGATAGCGATGATGACAGCACGCGAGGCAATGGCCACGAGGCAGAGGCGCCACGCGATGCGGTCGCTGACGAGCAGTCGCCGCTGCTCGCCAACGGGTCTGGTGGAGAGCAGCCGCCACGCCGCCCCAAACATGGCATCGTCTACCACGTCGTTCTGCTCAGCGTCGGCTTCTTCGCATTGTCGCTCTCGGGCTACATCCTGTCGCACAGTGCTGCCTCCATTGGAGACGCCTTTGACCTCTCTGGCACCGTCCTCGGCGTCACCGTCCTGGCCTTTGCGACGACGCTGCCGGAGAAGTTCGTTGCCGTGATCGGTGGCGTGCGCGGCCATGGCGGCATCGTCGTCGCCAACACGGCGGGAAGCAACATCTTCCTCCTGACGCTGTGCCTGGGCATTACGTTTGTGGCCGGCGATCCAGAGGAGCTCTCCAGCTCTGTCGTCCCGTTTGAGCTCCTCGCGATGTGGGTGTCCTCGGCACTGTTTCTCCCGATTGTGTTCTTGGGGTCCAGGCCGTGGGTAGGCGCCGTGCTGCTGGTCATGTACATTGTATTCCTTGTGCTTGAGTTTACTGTATTTAGAAGGTAGGCAGGGAGGTTGTCAAAAAAAGAAAAAGAAAACGGAATCATGGTATTCTGATCACGATTCACTGGAAAGAACATTCATTGTGCCAAACAAAGGCAATGTCTATGTCTGCAGAGTATGCTACATTCGTTACTTGTGCAGATACCTCCTTGGCGGCTGTGCCGCTATGCGTGGACTTCTCCTCGGAGGCGAGTTTGCTGGCGGATCTGCCGGACGGCGTCGTGTCTTTTTCGATGATATTGATGTCTGTTTCCTTGAGCGGCGGTGCCGGTTTGGTACTGCTGGCGACGGCTCCGGCGGCGGCTGCATTTTACTGCGTTTGGCGGGTTGTATGTTGTGTCTTGGTTTGTCGTCGACTTCGTTGCCGTTGCCACCGTCATTGTTGTCGTCGCTGATTGTCGCCCGCTTTCGTTTTAACGCTTTCGACTGGCCTGCTCCGGCATGTTTGGCGCTCCTGTCGTCGTCTGCTGCATGGTCCTGTCGTCCGTCATCGTCGGTGGCATCGTCGGACAATGGATGGGCAGGCGGTAACGGCGGCCGTGTCGGAGACGGAGACGGGCCTGTTGTTGACATTGTTGGCATTGCACCATTTGCGTTCTGGCTAAGCCATGCCGAGATTTGCTCCGTCTTCTGCCCCATGCGGTCAACGCGGCGTTCCTGCGTTTGCTCTTGCTCGCGGCGCTCTTGGATGGCCCGCTCGAGCAGCTCGATTCGCATGAGGTCACCCTCTGAAAAATGATGCGTCACCAACTTGCCCGCGTTGACCTCTTGTCTCTTTTGTCGCAGTTCCTCTCGCTTCTTTTCCCAGTAGGAAATGTCGTCGAAATCTGGCGGGGGCCGGAAGTGGGTGTCAAAGCGAAGATTGGCAGGATCATCAAAAACGATGATTCGCCGCGGAGCCTCCTCGTCCTTGTCGTTGTCCTCGGCCTCGTCCTGTTCCCGGGAATGCGTGTCGTACTCGCGGACGTACAGATCGTCGCAGTGCAAGACCCATTTTCCGGCAAATCCACCATCCCACAAGTCCTCCATCACCACCACGACCTGGCCTCGCGCAATGGCAAGCGCCGCGTGTTTTTCAAACTCTTCTGGTGTCTCCACCACTGGTGGGTTCTCGATGCGATCCTTGAGGTACTTTGCAAACGCGTGGTCTTCGTCGTTCTCCATCGCCTCCAGTGTGCGCAGCTCGTCTTGGCTAAAGCGAGGCTTCAGATGCCCGTCCTGGACTTGAAGAGTCTTCTCGTGCAGGCTGTTGAACGTGTCTTCCCAAAAGAAGTAGTCGTCAAAATCCGGTGGCGGCCCGTTCCCAGCCCACCTGAGCTCAAAGTCGGCCAGGATCCCGTCGCCCATGGTCCGCGCATCCCCTTTGAGATGCGAGTCACGTACAACGATGCAGTTCTCGGCAGCACGTGTTTGGGGTCGTGTGTCGATGAGAGGGTGGTAAAATTCCTCGTGGTGCAAGACCCATTGACCGGGCCGCCCCAGCTGCGCGAGGTCGAACAAGGCGTTAAACACTCCATTCTTTTGGCCGTTTAGTCGCATCCGTCTGTCAATCACTTCTGTGTGGAAGAGATGGCGAGGCTGTGCCTCCAACAACTCGATGACCTGCAGTTCCTCGGGCGTGAATCGAGGATGCACAAGCCTGGCCTTAACTTGCTTAGTCTTCTCGACGAGGCTTTTGATTTGGCCCTCCCAAAACGTGACGTCGAGGAAATCGGGCACCGGCCCTTTGCCGGCCCAGATGAAGCCCGCGTCTCGAATCGGAACCCCATGGTAGGTAAGGCCGCGAACGTGAACTTCGTCGTCGGGATTTCGTGATTGCGGGCGAGGGTCCAACGCCGGATCATACAGATCCTCATGAAGTAGAATCCACTGGCCAGGACGGCCGAGTCTTGCAAGCATGTTGATCCTATAGTGCGTGTTGGCAATTGACCACGACAGCTTCTTATAATACCGTCGCTGTGATGGCGAGAGCCGTAATTTTGGAGGACGTGCCGTCGTCGCGTTATCAGCGGGCCCCGCCATGTTTGGTTAGATACGTCGGCCTCGTGGCGTTTGGATTATGGGATGGAAGAAGGCGATGTCGGTTTGTGCTCGCTGGAGAGGACAACGGAGGCTAGGACAAGAGGGGAAAAGGAGGACTGTGTCGTGGTAACGGTAAGTAGCGATATTTCGTGGCCCGTGGCGATGTAGCGTTTTGTGAAAAATGAGAAAGAGACGACTTTCCTCGGTCGCGTCGCGTTTGCCGACGGGCGTTTCAACCTGCGCCGAGCGGCCATTTTTAGGTCATCTTTAGCCCCTGGGTTTAATCAGCTTGGGGAAGTTCCGTGCCTACAGCCGCCCAAGCGTTCTGTCCGTTGGTGATTGACCCCTCTTTGACGCAGACAGGGCAGCAAAAACTAACAAATAGAATAGCGGGTCTACAGCACACGGCCCGCTCCTAGCCGCCGAGGTCATGTTATTCGCACCGAGACGTCGAAGCGTCGTAAAATCACTGCATCACAGCCTCGACTGTCAACCCGTGGTGTGCGCGTGTGTGTGGGCCTGCGTTTGCGACGAGTCGTTCAAGCCAACCATTTATGTCAAAACGTATAATCTGTAACAGGTGCTGTCACCCTTGGTTTGACCAGACGCCCAAGTGAGGATGACTGCATCGACTTGCCTGAATGGCGCAAAGAAAACCTTAATTTGCCTTATGGTCTTTTTTTTTTTGTCGAACACAAGAACTTCCCATAAGAAACCTGCCAAACCTATCCCGTCGCCTTGTTCATTGTAAAGTAGACGTATTCGTCCTCCACACTTTTGTCTTTTCTTTAACACCACCAAAGTCAAACAACGCAGTCACGATCAGCTGTTTCATCATGGCAAGCAACACAATCATTTTTACCATCACTGGAGATGCAGACGTCCTAAATAACTACCACAATGAAAAGTTTTTTTGCCAGGAAGGCGCGGATGTCTGGGAAGACGATGAACCCAGTCAAATTGTTGATTCGTCCAACGATGACCACGGCACGCCAGCCCCAGACTGGACGCCGCCTTTTGTTATTCGGATTACCACGGACAGTCAGCCGAGAGACAAGACCATCGGATTTGTTCTTGGTAGAGACACAGCCACGTGCGATATTTTGATTGACGATCACAGAATCAGCGAGCGACATCTCGCCCTGCTGCCCCTGCCAAAATGGCGCTCTACTCTTTTGCGCAATCACTCAAAGCACGGTACTCGAGTTCATTTCTCAAGGCAAAACGAGATCAGACGGGTACGAAATGCTCAGGTTGTGATGAACTTCGAAACCCTGACAATCAAGTTCAGCGACGATCTACAGATCGAAATTCAACGCGGCGGTGACCCAGTGGACTGGCGACAATATCTCGCCAAGTACGGGAAAGCTGACGAGCCGAGCCTGGCGTTGCTCGACATCCACACGAAGGTCGCGACAACCAATGCATCCCAGCGGCCCCCTGTGTATATGCAGGATCGCGAGATTGGGCAGGGCGGCTTTGGACAGGTGTTCAAGGCCGTGGAAAAGTACACTGGGCAAGTCTACGCAATGAAGCTGTACAAGCGCGGCGCGGTGGAATGGAGAGAGCAAGCCATGCTGCAAAGCCTCAAACATGTACGTTCAGATTCACGACACCTCCACAGGGCACATTTTTTCCCGTCTCGTTTACGTCTTAATTGCATTGTTGCTAAGGGTTGTTTACGTAGGAATACGTGGTACAATATGTCGCCTTTATCGACCTGCCCGGCCAGCGTGCACAGCTCATCATGGAGTACGTGGACGGCCCCAATCTCCAGGACATCTGCGACCCGGACAAAGGACACCCACCGCTCAGCGTCACCGAAATCCAAGACGTGCTGTGGCAGCTTCTCACAGCTGTAGCGTATCTACACGGTCGAGGGATGACACACAGAGACATCAAGCCGGCCAACATCATCCTGGCCTGCCGCGACCCCGTCCAAATTAAACTGGTTGATTTTGGCCTGGCGACGGATGCGACCCGGTTCAACACCACTTGCGGGACGGCGTTGTACATGGCGCCAGAGATTGTCAACGGCCACAAGGCTCGCACAAACAAGGTGGACATGTTTGCGATTGGCGTTCTCATTCTCGCCTTGTTTGGAACGTCATTCGACATAGCCGACGACAGTGGCGACGACTGGGAGCCGTACCTCGACGCCGTCGTCACGCAGAGACAGGTGCTGGCTGCTCAGTCCCACGGCCTGCCGGCCCATTTCGACCTGGGCATGCAGCTTCTTGCTGACACACCAGCCGACCGGCCCTCGGCCCTCGAATGTCTGGAACACGCGTTTTTCACGTCGAGCGGCTCCGCTGACGGTGACGTCGACCTGTCCCTGTCGCGCAGTCCCACACCACAACGTCGCCCCGATACAACGACGCAACGTTACCGTCCCAGCCCAGACTGGGCGGTTGGGGAGTACCCGATGGAGCAGTCGCCGACGGCACTCTCAGAGTACCTCGCCGCCCCCACCCCTCGGGCGTCGTCGTCGTTGTCGCGGTGGGCGTCCACCTCGCCGTCCGCCCAACACGAGCGTCCAGCCAAGCGCAGCAGGCAGACACCGAACCGCAGCTTGGGAAGCATACGCACGGCCGTCGTGAAACCGAGTGGGCCGTCGTCACGGTCCCGCCGTGGCGAGTACCGCGCAAGACGCAGGGCCCCGTCCGCCGGAGACGGGTACAACGGCCGGGGCGACACCCCCGAAGATGAGGTGGACTACGGAGATGACGACGACGACGACCAGTCCCTCTACCATGGCAGCCACAGTCGTCCAGAGACGTCTGAATATGCTGTACTGCCGCCGGGCAGCGTGTCCAGCAGCGTTACGGACACAGCCTCGAGCGTGGCATCCCCCGAGCCAGAGGCGTCTCGCCCGGAACCACCCCCTGGTCGCTACTCGCTCCGCTCCTCCAACGCCAGCAAAACGACAACCGACGCGTCGTCGTCGCACACGCGGCTGTATGATGGCTGTTGGTTGGATCCCATGCATGCTGTGTGGGGCGGCTCGTCTCTGTACGACCAGCTGCACTCGAGACATTCCAGCGTGTCTGAGGGGGACGAGTTCGAAGCAGTGGCCAGTCTTGACACGGACGGGTTCGTCCTGACTAGCAAAGGCCAGCATTCCTATGCTCCTGTCAACGACGCCAACGTGCTTCCGTCTGTGGAGGAAATCTACGCTGCGCCCAACCGCGTGGGTACTGTCGTCTATCATTCAGGAAGCAAACCTAGAAGTGAAGCTCCGTCGACCGTTGTCGCCGTTCATCGGCTTTTGGAAGTCTGCGGAACGCCGGAAGGCGAGGTCTGCCCGGAGCACCATCCTAGAAGGGACGAGCATCACAATCCTAAGGGCCGAAAAGGCGACCACGTACACGATACCGTTGTCCTCCAGAGCGCCCAAGTGTCCCAGCCTGCCTGACCGCCTATAGGAAACGGTGCATCGTGTGCAACCATTGTGTTCTTATGTTGTTCCCGCATTTTGTTTCTGTTGTTTCGTCGTGGTCTTCACGCCAAGAGTTTTCACAATTTTATTTTACCGTACGCTTTAGTATTTACCACATAGTTGCTTGCGTACATCTTTCTTTCCTCTGGACACCTTTGACACACTGCCCGCTGTGTCAAGTTTTAGCACAAACGTTCTGATGAGCACCTGTCTTTGCGCCTGTCGTCAAAACTTGTGAATTGCTATCCATCTCTGTTTATAGAACTTCTCTCACACCCGGCGCCTGCACGCTGCCTTGTGTTCTCCTTTTCCGCCAGTCACCCGTTCGCAGCTGGTTACACTTCGGCAGCGCATCGACGTCTCTTTGCGGCTCGCGTGAGACGCACCGACACCTCCACGGCCGGCGTCGGGCACCGTCGCTTGGGCGGGTTGATTTGTCTGTTTTTAGTGTCTCCCAGAGCTGGAGCCGGTTTCTTGTTGGCGCCCGCCCGCTTTGTTTGTTTCTCGCCTGCGTCTTCTTGTGGCTGTTCTTGAGACTGTCCAACGTCTGTAGGGACGTGAGCAGACTGGGATATTTGCTTCGGCTCCTTCTGCTCCCTCTGTACGGTGCCGTTTGCCGCCTGGACAAACCCATCTCGATGTTGCTTGGCCAAGTCTCGTGCATTTCGGAATGCCGTGACGCCATGGCGGAAACTGTCGGCGTTGCCATTTATGGCCCAGGCGTTAATCCGGCTCATATGGTGCTCCGGCTGTCCTCCTTTCGTCACCGGCGCGGTACTATGGTGGGCGTAGAGCTGGAGTGTGCCCGTGCCGCTGATGTAGGTCGAGCTATATGTGTAGGCCATGCCATCAAACGTTGGCTCCGCTTCACCGTAGTTTTGTAGATGGTGTAAAGCACGCGACCCGACGGCTCCGTCATAGCGAGCTTGCCGATTCGCGACCGCACCACTGCCGTTGGGGCCTTTTACCTCCACAAAGAAATTAGGCGCCAAGGGCAAGTCATGGCCGGCCGACGGCATAATATTGGGGCCAAGTTCGTCACGTATCGGCCGGGCGAGATCATCAGGACGGGCACCGTAGTATACGTCGGGCATTGGGTTTGTAACCGTGGCGTCCGTGAGCGGTGCGAGATTGTCGAAAAGAACATTGCGCCCTTCCGCCCGACGATGCTCACAGCGGTCGTTGGAGTCAAGAATTGTCGGAATTGCGTGCGCCATCACGTCGGCTTTGTTCTTGGCACGGTCATTCTCGTCCTCGAACCTGTTGAACGCGCCCTCTGAGAACTGCGACGACGACAGCGACGGCCGCCGCTGGGTTACAACGGATCGGATCTCAGCCCAGTTGGCAGGCTTCTGCGAGCTGTATGTGGCATGCACGCCGTGGTCCGCCAGGTGCTGTTCGAAATTGGCACTGTAAGGCGTAGACTCGGTCGTCTTGGTCTCTGTCGTCGTAGCTGCGTCTGGGTGCAGCTGCTTGGTTTTGTCCAGTGTGTCCACTAGGCGAGATTCGGTGTAGCCATACTGTCTTGTTACCTCTTTGGTATGGTATAAAAATAAAGGAGAAGAGGCAAGGGAGGTCATGGTTGCCAGAGGATTCTTACATTGCAAACATCCATAAGGTCAGGACCGCCGTGCCGCGCAAACCGAGCCACGTCGTCTTCTTCTTCCGTCACACACTGGCGGGTAGATGCAATTACTGGATTTGTTTTTGCAACGGCGTTGCGGCGATCAAGTTCCGCGAGAGCCCCTTCAGTCAGATGAATCTTGGAGAGCCTGTCGTAGAACTCGGGAGGATAGACCCAGTTCGCCCACGCTTCGAGTTCGGCGTCATTGTTTTCGCTTGACCGTGTTCCTGACATCGTAGCAGAGGCCTAGCAAAGGATGCGTACAGTGATGGGAAACGTTTTGAGCCGGCAAGGACAGGTGGATGTCGTTATATGTACTTTGCCTTGACTTGTAGGAAAGTGAACTGAAAAGAAAATGAAGATGGAGAGACAGGAAAATGAAACGAGAAACGGTTCTATATAAAGCCATCGATACAATATCCATGGCCAGAGTCGAAAGCGTAAATGGAAAACGCATTGAACAAAGAGGGGGAACAGAACAGCCTCGTTGGGACGTATTGGGCAACGCGGGCCGCAAACGGGCAAAGTGTAGCGTCTCTTTGTTTGCAACTCCGCATAGCTTCCACAGCCACAGCCACAGACACGCCATGCTTCCTCCCTTTGTGTATTTGTTCTATTGTTACATTTATGATTCGTCTCGTGAATATCGTAGATATGTCGCAATACAAGTGATAGGTGTCGTTGCACGCGCCGCTTTTGTTGTTTGTTGAAATGTGCTACATCGCACCCTTGATCGGCAATTCAACGTACTCGGATCCCCCGCCATAGATACCCGTGCGCAACGTGACGAGCATGTGGACTTCTAGCCGATGACAACAGCGGACGGGTGGCCGCATGTCAGTCGAACCTGAGCGACCAAATTGTCGGGTTTGGAATTTGCCAAACTCGAAGGTGGAACGTTTGGTTGTTTTTAAATTCACATGGCATTAAAGCGTACTAACGTGGAGAAACCGCCAAAGAGGAGCTTGAAATAAGACAGCATGAGTCTCCCTTCTCACACTGTACAAGCATACATAGCCTTTCGACGTCGTGTGTCATCTAGTTGATAAGCCAAGAGGGAACCTTGGTGGCTTACCACTCGCAGATTAACAAGTCCAATGCCATGACTCGGCGCTGCTAAAGTTGGAGACTAGCACGCATCACACCGTGATCTTGTAGTCAGCAGCCCATTTTGTAAAGATGTTTGGCACTCCTGGGAACCCAATAGAGGTTCTGAGACGTAAAATTTGCCGAATCTGTTTCTGGACGAATGAATATCAACATTCAAATCGGTTGAAACGCCCGGCAACGCAGCAGACCTCATGTCCATCTCAACAGACTCACGCTTCAGCTCCAATCTTGGACGCCGCCCTGATGCAATATGGAACCCTCAGTCGAGACACCTGCACATGGCCACGACGACGTGGTGCCCCAGACACAGGCCGAGCTGCTCAATGCGCTTCTGGCCGAGGCGCTGGCCACGCAAGGGGTTGGGCCTTCGATGAGACCGGAGACCACAGGTAGCACAGGGACCACGACACGGACCGAAACCACTCAGACTCCAGAGGTGTCGGAGCCTCAGAAACCAAAAACCCCGAAAATACCAAAACCGGCAGAACCCAAAATCCGCTGCGAAGCTACCAAGCCGAAGAAATCGCAAGGAAACAAAGCACGAAAACAACAGTCACCAGGCCTCACGCCGATGGTCGACGTCGACGACACGTCGGAGGCCTATGAAGAGACGGCAGCAGAGATATTAGTCAGAGTCATGGGTGCCTCCAACCCTCGTATGCCCAGCCAAGAATCAGACCTTTCGAGGGCATCCAAGCCATCCAAGCCATCCAAACCGTCTAAGCAATCCAAACCGTCTGATCCTGACGTCCAGCAAGCCAAGCCGCGCCGACGGCATCAAAAGCAACAGCAACAGCGGCAGCAACAGCAACAGCAACAGCAACAGCAACAACAACAACAACAACAACCGGATATTCTGTCCCAGCCTCGAAGCCTGCACATCAACATAGACGTCGACGTCCAAGTCACGGATGCATCTGGGAGTCCACAGCCTCGTCCACAGGACCGTCCCCAGACCCAGCCTCAGATCCAGTCTCAAACCCAGCCACGGTCGTGTGCCCGTCCTCAGGCCCATCCTCCGAGCCGGACGCATGCTCGGCCGCAGATTGACAACGGCGGGTCCGAAAATGCACCCGTCCAAGCCGCCACCCAGTCCGCCACCCGTGAACCCGCCCGACCCCGCCGCGACTGTGCCTTCTGCCAGGGCCACGGGCGCATTGGCGGCGTGTGGCGTGCGGCGACCGTGGTGTGCCTGGACTGCTCGGACCCGCAGGACGAGTGCTACTACTGCAGCGGGTTTGGTGTTCTGAACGTCTGGCACCGAGTCGGTGGGCCGCATGTGTGCCATTGTGACGGCTCCTTTAGCGGCGACTATTTCGGGCGGCCGACAGTCTAACTTGCCTGTTTGTGTCGTTTCTTCTTCTTGTCCTTGTTTGTGACTCTGTTTCCTCATCCTGCTCCATAAATCGCTGCATTCCGTTTTCTCTTTACGAGCGGTTTCACGACCGGCAGCTACACTAACACGATGTACATATGTGCGTTGTCATATATGGTTGCACTGCGGGACGTTTCATTCCATGCTTTTTTTTATTAAATGATACCCATATGCGTATTTATATGCAGCGTCAGCGTTTTCTTTGACTTCAGCGGTGGCTTTTTTTTCAAGCACCTATTTCTCTGCAGCCTTGTATCATTTAATCGTTTTAAAAATGAAAAAACATTCATACAGGCCGATGTTCAGGTAAAACATGGGCATTAAAATATTATTTTCGTTTATGTGCCAAAAAAAACCGTCGGAAAACGTTATAGATTTACTTTTTATGAACGTGGTACGAATGTACCCATACAAATAATCATTAAGTTCTCAAGAGAACCTTCAAGTCCTAACGGAACCAATTTTCGTAATGCGATGCACAGTGCGTCAGAGCTTGAGCATGAGCTCTATATTGCAGGACAGTGTGCCATGGCAGATTCTCCCATGCAGCATCGGCAGATTGATAAAGCGGTGATTGATAAGATGCGCGGCCGTCAGCTCTCTCGTGCCATTTGGCCAGGCAGCTTCCATTTTTGGCATAGTAGGGTTTGCGAGATTTTTTTTTTGATTTTTTTTTAAAAAACCCTGTGAGACAGTTCGGGTTTCTACTGTGTAGTTTACATAAACAACGTCCCTTACAGAGCACGCAGCGTCCCTTACAGAGCACGGGGCATTAGTCCCAGCTCCGGGGCCGGAGTCATGCCAAAAGAGAATGTTCGTATGTTGCAATACTGTAGATTGATAAGTGGCAGCTGACGAGACCTAAGTCGCCGTCCAATCTCCGGACTAACCCCCCCTGCAAGGACAGTAAGGGCATTCCGTGCTGGTTGGTTGCTTTACTGAGGGTTGTCGCCCAGGCATGAAGTTGCCACACTAAGTTCGTAGTGAGAAAACAATGTAAGCCGCCATGACACATCCCACAAAATACCAAACGACTTGTGTCCTGGCACGGAATGTATTGTATGGCGGGTTGCACAGAAAGTGGAATACCGGAGGCGGTCGTTTTGGCATCGCAGGGTCACATGGGTTCGCCGGTCGCGGAGACTTGACAAGAAGACGTCGTAAATACGACCTCGAAAATGAGGCGTGGGATGTTCTTGGCTCTTTTTCTTCTTTTGGACCCTGGACCGACGCGGCATCCACAGGGGATGTGGAAGGGTGGGATGGGGAGGCGTGCGAGGCGTGGAAAGACAGAGGGAAGAGACCAAAAAAGTCTGCAGCTGGGCCAGATGAAGGTTGAAAGAAGCTTGAGCTCCAGGACATCAGCAAAGAAAGGGAAGAGACCGGCTGCTCGATTTCTTGTTGATCCACGGGCCATTTTGCCTCCTCGGGACTAGGGTTGTCTGGATGGTTATCTGATTTGTCCATTTATTACTTTTTTTTCCTGCGAGTGGATGTATTTGTGGACAGCGTTTGTCAATTTTTACCTTAGTAGCCGCACCTCGGACAAACTCGCGCACTGGACCAGTCCTTGGGTCTTGGCCATCTGATTAGATTGATGAAGGGCGGAGACGAGGGAAAATTAGTGGACAGAGATGGACAAGATGATGCAGAGATAAAAATTGCGGCAGGCTAAGAGACGACTACAAGACACCAGACAAGCCAAGAGCCAAGGAGCTTGCAGACGAAAATTCAGAGCCGCAAACTGTACCGAGTACTCCGTCGTCCTGTCATTCGGGTATTAATTTATGAGACTTGCCTCCCGCCGATCTTTCATCTCTTCGTGCTGTCGTCTTTCCGTCTTGTCCTCTCCCTGTCTCTTGTTCTCCTCCCATCGTCTTCCCTCCATTTTTATTGCACCACCTCCCCCACCTCGACAATGGCCGAGAAGCAGGCCCACGCTGGCCCTCCGGCGTATGCAACGTCCGCGCCCGAGATCCAGACCGACAGCAAGGATGTCAACGCTGCCACCACCATCACCACCACCACCACCACCAAGCCGGCCGACCGCCCGAGCAGCCTCCACGCACAGTCGGCGGGCGTCACGCGCATGGAGGCGCTGGCGGCCGTGCTGACGCGCACCGACCGCGTCTTCTTGTTCTTTGGCGTGTTCCTGGTGGCGTACGCCTACGGGCTCGACGGCACGGTGCGCTACACGTTCCAGACGTACGCGACGGCGTCGTACGCGCAGCACTCGCTGCTGGCGGCCATCAACGTGCTGCGGTCGGTGATTGCGGCGGCCGCGCAGCCGACGGCCGCCAAGGTGGCCGACATCTTTGGCCGCGTCGAGCTGGTGCTCGTGTCCATTGTGTTTTACGTCGTGGGCACCGCCGTGCAGGCGTCGTCGAGCGGCGTCAGCGCGTTTGCCGGCGGCGCCGTGCTCTACCAGATCGGCTACACGACCGTGATCCTGCTCGTCGAGGTCATCGTGGCCGACCTGACGTCGACGCGCGCGCGGCTGCTCTTCTCGTACATCCCGGCGCTGCCCTTTGTCATCAACACGTGGGTCAGCGGCAACGTGACGTCGCGCGTGCTGGCGGCCACGACGTGGCGCTGGGGCATCGGCATGTGGTGCATCATCTATCCCGTGTGCTGCGTGCCGCTGCTGGCGACGCTGCTGGCCGTCGGCCGGCGCGCCCGGCGCCGCGGCCTCGTCAGCCCCTACGCGCAGTCGCTGCGCGCGCAGCAGGGCACGCGCGGGTTCGTCGTCGACCTGTTCTGGCGCCTCGACGCCGTCGGCATCGTGCTGATGGTGGCCGTGTTTGCGCTCGTGCTCGTGCCGCTGACGCTGGCAGGCGGCCTCACGGCGACGTGGCGCGAGGCGCACATCATCGCGCCGCTGGTCGTCGGCTTTGTCTGCATCCCCGTCTTCGTCGCGTGGGAGACCCGGGCGCCGCACCCGCTCGTGCCGTTTGCGCTGATGAAGGACCGCGGCGTCTGGGCGCCGCTCGGCATCGCGCTGCTGCTCAACTTTGCCTGGTACATGCAGGGCGACTACCTGTACACGGTGCTGTTTGTCGCCTTTGACTTTAGCGTCGCGGCCGCCACGCGCATCACGTCGCTCTACTCCTTCTGCAGCGTCGTCACCGGCTTCCTGCTGGGCCTCGTCGTCTTCAAGGTCCGCCGCCTCAAGTACTTTATCCTCGCCGGCACCGTGCTCTTCCTCGTCGCCTTTGGGCTGCTCATCCACTACCGCGGCTCGACGACTGCGTCCGCGTCCAGCCGCGCCGGCGTCATCGGCGCCGAGGTCCTGCTGGGCATCGCCGGCGGCCTGTTCCCCTACCCGGCGCAGGCGTCCCTGCAGACGTGCCTCAAGCACGAGAACCTCGCCGTCATGACGGGCCTCTACCTCGCCACGTACAACATCGGCTCCGCCCTCGGCAACACCGTCAGCGGCGCGCTCTGGTCGCAGGTGCTGCCGCGCACGCTCGAGCGCAACTTGGCCCCCATCAACAGCACGCTCGCCGCCGTCGTCTACGGCGACCCGCTCTCCGCCGCCGCCGCGTACCCCGTCGGCACCGTCGAGCGCACCGCCATCATCGAGTCGTACCAGCACGTGCAGCGGCTGCTGACCATCACGGGCATCGCGCTGTGCGTGCCCATCATCGGCCTGGCGCTGGCGCTGCGCAACCCCAAGCTCAACGACGAGCAGACGCTGGCCAAGAGCGACGACGACGATTCTGTGATTGCGTAGGTGCAGGCGGGCGTGTGTGTACTATTGTTTCATGCTTCCATAGATACTGTCTACTTTAAATCTAAACCATTGCAATGACCGTCCGCATGTCCACTGCCGCACGCCCATGCCGACGCTCACGTCGTCTCCTGCTTCTCAAACCACAGCAGATCACCAGTCGGGCTGAACAGGTCGACGGCCGCGCCGAACCGTTTGGCCCGGCCGCTCGCGTCCAGCTGGAACTCGGCCTTGACCATGGCGTCGGGGACCGTGGCGTGCCGGAAAAGGTACATGCCCGCGACAAAGTAGTCGGCCGTGACGTGGTCCAGCAGCAAGCGCACGGGGAGGGCGCCGGTCACGTCGGCGCGCAGACGGGGCGTCGCCTTGTCGTTGTCCTTGCCCTTGTCCGTGTCCACGCTGACGACGACGTCCGGACACGCCGGGTGGGTGTAGACGCCGGCGTAGTCGTGCAGCCGCGGCAGCGACAAGGGCCGCGGCGGGTCGGGGACGCTCGGGTACAGGCGCGCGCGCGCGCCTGCGTTGCGCGCCTCGCGCCACGCCCGCTTCGCCTGCGCGTCCTTGTGCACGTCGAGTCGCGCGGCCGCCGGCACGCCCAGCCTCTCGTCCACGAGGTGCCACGCAATGGCCTCGCGCCCGGGGCTGTCGGCGTTGGCAAACACGACGACGGCCCAGTCGCGCGCGGGGACGCACACCATGGTGGCCGTCATGCCCTCGACGCCGCCCGGGTGCAGCATCACGTCGTCGTCGCGGTACGTCGAGAGCATCCAGCCGAGCGAGTACGTCATGGGCTGGGTGAGCTGCGGCTGCACGCCCGGCGGGCAAAAGGCGCGCGGCTGCCGCAGCGCCGCGTGGCCGGCCGCCGACAGGGGCGCCGCCTTGCGCAGGATGCAGCGCAGGTACGCGGCGTAGTCCTCGACGGTCGAAATGATGGCGCCGGCGCCGCCCAGCACGCCGTCAAAGTAGGGGACGGCGCGGTGCTGGCCGGCCGCTTCGTCCCAGGCGTACGGCACCGCCAGCGTCGCCCTCGCCCTGCTGCCATTGGTACCATCGGTGCCGCCAGTGCCGCCAGTGCTGCCCTCCGCCACAAACGCCTGCGCCTCGGCCAGCGTCCAAAACGTCGACGTCATGCCCAGCGGCGTCCAGAGGCGCTCCTTCATAAACGCGCCCAGCGTCTGGCCCGTCACCACTTCCATCATGTGCCCCACCGCAATGAACATGCCGTTGCAGTACTGCCACGCCGTCCGGATCGGCTTGGTCATGGCGCAGTGCCGCAGCGACCGCACGTAGTCGCGGATCGCTGTTGTCGGCGACGCCGTGGCCAGCCGACCAATCGTCAGCTGGTGCGTCGCCAGCCCCGTCCGGTGCGACAGCGCGTCCTCCAGCGTCACGTGGGCCGTGCAGTACGCGTCGGCCAGCACGAAGTCGTCGCGGATCAGCTCGCTCAGCGGCGTCGTCCACTGCACGCGCGCCAGCGCCTCTGTCGTGTCGTCGTCGACGAGCAGCGAAGCCGCCGCCGCTGTAAACGATTTGGTCGTGCTGCCGGCAAAAAACAGCGTCGACGGGCGGACGGGCACGTCGGGCAGCGCGGCCATGCCGTAGCCCGCCGTCCACGTGTCGTCGCCGTCCACAACTGCCACGGCGACGCCCGGGATGTGGCATCGGTCGAGCGTGTCGCGGACCAGCTTCTCAAAGGCAGCGTTGAGGGGAGACGTCTTCGTCTCTGTCTTGGTCGGTGGTGTGTCGGCATCGCCAGCGTCCCGGAGAGGGATGCCCTCCGTCATTTCTGTCTTGTCTTTTGTGTCGGCCATGTTGAGTTTGTCCGGTGTCGTTGGTGGTTAATGGAATGACTTCAACAGGTTGAGAAAGAAGGTTTGCAGTTTGCTTTTATACAAGGCTCTACGCTGCGAATTGATGTCCAACTATGTGTCGCCGTTTTGGCACGTCAGCACGATCTCATTCTGTAGTCTGTTGAAGATGGGAGTAACCGTCCCGAATCTCTCGCCAGAATTCAATGCGAGATACGATGCATTGGCGTTGCTCAGCCTTCTTGGCGTGTGACATTGTAGCGGTGGAGTTTTGGGGAAAAAGAAGAAAAAAAAAACATAAACACACACACACATAAAGACCACAAATGGAATTGTCGATTTTGGATAATTAAAGTAACCGTCATTCATTCATAGCAATGTACCCTTCTGAATTTGGCCTGCAGCTCGGCTCATGGACGCTCCACCCCTGCCCTTTTCTTTCCTTTTGCCTTTGAATATGTTCAACACAACGTATTGGCCTAACCGGCGCAACGTTTGCTCCATCTCCGTCGACGACCACGAAACAACCGACAATATTGTCCCTGTCGCATTGCAGCAGCAAGAAGTGGCGCTTTGATTTTGTCCGCATAGAACCAGATACCTCTGTACGGAGCACGTCCCGTCGTATTGCGGTCTCTCTATATTATGGGTCGACTCCGCAAACGCCAAGACTGGCCATGCCGTACTGACTCATGCCGGCCGGCCGCAGAGACGCCGGCGATCTCGGTGAAGGGAGCCACTAGGTTGTTGGATTGCAAAATGTCACACAACAGGCGGCGTCGTCAATTTCATGTCGGGTCCCCCGTGGCCGTCGCGACGACAGCGGTTGGCGTAGCCGTCTGGGCACCCCATGGTTGACAAGCTCATCGACGTATAGGCGTGACGTCTCGAGCTTGCCCAGTATGTAGACCCTAGCACGAGCCACTTTTCTCTAGGCAACTGTAGATAGTCGTCGCCGAGATGCATCAGCCACGGTATACCCTTCGGGCCGTTGTCGAACCTGTCAAGAGTAGATTGCGTGTGCTGTCTATGTCTGGTGGATATCATCGCTGGCTTTTGAGTCCCACACCGTCGGTCGTCGGTCGGAAGACATACAACACAGTGCAACGGTACTCTAGTCACATGGTTTACAACGACGCAAACCAAACACCTTCACTCCTCACGTGACAGGCCGCAGCATGCCGGCCACCGGCGCCGGGCATCCGCTGATTCCTCACCCACGCGTCACATCACGTAGACGATGACAACAACAGCACCATGTCAGGACCCCATGCCGCTGACTTGATGCTGGATGTGTCGATGGGAGGTCGTCGCGACTTACGGTGTGCCTTTCTTTAGTAGCGCCATACTCGATACACCTTACTCACAGTCATGTAGCCAACACCGCGCCTCATGACAAACAGTCAACCTCGCTGACTCCCATCCCCCATGCGCACAAAAAGTTCAAAAACCTAGAAAACACACGAATATTAATCACATATTATCTAAGAACGTGCATAGAAAAGTTTATTTGAAATTAGAGTTCAGTTACCTCGTAGTAGATCATATATCATGAAGACAGTTTCCTGCGAATCTAGAGAGACAGGCCAGCGCGCAATACAAATCGACAACTATGGTTACAACAATAATCAACGAGCAAAAGCACAACCGAATACTGTCCAACAATCCGACACAGCTCGTTGCTATGATCGACTCGAAGATGGATGGCATCTGGGGCGTGCACGAATGCACGTCCACCGCCCCACGCAGAGGATCCCCGCCGACCACCCGCGAACTTGCCCACCGCATGATCAAGCAGCTTCGCCAGCTCGAGACCGCCCTCATGGTCACGGAAGCCGGCAACATGGACGTCCACGCGCATCCTCTACCGCCGCCCGATCGGTACACAGACCCGGGCGCTCTGCAGCACCGCGATCCGGCCATTTTCTATCCTTCGCCTATTCCCATCGCCTACCACGAACGCCTCGCCTACCTGCGCACGCGGGTCCACATCTCCTATTGCTACCAGCTCAACTCCAGCGCCGGGCGGACAGAGGTCTTTAACATGCAGGCGCAGCATTGCGCCGCGGACGTGCGCTCACTCGAGATTGAGCTGCGCGTGTTGCTGTGCATGGCGCCACCCGTCACCCTGGGCGAGAGTCCTGTTTCGTCTTCGTCGTCCGCGGCACCACCGCCCGTCTTTCATCCCTTTCCCCGCCTGCCGGCGGAGCTGCGCCTCCTGATCTGGGAGCTGGCCTCCGTGCCGCCGACCTGTCCGCACCTGTACCGCGCCGCCCAGCGGCTGCAGAGCATGGCCGACGCACGGCCGTACGCCCACAGCAGCGATCCGCCGCCGGCGACGCTCCTGATGCCCGACCGCGGTCTGATGCGGGCCAACAAGGAGGCGTACTATGAGACGCGCCGGATACGCAACGAGACAAAGAAGGTGTTGAAGTCGCAGGCGCGGCGGATCTGCATCGAGGTGTACCATCCCACGTGGTATACAGATAGCGGTCTGGGCATACTCGACAGCGAGACGGACAACGACGACGGCGACGACGGCGAAGAGGACGCAGGCTGGGGAGACGAGGGGGAGGAGCCGTCACAAGGCAACGACAGCCACAGAGGGTACTACGACCACGACGACAGCGACGCCCTCAAGAGCCACTTCCACCGGCTGAGCGACTTCAACCTGTCGGCCAACCGTCTGCGCCGCCGCCTCGCCGAGCTGCAGAAACACTTCCCGGGTCGCTACGAAGACCGTATGGGACAGCACGGGCAGCAGCTTATCGAGGACTTGTTCAATGTGGGCGGTGTTGAGCTGTTGTCTTGATGGTCTGTCTCTTTGAAATAAATGTACTTCTATTGTTTCTCGAAAATACCTATACCCAGCTACTGTGAAATGTACACTTTATTCTTTTGTTTTATTTTTTGTGCGATAATCTTTGTGTTAATCCTTCTATTTATGGCGTCATCCGCTTTTAACTTCATAAACGGCAAGTAAATGAGACATAGTTGTCTAGGCAAGACAAACAGGCACAGGTGACTCGTATTCTATAAGAAAACATGTACGAATGACATCCATTGGGAGCTCCATTGTAGGGAAAGCCCCTTTTATAAGGTGAACATTGCAACTGCCAGGAGGGCAGACGCAGCCCAAACAGACCAGCGGCCGAAGCCGGCGGTGGCACCCGAGACCTCGGCCACCGTCGACGTGGCCGAGGACGAGCTGGAGCTGGAGCTGGAGCTGGAGCTGGAACTGGAGCTGGAGCTGGAACTGAAGCTGGAGCTGGAACTGGAGCTGGAGCTGGATGCAGCAGTGCGGTTGGACGACGACGCGGTGCCGTTGGAGGCGTTGTTGGACGCACCGGAGAGGGAACTCAAACCAAACGTAGCCAACGAAGAGGCCGCCGTCGAAGCCTCGGAACTCTTGGAGTGTATCTTGGACGACGTCTTGGAGGAGCCAATGACGATGCTCTTGTAGTCGCCCGTCGTGTCGCCGTACGTGTAGCGGCTGGCCGGGGTGTAGTTCTCAATCTCGATGCTCTTGACGTACATGGTAAAGGGCCCGTCGTTGTAGTTGGTCGCGCCGCCCGCCCACTCCACCGTGCCCTTGGAGTTGCTGCTGTCGCCGCCCGCCCAGCTGCCGACCTTGACGCGCATCGGCGTCTGCGGGTAGTTTCTGCCGCCCAGGGCCTCGGCGTAGGCCAGCGTGCGGACCAGGCGGCCGTCGACGTACCACTGCGTCGACGCCGCCGTCCAGACCAGCGTCCAGTTGCGGAACGCCGACTGCGTGGGCGCATCGAGGTCGACCGTGGTGCCGCGGTCGTAGACGGTGGTGTTGCCCTTGCCAAAGTAGTTGGTCTGGACCTGCTTGTCCTGGCCGCCGATCCACTCCCAGTCGATCTCGTCGAGGTCGTCGGACTCGAGGACGATGCTGCTGACAATGCCCTGGCCGGGGGCCGCGCGCAGTAAGACAGAGACGCGGCCAAAGAAGATGTAAAAGTTGCTGCTGAGCGTCGGCGCGTTGCCGGCCTTGGCGATGGTCAGGGCGGCGCCGGTGCTGGCGCTGTAGGTGGCCGACGCGGACGTCAGCGTCCACTCGGAGCTCGCGCCGCCGGTAAAGTCGACCGAGTACGACGCCTTGTCGAGACCAGCATCGGACGGGCAGTCTGCAGTGTTAGTGGGAATGTATAATCGTGATGTGAGCCATCGCGCAGACTCGACGTACCGGTTTTGATGGTCGGGTTGCAGTCGGTGTAGGTCTGGGCCGAGGCGAAGCCGGCGAGGCCAGCCACGGCGGCGGTCTTGGAGAAACGCATGATGGCGGTGGTGGTCGTCGTGGAGGTGATTGCAGAAAAACACAGTAATGCACGCGAAGAAAATAACGAAAAAGATGACCACCTCCAGTATGCCGGCTAATTGTGGCGGATGGGACTGTAGATAAATTGAATTCAATATATGCCGGAGAAATGCCAAGAAACGGTGAAGCAAGTGCCGCAGAAGTGAACAGAGGAGATGACCGGGCGTATAACAACTAGGATTGAAGAAAGAACGTGACAAGGGAAGAAGGAAAGGAGGACGAGGACGTATACGAATCTAGAAGCGGCAAGGATTGTTTGTGGTTTTGTTTATTGCAACTGGCTCCCTCGACGACGTACGTGTGGAATTTCCCTTTTTTCATTCTCTTCATTCGCCTGTGGGCTGATGACTCCCCCGGTGGTCTATGGGAGGCCGAAAATAGAAAACGGGTTTGCATGGTGCTACATATTCCAGGCCTCGTATTTTGAACCTGGGTGAACCGGCGCGGGCTGGACAAGTCGAACTTGGCCCCCCTTTTGCGGCACACGTCTTGCGCAGCCAGACGAACATGCGTCGTACCAGGACAAAACATGAATACGTTTTCTATTTCTTACATTCATTACTTCCACAGTCATCCAGTAAAAAGATATTCAAAAGAAGACTAGCAGCGACTGTCGGCGGCGGACGCTCTTCTAGAGAGTCCCACTGCTGTCGTAATTATTGCGCAGGCTAGCCTCGTCATCATTTTTTTTATTTTACTTCGGGGATCTGAGAATGGTGTGGTTTCGTGGGTTGCCAGGACGCTACTCCGTCTGGTCCGTGTTTTGGCAGCCCTCTCCATTTCGACCACTTTTTCAAGACGGAGATCTTGTAAAATTGCTCATTCGCTACGGACTTTCCCTTCTGCTGTTTCCTCTTGTTCACTTTCTCGTTATCTCGTTCTTTGTACTATGCAAGTCTGTCTTGAACGTCGTCTCGTCGACATCGTCGCTATCAAAGTCGACTCACGCAGATCGCCAAGACAACGTGGTATGATTGCTGGGCGTTAAGTCGGCACCTATCACGGATGCAGCTTAGCGGGTGCCAAGAACGCGCGGCACCTAATGCCAGGGGACTGTTTGTGGCCGGGGGTGTGTTTTACAGATCGTTCACTCCGAAGTCTGTGCTGTGCGTGAGCTGCCCGGATGCTCGAGGTCTAGACCATAGTGTTTATCCGCGGTGAATGGCAGTGATTTGCAACATCTTGCCGCTGACGGAGATCGCGATGATCCACAAACCACGGTGCAGTGTGTGTGTGATGCACGGGCCATAAAAGATTGACTATCAAGGACATGTGTCTTTAACGCATGCTGTGCAGTATACTTGGCCATCTTGGAGGCCGTGGTGCGCAGCCTTATAAGGGCAACGACCAGCGCATACGAAGCCACTACCGTCGTGGACTCGCAGACCTGGAGCCGGCGGTGGCGTCAAAGTCGAGCAGGCTGGCGCGGACGGCGGACGAGGTAGTCGTCCGCTCCTGGCGCCTCAACTCTGGGCACACCTCCGGTTTGCAGGCACAGCATCGCCGTAGCATATCCACGCGATACTCTTCCATGTATCTCTTCTATTGCATTCGTTTTCACGCGTGCTTTTAAATGCCTATCTTGTATTGTATACTCGGGAAGTAGTATGTAAAGTTCCATCACGGTGAAGCTCTGAGCTTCTGAGCAGGAGCCTACGAACCACTGAGTATAAGTACGATTTATAGTAATATAGCATGTCAACTTCGGCCTTTGGCAGTTTTCATTGCCCGCACATTGTGACTAAAGTTTTGTGACACTTTTCCCCCGCGCGGGGAAATAAACGAATGCACGGCATCCGATGTCCGGCCTTCGTCCCGGAAGCATTGCCGGACGGCGTCCTGGAAGAATGGCTGACGGCGTTCAAATCGTCAAGTGTCCCCCAAATCGATAGCTATCATTTACCCTATCCGGCCAGCGAATCCCCCCACATCCTACCCGAATTAACCCATACTACATGACATGTGCTACTCCGCCCGCGTCACTCTACGATTTAGGTATGATTGCGTGCTCGCAACGCCATATGTACTTTAGAGAGCGTGATCTTCTTGCAGACGACGAGAAGGTTAAAGACAGAAATAGAATACGTCGAAGAGAACAAAATGAAAGAAAAAAAATCGCGTAGGACTTCTTACAAGACTGGGGTGGTTGCAAGGCAAGTCAAGTTACCAAAAATCACTACGAACGCAACCACGAATAACAAAATGTGTGGTGACAGCGTTGACCAGCTCAGCAAGGCGCTGATCCCGGATGTTTCGACGGCCGAGGTGGATAAGCTTATTGTCGCATCGATCCGCCAGGGGCGGGACGTTCCTGTCGAATCAATCCAGGACACAAATGTCAGCGCACCGGACGACACAGTGGTGAGCACTACTGGACAAACACCAGACAACAGGTCGACTACAAATACGCCAGCGCCTGATTCGTCAACAGCGACGGCAACGAACACTCCAGCAACGACTACGGCGACAGCGACAGCGAGCCCGCTGCCGCTGGAGACGGTCATCTTCAAGGCGACCGTCCTGACGCTCGCGGCCGGCAAGTTCAATGCCACCGAAGCGCTCGCGGTCCGCGGCGACACCGTCGTCGCGACGGGTTCGCTCGACGACGTGCGGGCCGCCGTGGGCACGGAGGGCATCCGCGAAGTCGACTATGGGAACCGCGTGATCACGCCCGGCTTCATCGACCCGCACGTCCACTTGCTGATGACGGCTCTGATGGCGGACGAGAAGCGCTTTGTCGACTTGACCTTCCCCGGCGTGCGGACGCAGCAGGACGCGCTGGACAAGCTGCGGCACGCCGTGGTGGCAAGGGCAGCCGATGCCAGTGCCGACGCCAACAAGGAGAAGAAAACGGAGATCCAGTGGCTCGCTGGCTACGGCTTTGACCCGTCCCTGGTGGCGGGGCACCCGGACCTGACTATTGACTTGCTGGACGCGCTGTCAGGGGTCAACGAGCAGGACACGGCCATCTACGTCCTGAACCAGTCGGGCCACATTGCGTACGTCAACTCGGTCGTCTTCCGCGCGCTCGGCGTGGGTCAGCGTCCCGGCGAGCCCGGCTACCCGGCCGACGACGAAAACTACCAAAAGCGGGCCGACGACGGCGCCCTGACGGGTCTGCTGTTTGAAGACGCCGTGTTTGCGCTCGGGACGAACCTACCCAAGGCAACGGCCGAGGAGACCGTGGCCGGCGGGCGCCGCATCCTCCAGCGGTGGGCCAGCAAGGGCATCACGACGGCGTTTGACTGCGGCATCGGGACGCTGGCGGGGCTCGCGGACCTCGCCCTGCTGCGCCAGATTCTGGAGCGCAACACACTGCCCAGCGCCGACGCCGACACGCCTGTGCTGCCGCGCTTCCACGGTGCCGTGGCCTACCAGACGGTCGAGCGCCTCGCGCCCGTGGCCGACCTACTGCGTCTGCCGCCGTGGCACCTGACGGCCGACGGCGGCGAGGCGGCCGGGGCCGTGTACGGGCTCAAGCTGTGGCTCGACGGGTCCACGCAGGGCTTCACGGCCGCCGTCTACGAGCCGTACCGCGGCCAGCCCGACAACTACGGCATCCTCAACTTCCGCCAGGGCCACGCCCTCGACGCGCCGCCCGACGACGACCGCGTCGTGGCGCTCGTGCAGCCGTTTGTGCGCGGCGGGTGGCAGATTGTGATGCACACCAACGGCGCGCGCGCCTTTGACCAGGCCCTGCGCGTGTTTGCGCGCGTGCTGGCGGCCGAGGCCGTGGCCACGGACGTCTACGGGGGGCCCGGCGGCGCCGGCAAGCTGCGCCGCAAGCGGCACATGCACCGCCTCGAGCACGTCACGGCCGACATTGCGCCGCCGCAGCTGGCGCGCGCCGCGCAGCTGGGGCTCGGCGTGTCGCACCTGATTGCGCACGTGCGGCGCTGGGGCGACGCGTTTGCGACGTACGTGCTGGACCAGAAGCGGGCCGCCCGCCTCGACCCGGTCGCCGACGCCGTGGTCGCCGGCGTGACCTACTCGTTCCACAGCGACTCGCCCATCAGCGAGGCCAACCCGCTGCAGTACGTCGAGACGGCGGCGAGCCGGGTGCTGGAGGCGACGGGCGCCGTGCTGGGGCCGGACCAGCGCATTTCGGTCGAGCAGGCGTTTGCGGGCATCACATACAACCCGGCGCGGCAGCTGGGGCGGCTGGACGAGGTGGGTTCGCTGGAGCCCGGCAAGAAGGCCGACTTTGTGGTGCTGGACACGGACCCGCGGACGGTCGAGGCGAGCCGGCTGGTGGCATCGGTGGGCATCGAGGAGACGTGGATCGGAGGCCGGCAGGCCTTTCGGCGGGCGTAGAGCTTCGTGATGGTAATGCAGGATGGAAACCGATTGTCCGGTCTGTACATGTACATGGAAATATCCGATGAGGGTCGGCGGCGGGGTTTTAACGTCGGGGTACAACCAAAATATCTAGTTTCTCCCAGGGCTTGTTTCCCTTCTGATTATCAACCCACGAATTGCTCCATTGAGAGTTGTCCGCGTTCCGGATGCCAAAGTCCGCTTGCACTCTTCGGGACTACCAGGCCCGGTTCCCCTGGGGTGAGATGTGGAGTCGACTGGGAGGGGAATCATTGCCAGGATCCAAGCTGGGCCCCTGTTTGGTCTGGGTAAATCGAAGGTTGTGTCATCACGATGCCGAAGCGGAATTCCTGGAAGAAGCAAAGATGAAGTCTCCAGCAGAGGACTTAAAGGCTCCTCACCGCCCAGTTTGGCAGTGTCCGCCATAGTCCGACACCGCCGTCTGCCGCTTTGGTCGTTGCTTGGCTGTCGCTCGTTCTCTTTTCGGGGCGGTTATGCGATATATCGTAGAGCTTTCCACGTCAGTCATATTTCGTACAAGCTGCGCTTTTTGCCCGCACTTCTAGCACTCACCGACTCCCGCGAGCCCCCACATGGGCCGTTCTTGCTGCGCGGCACGAGCAATCATTGGCCAATCCGGCTCAGCGACCCGCTAAAAGGTCAACACAACACAGGCTCGGACCTGGCTCGGAGGGGCTGTCGTTTGCGACCAGCCGCTGTTTCCATCTTTTGCGACGCTGCTTGGCGCGCCTTTTCAGGGGTTTTCAGCTGCTTTGGGGGCATTTTATCCGTGTGGGGTGCCCTGTGACATGTGTTCCGCCCTCACCCGCTACAGCCTCATTCTTTTTCTTTTTTTCTTTTCTTTTTGTTTTTCTGCAGCATTCTGAGTCAATTTTGCAACACCACAGCATCCCACAACGTCCCACAGTCCACATTTCCACTATTTCCTACGCCCACTCTGCCCACCTGCACCATCTACGATCGACTCACGCGCTTCTTTTGCGGTTTTTAGCTGGCTGCTCCGCAGTCCGGTTCTCTCCGCTGGTCTCTAGTTCCTCATTTTCCCTTTTCCTCGCAATCCTTCCTCTTCGTCCAGGTGGTGCCCTTTATTTGGCCTGTGTTCCCCTCAATCGCCGTGCACTGTAGTCGCGAGCCGTTCGATTTTTGAATCTTTCCTGTCTCCTCCCTCCCCCGTCTTTCGACATCGCTCTCGACTTCGACCCTTCGACGCTTCCTCCCCCGTGTCGGCCTCCCTCCTCTTCACAACACAATGCTATCTGTCCTGAGACTGTCGGCACGCCAGGCCGGTGTCGCCAGCCGGCGCGCCGGTGCTGTTGCGGTGCCTGCCGGTCGCTTTGCTTCGTCGTGGGCCAACGTGCCCCAAGGTCCTCCGGTAAGTCGAGGAATTGTGTACGGAAGAAAGGAAGTGAAGAAGAAGAGAACAAGGAGAGAAGAAGTAGTAAAGGAATGAAAAGAAGAGGAAAAGAAAAGAAAACAAGGAAACCAAACGGAACAGAAGCAGCAAATGCACAAGGACATGGGCTAACATTTATACTCTAGGATGTAAGTTGTTTTGCCTCGTTCAACCTTCAACCTCGGAAAAGGCACAAGCTCCCCTCTACTTCGGCATCGCGTCGGTAGATTCCTGCGCTGTGGGTGGTGCCTTTTGGCCGTTGTGGTACATTTTGCTGATCCAGTCGCTGTGCTTCGCTTACTGCCGTTGACAGGCTATTCTCGGTACGAACTGGCCCCAGCTCGCCCTTGGTCCCCACGCTCTTCGTCTCTCTTCCCCTTTGCTCCCCACACGACTAACCCTTCCCAGGCATCACGGAAGCCTTCAAGGCCGACTCGTTCCCGGAAAAGATCAACCTCGGTGTCGGCGCCTACCGCGACGATGCCGGCAAGCCGTACGTCCTGCCGTCCGTGCGGACCGCCGAGGACAAGGTGATTGCCCAGCGCCTCAACAAGGAGTACGCCGGCATCACCGGCCTGCCCGACTTCACCAAGGGCGCCGCCGAGCTCGCCTACGGCGCCGACAGCCCGGCCCTCGGCCGCATCGCCATCACCCAGTCCATTTCCGGCACGGGTGCCCTGCGCATCGGCGCGGCCTTCCTCGAGCGCTTCTACCCCGGCGGCGCCGACCGGCCCAAGGAGATCTACATCCCGACGCCCTCGTGGGCCAACCACAACGCCGTCTTCACCGACGCCGGCCTGACCGTCAAGAAGTACCGCTACTACGACCCGGCCACCATCGGCCTCGACTTTGAGGGCCTGCTGGCCGACGTGCGCGCCGCCCCCAAGGGCTCCGTCTTCATGCTGCACGCCTGCGCGCACAACCCCACGGGCGTCGACCCCACGGAGGCGCAGTGGGTCGAGATCGAGGCGGCCGTCCGGGCGGCGGGCCACTCCGTCTTCTTCGACATGGCCTACCAGGGCTTCGCGTCGGGCGACGCCGCCAAGGACGCCTTTGCGCTGCGCTACTTTGTCAGCAAGGGCCACCAGCCGGTGCTGTCGCAGTCGTTTGCCAAGAACATGGGCCTCTACGGCGAGCGCGTCGGCGCCTTTAGCGTCGTCTGCGCCGACGCCGCCGAGGTGAAGCGCGTCGACTCGCAGATCAAGATCCTCGTGCGCCCCCTCTACTCGAACCCGCCCGTGCACGGCGCGCGCATCGCCGGCACCATCCTGGGCGACGCCGCCCTCAAGGCGCAGTGGCTGGGCGAGGTCAAGGGCATGGCCGACCGCATCATTGCCATGCGCAAGCTGCTGCGCGACAACCTCGAGGCGCTGGGCAGCAAGCACGACTGGTCGCACATTACGAGCCAGATTGGCATGTTTGCCTACACGGGCCTGAAGCCCGAGCAGATGGACGCGCTGGCCAAGGAGCACTCCGTGTACGCCACCAAGGACGGCCGCATCTCGGTGGCCGGCATCACGAGCGCCAACGTCGGCCGCCTGGCCGAGGCCATCTTCAAGGTCACGGGTTAAGCGGTTGTTCCTCCGTGGTTGTCCACCTTCTTTCCTTTTTGTCGTTTCAAAATAGAGTAGATAAGCTGTCGTCGGCGGCCTGAAGGATCGTTTTGGCGGCCACATGATTTAAAAGCGGTATCAAAAAAGGAGTAGATCTAGAATGGCACAACGAACGAAAGATATGGGAGTGGGGACAACAGTGAGAAACGAAATACAAAAAATACTATTTACGAGTCACGGATTTGGAAGCTTCTCTGTATTTTTTTTGGTTCCTTTTTCTATTATTTCCTTTGTCACTTGGAAAGTAAAATCAATGACCCAACACCATTCTCCTTCACCTTGCGTCACTGTCACCGCGCCGTCTATGGCACGACTCCTTCCTAGAGAGTCCCGTATCCATGTCATTCCGTTGTATCTGTCTGTCATCAAGTCGTAAATCATATTTGGTGCAAACGCATCACAACGTATTGCAGTCTCGTCATCACCGGCCCAGCCGTGCCAAGTCGTTTCGCACGTCCTCCACCTGCTGCCCCATCTCGCGGTAGACCCGTGCCATTTCACGCATGGTACGGCCCTTGCTCTTGGTCTTTTCGTCCGTTTCGCCGTCGTCGGCATCCACGTCGATCCCGTACTCCCGCAGCAACGCCTTGCGTTCGCGGATCGTCTCCTCCAGCCGCATCTTGCTGTCGCGCAGGTGGCTCGCGTAGTTGCGCAGCGCCGTCACCGCCTCCTGGGGATACACGGCCCGCACGGCCGCCGCCCTCGTGGCCTGGGCGTCCACTTCACCGGCCTGCGCCGCCAGGGACACCTCGGCCGCCCGCAGCTCGAGCGACCGCGCCACGGGGCCGTGCTTGGCTTCGAGAGCGCGGATGAGGCTCGTGAGGTTGGCCGCGTGGAGGTCGAGCAGCGCCAACAGAGCGGTGGCGGTGGCGTGCCGTTCCGCGGCCAGTTTGATGCGCGTGTCCACTATGGCCTTTTGCAGGGCCACCACCTGGGCAGGTAGGCCAGGCACGGCGCGGTGCAGGTACGACGGATTGGTGGTCGGGTTCATGACGCGGGCCAGGCCGCGGGCGGAGGTCTGCAGGTTCTCAGACACAAGGCTGGCAATGCGCGGCAGGTGTTGGGGGAGGGATGTGAAGGGGGGGCTGGACAGGAGCAGCTCGACGTCTTCGCCGGAGAGTGTCGACGACGAAGAAGATGACGACTCCTCTGGCTCATTGGCCAGTTGCAAGAGTGGCGGCAGGAGCATCAGCAGGTCCATCAGGTCGGGCGGCAGGTCGTTGGCCGGCTTGGGTGGTGGCACGAGCGGCGCCGGCCGGGGAACGGTACCAGCACGCGCAGCTCGGCGAGCTGCGGCACCACCAATCTTTCCCTCCGCTGCACCCGCAGTCTCGGATGCCGGTGGCGGTGCGGCAATGCTAGAGATGGCCTGAACAAGGATGTGGTTCTTGGCAGCTCGTAACCGCGCTTCTTTTGCTCTCTAGAGAGGGGGAGCGTCAACAGGGTGATTCCAGAAAACAGAAACTGCGAGGAAATGTATAGAGCACAGGTCACGAACCTCTCTAACGGCCGCCCGCTCCTTTGCATTGACATGTGCCTTTGTTGATCCATCCGGATTGAGGATCACCGTTGTGAGCGTTTTGTAGAGTGCGGCAAAGTCGGGGTTGTTCCGCAGAACCGCCTCATCCACAGGAGGAAGCATGGTAGCGATGTCAAGTACGTGTGACAGTTTTCCCGGATTTATTGACAAATATTGATATCAACATTCACTTCTGTTCATGATCGTCTCCGCAAATAGGGGACGTGTAGTCGAAAACAGGCGACTTTACGCTGTACAGCTGGTTAGCGGGCCCTGTCGGACTGGCAAATTCTTGGTGGGTCCATTTGGGTCAATGTGGCCAATAATGTGCGACCACTGCATGGCTCGCGCGACACCACCGTAAATTTTCAAGAGCTTCTCAATCGCACGACGAACGTCGAAACGGTAAGACGTGACAGTCAAACATCCACGACCGACGACGTCTCAACGCACTCCGCGAACGATCGTAGTCTGTCGCAGGACACAACATTTTGTATCCTCGCCATTTGCCCCACACACCAGCGACAATGGTGCCCTCACCGTTTTCTGTCGCCCGCGCCGGCCAGCGGTTACCATCATTGGCGTATGCTTCGTCTTCTTCGACGTCTTCTCCCACCTCCTGCTCGCTCCTCGCCGCCTCCCTCCGCCTCTCCCAGACCTCTTCTGCTGCACAGACCACCGGCATCCAACAGATACGCTCCTACAAGCAGCAAGTGCCCGCCGAGGGCCCACCCATCCCCTCGCCCACGGCCAAGCGCCCCGACATCCCGCCGTACCCGCTCGGCCCGCGCCAGCTCTTCAAGCAGTCCAACAAGGGCCTCTACGGCAACGCGCGCATCCGGTTCGGCAACAACGTGTCGCGCGAGACGGAGGTCATCAACCCGCAAAAGGTGCGCCGCAAGTGGTGGCCCAACATCCAGGAGAAGCGGCTGTTCTCGGAGTCGCTGGGCGTGCCAATCCGCACGCGCGTGAGCACGCGGGTGCTGCGCACGATTGACAAGGTGGGCGGGCTGGACGCGTACCTGCTGGGGTCGAAGCCGGCGCGGATTGCCGAGCTGGGGCCGTGGGGGTGGCGGCTGCGGTGGCGGATCATGCAGACGCCGACGGTCCAGGAGAAGTTCCGGCAGGAGCGGGTGGCGCTGGGTCTGCCGGCGGAAGGGTTGGAGGCGGCGCAGGCGGCGGCAGAGGCGGCCCGGGCCCTCTTGGAACACGACATCGCGGAGGACAGCCTGTTGACGGAGGAGACGCAACGGATGATTGACGAGGAGGCGGTGTTTGACATGGCGCCACAAGAGGGTTTCATGGCGGAGACGGACGGCAAGAAGTCGTCATAGGGGGAGGGGGTAGGAGGCTTGTGTTGTAGCATACTGTACGAATACCAAAATCACAAAGACTTGTTCTCACAAAGTTCACTGGGTTGCATACGTAGACATGTGGTTGTTTGTATTAAGAGCGAAATGCAGTTACATGGTGTCCAAACGCCTGCGCCTGTATCCTGGAAGAACGCCGGCAAGACACTGTAAACAAAGGGGCAGAAAATGACGTGAGAAAGAAGCGACGATGTGTGACAAAAGAAAATGAACTGAGAATTCATACAAAAACGGCCCAATCCATTGCATGTGCAGGGTATCCATCTACCGGGGGTGAGGAAGGAAAGGAAGAGAAACAACGAAAAGGAAAACGACGGAAAGGTCAGCACAGCTGCCTCGGCACGACGGCCACATTGGACTCTGCCTCGTATGGCGGTGGCACATACAGGTGCGCGTGTCTGTGAGCATGTCGGTGTGCTTGCCTCTGTGGCCGCCCGATGGGCGACGGCTCGCGCGGCGCATACTGCGGCGGCCGGTCCTAGCGGCCGCCGGCATCGCCCACATCGCCATAGCTGCTGCCGCGCCAGTGGCCCTTTTTCTCGTACACGACGCGGCGGCCGCCGCCGACGCTGGAGGTAGAAATACTGCCGCTGCCGCTGCCGCTGCCGCTGCTCCCGGGGATGTTTCGTCGCGCGCTCAGCTTCTCATCGCGCAGGTGCGCTGCTGTGGCGTCATCGACCGCCGCCGTCTCGGCGCCGCCGTCAAAGCGAGGGAAGAAGGGGGCTGCCGTGTTGGCGGGGGCCACGCTGTTGCTCGTCGGTTCACCGTCCAAGTCGCCCGGCGTCGGATAGAAGCGCTGGCCGCCGTCGCCGCGCGTCTTGTCTGGGCGCACCATGCCCGTCATGGCGTGGAGCATGCCGACGAGGACGACGACGACGTAGACGAGCAGCAGGCCGGTGGAGATGAGCGCCTCCTGGACGACGCTGTTGCGCAGGGCGGTGACGACCTTGTCGACGGCGGCGGTGATGTCGTCGCTGGTGACGCTGCCCGGGTCGGCCAAGAAGGAGGTGAGCGACGAGTCGTTGGTGATGGAGGCCTTGGCGCCGACGGAGAAGGTGTCGTTGGGGAAGAGGGGCAGGGTGACGTGGGCGTGGTCGTGGACCCAGGTCAGGCCCTCCTCGATGGCGTCGATCTTGATGCCGATGAGGCAGCGCACAATCTGCTGGACGGTGTTGTCGAGCACGGTGCCGTTGAAGACGGCGTTGATGCCGCTGCTGATCTCGGCGGTGAAGACGTTGAGCGTGTGGTTGACGGCGGTGGTGGCGTTGACGACGTAGCCGAGAATGTCGTTGTTGATCTCGCTCTGGAAGTTGAGCAGCACGCCGTTGGCGTCGTGGGCCCAGGCGGTCGACACGTTTTCGAGCGTCGAGACGACGTCGTCGGCGAAGCCGCTGACCTCGGACGTCAGCGCGGGCGCCTCCTTCTGGACGGCGGCCAGCAGGATCGACTGGCAGACGACGGAGAAGAAGCCGGCGGCCGCCAGGGACAGCACAAACAGGGCCGGGAAGCTGGTGGCGTAGGCAATGGCCCAGCGGGCCAGCAGCTGGCGCTTGCCGACCTGGAAGAAGCGGCTGGCCACGCGGATGCCGAAGCCCGCCGTGTAGGGCCGGCTAGCAATGTAGACGACGTCTAGCGGGTCGAAGCCGTGCTGCGCGAGCACCTTGGCGCGGCGCTGCTGGCTGCGCCAGCGGCGGATCTCGATAAAGGCCGTGGGCACGCAGGCGAGGACGGCGAGCAGTACCAGGACGACCAGAAAGGCCGTCTTGGCGTGGTCGGCAATGTCGTAGAGCACGGTGAAAAACTGGGTAATGTTGTCGTTGCCCGAGCAGAAGGTGAGCGGCGTCTTCTTGGCCACGGGGAAGACGGAGGTGTCGAACGTGTAGGCGCCGTAGGTGTTGTTGAGGACGGTCTTGAGGGCGTTGAAGGGGATGCTGATGGCGTTCTTGGTGAAGTTCTCGGCCTCGTCGTAGGTGGGGATCGTCGCGTTCAGCGACTGCAGCGTCTGCACGAAGCTCGTGTCGTCGATGTGGATGTTGGACAGGTCGTCGATGGGGCCCGACAGGTCGAGCGTCGGCGGCGTGATGGTCTTGCCGAAGATGCTCGACGCCGACGCAATGGTCGAGAAGGCGGCGTTGATGGCGTCCTGCACGCCGCTGACGTCGCTTTTGAGCGTCGTCGTGATCTTGCCAATGGCGGTGTTCATGAGGTCCGTCGCCTCGTTGGCGGCGCCGATGCCGACGTCCAGCCCGCCGTGGATCAGGGCCGACGACAGGCACACGTAGGTGCCGATGTAGAAGTTGATGACAAAGATAATGAGCTGCTCGACGCCCGTCAGGATCATGCCCAGCAGCGCCACGAGGCCCTGCACGGTCTGCGAGATGCCCGTGGCGGCCAGGTCGTTGACGCCCACGCTCAGATAATGCGGCATCGACGCCATGGCGCTGCCGACGTCCTCGACCTTGGTGCACGCCGCCAGCGCCTGCGCCTGCGCGTCGTCAATGTTGCCGTGGAGGCCGCTGATGAGGATCAGCACGCGGATGAGGACCAGCAGCAGCAGGATGGTCCACCGGTTGAACCAGATCTGCGACAGGCGGGCCCGCAGGCCCAGGTAGGGGGTGATGCTGCCGGCGGAGTCGTACTGCGGCGGCGGCGGGCCGGCCGCCCCGGCCTGGTTGCCGAGCTTGAAATTCTGCATCTCAAACGAGTCATGGTGGAGGCTGGGCGGCACGTCGGGATAGGGCTGAGCGTCCGGTTTTTCTCGAAAGAATCCCATGTTGGTGGCGGTGTGTGTAAGAGTGGGCGGGGACGAAGGAGAAGGGAATGAGGAAGAGTGTGCTTGGGAGTGTGTCCCGGATTGTGTGTCGGTGTATCGATGTCGTGATGCTCGTGTGGTGATGATTATTTGTGTGTACGTCGTTCTAGTTGAGAGAACTGTTTCAAAGGAGAAGAAGGCGACGCAAACGGGGCTGGACCGTGAAGGTATTAAGAACGCTCGTGGTGCTTGCGGTGGCGTCTATGCGGTGCCCGTTCATGCAAGTGGACGTTGTAACAATGAAATAGAAAAGAAGTAAATAATGCAGCAAATAATAGAGTATTAAAAATAGTGTGGTATCAAACCAAGAACCGAATGGGTGACGGAGAGAGGGAAATAAAATGGAAGAGGATATGTAAATAGAGGAAGAAAGAGGGCCGTCAAAGAGAAAATCAAAGGAAGAAGGAGAAGATATAACAAAGATAATAATATAAAGAATAACCAGTAGTGAGAACAAGGAAGAAGACGACCCTTGCAAGACGTGAATCACCTGGCCAGCAGACAATAAGAAAGGCACGCCTCTATGGAAAGGCTGCAATGGTGAAGAGGTGGAGAGGGTGCAGGGCCAGAGCTGTGAATAAGGCGAGGTGTATACAACCAGGTATATGACGGGGGCGAAACAGGGAAGAAGACGAAAGGACGGACGAGGAAAAAGAAGGGGGGATAAAGAAATCGAAGAAAGGTCAGGAAGAAAGGAAATATGAAGAGACAAAATGGGAAAACAAGAGACGTCGAGGGGAACGCGGCAAACAGAGACGACACGATACGACACATGAAGGGCGAGACATAGAAGCGACTACGAGGGTCATCGTGCTCGATGTGCAGACGTTATGGAGTGGCACGCATTGTATGGAGGATAGAGGATGAGGATGGTGAGGCCCCTGTCTTCTGCTTGTTTGGACCACAGCGCATTTTGTCAGTTTGGTGTTTTTGGGTCATTCGGGCGACGGTAGCGCCAGGCACGAGTCAGAAATGATATCCAAAGGGGTCTGAATAGGATCAAACATCCCCCGTTGTCTTCCTCGTTTGAGGCCGTCAATGGCACGACAAAGAGAGACAACAATGGGACTCAATAAAGGACCGCCTCTGGGCCTTTGTTTGGCAGGCCACAATGTAAGTGGGGGGCCAATCAGCGTGCGTAGCCGTCCGTTTTAGCGATGAGCGGCCTTATTTTGCGCTGGGGAAAATCTATTTTGAGGTGAAGAGACCCTTCCACAGCGCCTACCGAGACAGCGGGACGAGTGGGTCTCTTTTCACTGACATCCTCTGAGGATCTGGGTTCGTTTTTTCTCTTTCGATATATGACGCCGTTGTTGTTTTCGGCCCCCATTTTATGAATACGTTGAGTTGCATCAGAGGAGGCTTGGTACAGGAAGCTTGGTGTTGATTTAGGAATATCCATGTCGTGACGAGGAGCAGCAATATGCGAGACAGTCGGAGAGACGACAAAGACAGATCTAAAGGAGTCGGAGCCGACGACACCAGCTGTCCATGGCTTCACGGCTTCAGTCTTGCCACTCGCTGCAGTGGAGAAGCGAGCAGTGAGGCAGTGCAGAATCGGTGCGCAGGTGCTGTTTAGATCTACGCTCCTTGTTCAGATCAGCTCGTCCTGGCCTGTCGTCTGGAGCGATTGTCGCCGCCGTTAGGTGCTTAGCTGCCTCGCTGCTTAGCTCTCTTATGCCTGGCGCTTCTGAGGTCAAAAGGCATCAGTCACGGTCATGGTCGCTTGCCTTGGCATTTCTTGGCTTTGCCTTGGGTGTCTTCTTTGTCGCTTTCGCGATTGTTTCTTTCTTTCATTCTTCTTTCATTCTTCTTCTCGTTGGCCTTTTTCTCATGTCTTTCTTGCAATTTGTGGTGGCGTTTCAGGGCATTTCAGGGCACGACAAAGCTAGGCCAGTCCCGTCCAACCAATCCACAGTAGTCAGTCCCTACCATTGAAACGAGAGCATCCCCGCCAGTGGCCTGCGCCCCCTGTTCTAGTGCCACAGCCAATGACGGGCCGCTAGTGCGAGTCATTCCTCCATTCAAATCACGGCCCATTGAGGAAACAGGCCTCTCAGTCTTTACTGACCAAAACCAAGGAAATGCAAAATGCTACCGCCTTTGGTACACTCGCCACCCGGCGACAACGTCGCGTCCTCCGCCCAGCGCAGCATCGAGCGATTCTAACCGAGTCTGGGCAGAATGATGTTGCGAGAAGAAGAAACCAAAGTAGAAGAAAACGTCCAAAACTTGCAAAACTTGGTCTCGCGATACCTGCCAACATCACTCCATCTGCATGCGATCAGGACAAACGGAGGCAGCAGCGGCGGCCTCCAGAGGCGAGAACGTGAGCAGCAAACGAATGGGGAAAACAAAAGGTCGACCGTGGGCACGACACTGCGAGACTGCCTACCCATGCTGGCGGCTGTTGTCGCGGTCGTCCAGGACTGCACGCAAACGATTGGCCCTCAGCATCCAGCGCTTGTTAGGCCCCTAGTCCGTGGATCGCCAGTGCCGGCAGTAGCCGCCGACCCCACTAGAGCATCTGCGGTCAGAGACCATATCAGGTCAAAAATAGCCCAACGGCATCGAAAAGATGAAACACGCAGAGGGACAACCACCGCCAGTCCGTGCCCGTTCGTTGTACGAGTCTTATTTTGCCAAGATGCATAAAAAGACGCTTTGCGAATGCAATGCTTGGCAGGCCAGGTGAATGACGGGCAGTTATTCCAGAGCAGCGCCGTCTGTGACAATTGCCGGAGATGATTTCAGGATGGAGACGACACAACTTGCAATAGCTTGGCATCTCGACCCCGTTCATCCCGCCCGTGCCCCCGTCCACGCCAAGCACCGGCCCTCCGACCACAATCACGTCGTGCGCGCCCATCGCCCGCAGCCCGCCCGGCGTCTCCAAGTCCAAAAAGTGCGCGCAGTCCGCCGCCATCCCCTTGAAGTTGTCGCTTGCGTGGAGCGCCATAATGGTTGCCCAGTCGCACACTCACATGGTCGTGCACGCGTCGTAGTCGAGGACATCAATGCCCAGTTGGGACACGCGCGCCTGCAGCTCGGGCAGGCTGTACTGCTGTGTGTGCCGCATAATGGTGTACGTCTTGAACGCGCGGGAGGCGGCCGTGAGGTCCTCATGGAAGATGGCCCAGTGTATTTACAAGCGGTCGTGGGACGTCGGCCCTTTTTTTAAAGAAAGGAGATTCTGATGTAGGTTGGGCCCGCCATTAACAAAGGCACGGTGCGTCACAACGTCACAGAGAGCGGCAACGCGCGCTGATACATGATGGGTGTGTTGTAGTCAAACTGGGGGTATGTGAATGTATGGTAGAGGCACTCGTGATGTTGGGCGCGCGAACACGGCTGCTCGACCTGATCGCCGGGCATGTTGTGAGGCGTGAGATGTGCAGGTGGTGATAGTTACACGAGGCATAAAACGCTGGATCTGGACTCAAGCAAGCGGAAAGGAGAGCAGCACGCCAGCCACGTATATCGTGCACTCGGATATTGACATCTACACTCGTCGTCGGCCCCAGAATCCGGGGTAGCTCGACGCATTGGGCGGCGAGTGGGACAGTCGCCTCCTTATACCTCGTGACTATCCATTTCTGTTCATAAGGCGTAGATCAAGCAGCTGAAGGAAACTCCCTGCAGGTATATGCTGTGATTTGTTTTCTGCTAGCCAATTAGCTCTGTTGACGGGCTTGAACGTCGTGTTGGCATAATCGTCTCCGAGGTATTATTTTCATTTTGTTCTTCTTATCTGGTGCGGTCTATTTTGTAATAAATAGGAACGCAAATCGGAAAGAATTGAGCTCACCAAAAATAGCTGGTATTGGTTTTTATCGCTTTACATTTTGAATCCGAATTAATCGTAACGCCCAGTAGCTACTGACCAAACATGACCGAAACCCGAGAAAAGTTGTATAATAAATTAAGAAAAAATCGACATACCTTCCTAAAATATTTCAAAATTACGTAAAACGTAAACTCGCCAAAGTGTTATGCTTTTCTTGACGATGGCTCGATGGCTGTCGTCGGTGTAAGTCGGCCCTTACTGTGGAGACCTGTCGCTTGCTATGAACCACCACCAATGACAGCACTTATCGACAGCTCCTGCCGCTTGCGGCCCCTAAAATTTTTATGGCTCCAACGTGACTCAACAAAGTGCACAAGGCTGGCGGGCTGCTTTCCGACTTTTCCCCCAACGACACGTCCACTTCTTGTTTCGCTCACGATACCCAATCCCTAGTTGGCCAGTTTCAATTGCCAAGTTCTAGCTTCTACCTACGCCGACAGCATTCAATTCACCCTCTACGACCTCTCTACGACACCCTCCGTGCCAATTGGCCCTCATCGACCTGACCCTCCGACACCGCCACCACAACAACCACCTCCACCATGGCATCCCAACAGAAGCAGGCCAACATGCTCTGGGGCGGCCGCTTCACCGGCGGCCTCGACCCTCTGATGGTCGCCTACAACGAGAGCATCTACTTTGACCAGGTGCTGCACAAGCAGGACATCCTGGGCAGCATCGCCTTTGCGCGCGCCAACTTCCACGCCGGCATCCTCACCAAGGAGGAGTTTGACAAGATCGACGCGGGGCTACAGGCCGTCGAGGCCGAGTGGGTGGCCGGCACCTTCAAGATTGTCCCGGGCGTCGACGAGGACATCCACACGGCCAACGAGCGCCGGCTGGGCGAGCTGATTGGCAAGGACGTGGCCGGCAAGCTGCACACGGGCCGCTCGCGCAACGAGCAGATCGCCACGGACATGCGCATGTGGCTGCGCGACGAGCTGCGCAAGATTGAGGCGTTCCTGGTCTCGTTTTTGCAGGTGACGGCCCAGCGCGCCGCCACCGAGGTCGACCTCATCATGCCCGGCTACACGCACCTGCAGCGCGCCCAGCCCATCCGCTGGAGCCACTGGATGCTGTCGTACGGCCTGGCCTTTGCGGCGGACCTCGCGCGCCTGCGCGAGGTCATCCAGCGCGTCAACCGCTCGCCGCTCGGCTGCGGCGCGCTGGCGGGCAACCCCTTTGGCATCGACCGCGCCGCCATGGCCGCCGAGCTGGGCTTCGACGGCCTGCTGTGGAACTCCATGGGCGGCGTCGCCGACCGCGACTTTGTCGCCGAGACCCTGCAGTGGGGCGCCACCCTGATGCAGCACATCTCCCGCTGGGCCGAGGACCTGATTGTCTACTCGACGGCCGAGTTCGGCTTCGTGCGCCTCGCCGACGCCTACTCGACCGGCTCGTCGCTGATGCCCCAGAAGAAGAACCCGGACTCGCTCGAGCTGCTGCGCGGCAAGGCCGGCCGCGCCTTTGGCCACATGGCCGGCTTCATGATGACCCTCAAGGGCCTGCCCAGCACCTACAACAAGGACCTCCAGGAGTCCGTCGAGCCCATGCTCGACCACGTCAAGACCGTCGCCGACAGCATCCAGATCGCCGAGGGCGTCCTCGCCACCCTCACCACCCAGCCCGACAAGATGCGCGCCGCCCTCGACCCCTTTATGCTCGCCACCGACCTCGCCGACTACCTCGTCCGCAAGGGCGTGCCCTTCCGCGAGACCCACCACATCTCCGGCGCGTGCGTCGCCCTGTCCGAAAAGACCGGCACGCCCATGAACGAGCTGACCTTTGAGCAGCTGCAGAGCGTCGACGCGCGCTTCGAAAAGGACATTGCCGAGGTCTTCAACTACGACAAGAGCGTCGAGATGCGCTCGGCCCAGGGCGGCACGAGCAAGGCGAGCGTCCTGGAGCAGGTGGCCGTGCTGAAGAAGATGCTGGAGTAGAGGAAGGCGTGCGGATGGCGTCGTTATGAGTGACGATTTGGACAATGTTCAAGAAAAAATGGAAAAGGGCTGACTGGGATTAAAACGACGGGCAGAGTTACGGAAACTAAAAAGGCATGTACTTCGAAAATATGACATCCAGTTTTCAAAACGGCAAAAGTAATACTTACGTATTTGTATGCAACAGCTCGTGCTGTGTTGTATACCACCTCTTCTGAGAACCAATCACAACCGCTTATCAAATGATTTTCGTCTACTGCGCGGGACCGCTGGAAAAGAGACCGGATTTGCCCGCCACAAGCCCCTCAATGGCGCCAACAAACGCTACCCAGCGCTCTAAGCGACTAAAACCCTCTCAAAAAGTTGCGCTGACGACATTTGACCCCAATCAGCCGGACCAAAAAAATCCACATCGCGACGACGTCTTCGTACAATCACTCGCACACACCAACAATGTCTTCCAGCGGGAACCCTGGCTCTGCAGCCGGCGAAGGAGCCGTCTGCCCTGTCGACCACAAGACGAGAGACGCCTGGCTCGAGCAGGCGCGGGCGCAACAGGCACAGCAGGCCCAGGCCCAACAGACACAAATCTCACCACAGCCGACGACCAGTGTCCCTGCACAAATTGCCCAGCCCAAGTCCGGCTTCTTCGGCGGCTGGCCCAGCCTCTGGGCATCGCCCTCACCGTCGCCGTCTCCTTCGAGCGCCTCCTCTGCTCCGACGTCCCATGCCGCGCCATCACAGCACCAACGGCCCCTGCGCCACCCGACCATCCGCGGCCTGGGCACCGACCGCGAAGTCTCCTCGATCCCGCGCACGACCACCTCGGCCGACGAGGACAAGACGGCAGCGGCGGCCCGCAGCCGCCCCGTCAACCATGAAGTCGAGACCGGCGCCGACCCCGTCTCCGGCAACTGGGTCTACCCCTCCGAAAAGATGTTCTTTGAGGCCATGAAGCGCAAGGGCAACGACAGCGCCCGCGTCGCCGACATGCGCGTCGTCGTGCCCATCCACAACGCCGTCAACGAGCGCGCCTGGAAAGAGATTCTGGCGTGGGAGGCGCCCTACACGGGCACGGGCCCGGGCCAGTGCGGCGGTCCGCGGCTGCACTCGTTTGCGGGCCTCAGCACCAGCATGTCGCCCAAGGCGCGGCTCAACACGCTGCTGGGGTACACGGCGCCGTTTGACCGGCACGACTGGGTGGTGGACCGCTGCGGGACGCAGGTCGAGTATGTGATTGACTTTTATGCGGGTCGGCCGGGGGCGGCGGCAGCAGCAGCAACAGCAGCCACGGCCTCGTCGCCCAATGCAGGCCAGCCACAAGTCAGCTTCTACCTGGATGTGCGGCCGAAGCTGAACAGCTGGGAGGGCGTCAAGATGCGTGCCCTGCGCGGCCTGGGCCTGCAGTAAGAGAAGGGGTGGACTTGACACGAACACATTCAGACGCTAGGACGAGGGAATGGCCGGACGGCTCCTTTTTGCATTGGGTATTGGACTGTATAAAAATTAGAATTCGGTGATACCGGCGTTGCGCGTGCGGACAACAAAACGTTGTATACGCTGGACGCACGCCCCCAAATGTATATAGTACAGGGCAGAAACACAAATCTCATATCATGACAAAAGTACAAAGCGTAAAACAAGAACAAGAAGAGAAAATGTGAACAGACGACCGGTCCAACCGTCGTCATCCGTGCTTCTGGGCCTCAAGACAGGCCTCAATCCAAACCATTTGCAACATCCCGGTGGCGATCCACGGAAAGACCTAGTCGGCTTTGGCCGGTGGAGCGGCGGCCTGTCCGCGCTCCGCCGTTCTCTTCATATCGCCGCCACCGCCGGTCCGCACCCGAACGGGGCTGTTGGTCTCCAGCTGCCCGTCGTCCAGGTGCCATCCGGCGCTGCGCAGTGCCGCCAGCAAGCCCTCCTTGACCTCCGCCGACACATAACCGTGGGGGCCTTCGTTCTCGTAGTGGCTGCTGAGGCCGTTCTTCAGGGCCGCACTGAAATGGAAGGCGTGCGCCACGGCGTCGAACCAGGCAAGCAGCGGGCCAATGGTTTTGTGTGTGTGCTCCTTCATAGCGATGCGAATGAAAAACCGCGCCTGGTAGTGCCACACGCCCATGAAGTAGTCGGGCCGCTCAAACTTGTACGAATGGTAGCCCCAGGTTTTGCTCGTCATCACGTCGCCGTAGCTGCGCAGCTCGCAGGACCCCGTGTAGTCGCCGTCCTTGCTCGCCATCTCCCCGTTGACGTTGCGCAGGATGCTCTCGCGCTGGGCCACGTCCGAGGGCGTCAGCACGCGGCCCGAGTCCAGGTACTCCCGGAACACAATCGTCGCTCGCTGCCGGTTCAGCGTGAGCATCTTCACACAGCGCACGCCCTGGTAGTTCATGTACAGGTGCACCAAGACCAGCGTCACCATCCAGTACAGCACCATCGTGCGGTCCTGCACCATGTGCACCACGGCGTAGCCCGCGAGCATGCCCAGCAAGCTGATGACCGTCTCCTGCGACGCCTCCTTGGCGTTGAGCTCGGCTAGGTTGCCCCTCTTTGCGAAATGCGCCGACAGGCTCGCCTTGCTGGCGTTGGCGGCAATACCGCACAGCGCCCGCAGGATGCTGGTGACGACCATGACGCAGACTTTGGGCAGAAACGGCAGCACCGGCGTGAGCAGGTCGAGCAGCAGCGCGCTGTCGTTAAACAGGTCTGCCATGAAGCGGTACGTCTTGCACTCGGGCTCAATGGCCTGGCCCATCCGGTGCGCGAACAAGATCGTCGCCATGCGCGAGAAGGTGTCCTGGATGATCTTGAGCACGAGCGCCCCTGTGGGCGACTGCGACGCGTTGCCGACGCCCAGGCCCTCGAGCACGGCGCGGTTAGCAAGCAGCGACGCGATGGCCGACGAGAACGCCTGCAGCGAGTCGTACAACTGATACGACAGGTAGTCATCCGTCACGCTGTGCGGGAACCCGGCTGGCAGAAAGGCATAAAAGACAGCCTTGCCGAGCGGCACATGGGTTCGCTCCTGGGGGGCAAAGTCAGTAGGCATGTTGCCAGGAGAAGGACAAAAGACAAGGCCCCGGAGTACATACAGCTTTGAACCTCTCGGGGTCGTTGATGTCGGTGTATGTGCACAGCACGTTGCCGGCCGTGTCGATGTCGTAGGCCGTCGAGCTCATCTTGGCGGCGGCGTCGGTCCGTAGCGGCGGCACGTAGAAGGGACCAGTGGCAAACGCAACATAGGAAACAAATGGACGCAAATGGACGCAAAAGGACGCCAAAGAACGCAAAAGGACGCAAAAGGGCGCAAATGAAAATAGGGAGATGAAAAAGGGATATCGCTGGGATGAAAAGGGACCTGGATAAGTGTTGATGGGGTATTTTGATGATTGAGCACCAGCCCGGCCCCTGATGGAAGGCTTAGTGAATGAAAAGGGGTGTGGGAGGGCGACGAGCTATGGCTGGTGAGGATGCATGCAGCGTGGATGTAGAGAAGAGGAATGCAAATTGGCAGATGCTACAAAAACGAACGAGGCAAGAAAAGGCCAGCGCGGCATTCGCACCTTGCGCTCTCGGAAGCTGAATAAGGAAAGTGCGATGCAAAATACGGACGTCGGTCGTGACTGCCTTCCCCAATCGAAACTACGCGTCGACATGCATGGATTCTGGAAAACTGGGGGAACGTGTCCACGTGACGCGGGGAATGCCATCAGCACTTAAACCGCCCTGTATTCATCGCGAAACATGCGCCGTAGTAACAATTACAGCACACTACGAAGTAACGACTGTTCGCGACCATCTCGTCATTACGCAAACAGGACCCATTTTTATTACTTTAAGAGCTGACGCAGTTGGGAATGTAGTTAGGTGCCTGAACGCTTCAGTACGCTGGCGTCTGTACTAGATACTGGGCACGTTATTGTGGACAAATACGGGTGAACGGACTTGATTGGGATATTACAGTTGTACCTTGACCGGGAAGCCTCGTCAAGACGCCTTCAAGTAAGACGCATGGAGGGCATCGTGACATTTTATTTTTATCTGGATAAACCACAAATACATTAAAAACGCTAGTTTAATGAGTCCACAAGCATGTCGTATTTCCATCCTCCCAAGTCAAAAGGCCCGTCTTACCGCTTCACAGGCTCACCGTCCTCGCCGACCAGGTGCTCCTCTGACTTGATGGGGCCCTCGCCCACGCCCGTCGAGATGACCCGGCTGACACCCGACTTGAGCGTCGATGCGACCGTGGCGTCGACCTCGACGGCAGCGGCCGTGCTCGGCGCGGCACCGCCCTTCCAGCCGTCGACACCGGCACCCAGGACGCTGGAAAAGGTGCCCAGCACGACATCGGCGTCCTGCTCGAGGTAGTAGACAACCGCGTTCGGGCCGGCGTCAAAGGTGTACGCGGCGACGGTGCGGCCGGCCTTGGCGTTGATGGCCTCGACGGCGCGCACGGCGGCGCGCGAGACGTCGTTCATGTAGTAGATGGGCGGGTAGGTGTCGGCGCAGGTGGCGTGGAAGGAGTTGGAGTCGCGCATGGTGACCTCGGCGAAGCTGGCAAAGTCATGCGCCGCAATGGCCTTTTCCATCTTGGCCATGTTGTCGGGCACGACGGTGCGGATGCGTTCTTGAAACAGGCCCGACGTGGCTACCGTCTGCTGCATGCCCGACGTCGACGACACGCCCTTCTTGCTGGCCGAGACGACGAGCACGACGGCGCGCATCTGGGGCCAGGCGGACGCGGGCGCCACCTGCTCGGCCAGCGAGTCGCTGCCGTCGGCCTTGTCGCCCATGCGCCAGGCGACGTAGCCGCCAAAGACACTGCGGCACGCCGAGCCGGAGCCCTGCCGGGCAATCAAGCTCAGCTGCGACGGCGAGTCGGGCAGCTCGTAGAGGTCGGCAATGGCACGCACGAGAGCAGCGAACCCCGCGGCCGACGACGCCAGGCCGGCGGCCGTGGGGAAGTTGTTCTCCGTCACAATGCGCAGGGGCAGGCTGGCGAGCTTGGGCAGAGACGGGTCGGCAGCCTCGAGGGCGGCGCGGCGCTCGCGCAGGGCACGGAAGCAAGCCTGGGTGCGCGCACCCGAGACATCAGAGGGCTCGCCGTTGAGGAGCAGGGTGTCGTTCTGGCCTGCATAGGCGGCCGAGCATGTGGCCGTGGTTAAGGTGCGGAGGTCGGACTGTGCGAGGGTGACGGAGAGCGACGAGTTGGTGGGGAGGTTGAGCTTGGGGTCACGCTTGCCCCAGTACCTAAACAGGAGCCACGGTGGTCAGCAGATGAGCGAGAAGACGAGGGCTTCGCCGTCGAAGGGAGCGGTGAGGCTGCATGCATACTTGACGACGGCAATGTTCACCGGTGCGGTGGTGGTCGCACGGTACACCTTTGTGTCGGCCATCGTAGTGGAGGGTGTAGGCCGGAAGGGGGGGGAGGAACGAATTGGGCTTGAAGGTGTCTTGTCGAGGACGTGTGCTGGTTCACAAAAAAATACGGCCGTCGACAAAAGTGTGAATGGACTCGAAAAGGGGCATGTGTTTTTCAGGCCTAAAGTTTAAGCTCCCAGAGCTTCAGTATTTTTGCAGGGCGCGACAGCAGCAGTCGGCTGGTCCTTCCTCGTCTTGGATTAGCGCGGGGTCAATGGCAGGACCAACTGGCTCTGAGGGTCTAGCCCCTTTTTGGCGCAGTGTGTCAACGCAACACACACTGGAGCTGGCGCTGGTCGTTTTCAGCGAGGCTGTGAAATACGGGGTAAAACGACCTCCCTCCTTCCCTCCGTTTGTGTTGGAGAATGTCAACAGCACGGACAGAGCGATGGGCATCGTAGAGTAACCGTAAACAAACCGCCTTCCATAAACGAAGCACATTGCCTCTCCGACGCACGTCGTTTCGCACACTGATATCGACCTCAACATGGCGGCCCAGAAGTCGGTCCTCATCACGGGCTGCAGCCTCGGCGGCATTGGCGATGCGCTGGCGCGCGAGTTCCACAAGCGCGGCCTGCAGGTGTTTGCGACGGCGCGCAACACGGCCAAGATGAGCGAGCTCAAGGCGCTCGGCATCACGACGCTCGAGATGGACGTCACGTCGCCAGAGTCCATCAAGGCGGCGGTCGCGCACGTCGCGACCGCGTCCGGCGGCAGGCTCGACATCCTCGTCAACAACGCGGGCCTCAACCACGTCATGCCCTTTGCCGACTGCGACTTGGCCGACGTCAAGCGCGTCCTCGACACAAACATCTTTGGCGTGTTTGCAGTGACCCATGCGCTGCTGCCCCATCTCAGGGCCGCCGGCGGCGTCGTGGCCAACATCAGCTCCGTCAACACGGTGCTCCACCCGCCGTACCAGACGGCGTACAACGCGTCCAAGGCCGCCATCAACACTCTGGGCGACACGCTGCGCGTTGAGCTGGCGCCGCTGGGCGTCCGTGTGGTAACAATCGTGACCGGCTCCGTGGCCTCGCACCTGTTTGACAACGCCGACGAGCGCTGCCACCTGCCCGAGGGAAGTGTGTACGCGCCGCTCAAGGAGCGCATCGAGAAGAAGGACTTTCTAGACGGCATTCACTGGACGCCCACCAATGACTATGCGCGTCAGGTGGCCTCGGATCTGCTGCGCACGTCGCCCCAACCGGTGCTCTGGCGTGCAACCTTTGCGACGATGGCTTGGATCCTCAACACCTTTGGCTGGACCGGGATGCTGGTGAGTTTGCGCTGCCGGATGCTCATCACATGTCAGTGACCGTCCACGATTTAACCTGCTTTTCTGTTTGCCTAGGACTCTCCCATGTCCAAACGAGTTGGCCTGGACAAGTTGAAACCACCAGTCGTCCAGTAAAAAGCAAGTATCCGATTCTCGTTTTATGAAGAACGTGTCCTGTTGGTAAATCGGCAAAGCCAATACAGGAACCATTTTGGAACCGCGAATGTTGATATATATTTGACACATATTGAGCAGTGTGCAAGTGTTTAAGATAGGTACAACCGACTCCAATATTTTTGTCCTCGTAACAAAAACAAACAGGGGTGGCTTCGTCACTGATAATTCGAGCCGTGGACTGCTTTGCCAATCTCCCAGGTTATTTCAAAGGCCATCAACCTCAAGCAGAAAATTTGTACCTTCACAACATTTCTCATGTCGTGCCGTGCCCCGAGTGTAAGGCTTTTAACGGAATCCTAGCTATGAGCAATTTGAGGAAGATTCACGCCATCAACGTCGTCCAGTCCCACATCCACACCAGCCTCGGTCAGCATCCGTACAATCGAATCTTGGCCTCGGGATTTGGCTAGTAGAAGCAGTCCCTCACCGTACAATGTGACATCGGCACCAGCATCGAGCAGCATCCGCACCACAGATTCCCGGCCTTGGGAGACGGCTGCTCCAAGCGATCGCATTTGTTGACCATCGCTAGCATTCGGATCGGCACCAGCATCGAGCAGAATGCGGACCACAGATTCCCGGCCGCGTAAAGCGGCTAATTCAAGCAGAGTTAAGCCTGGCATGTCGCTCACTTTCGGATCAACACCTGCATCGAGCAGAACCCGTAAAACAGATTCACTGTCATTGAGGACTGCTGCTGTAAGATGGTTTAATCCTAGAGATTCTTTTGCATTCGGGTCAGCTCCAGCATCGAGCAAAATCTGCATAGCAGAAACCCGGCCATCGCAGGCGGCGACTTCAAGCGGACTTCTGTTCAAGTCGCCGGCTGCATTCGGATCCGCTCCGGCATCGAGCAGCATTCGTACAATTGAATCCCGGTCCTCGACGATGGCACAGTCAAGCGGGCTTTTATCCGACTCGTCGGTCATATTTGGATGGGCGCCAGCATCGAGCAGCATCTGTATAACAGAATCTCGACTGTTGCGTATGGCTGTGTCAAGGGGACTTGAACCCAAGCTGTCGACTAAATTTGGATCGGCACCAGCATCGAGCAGCATCTTTATAATAGAATCGAGGTCATGGCGGATGGCTGTCGTAAGCGACGTTCCACCAAACCCGTCGAGCATATTCGTGTCTAAGCCAGCATCGAGCAGCATCTGTATAACAGAATTCCGACCTTCGAGGATGGCCAAGTGAAATGGACTTACACCGACCTCATCGGTTGTATTCGCAATGGCCACGTCTGTACCGGCATCGAGCAGCATCTGCACAAGTTTTTCTTCCCCCGTGAGGATGGACCATCGAAAGAGTGACCGGCGAGTTGTATCATGTATCATGATATCTGCTCCAGCCTCAAGCAACCATCGTACGGTGGCTTCCTCGCTTCTGGTAGTGGCCACGTCCACCGGAGTTTGGCCCGAGTTACCCACAGTATTGACATTCGCTCCGAATTGAAGAAGAAGCCGGGCGGTAATGTTGCAGCCATGCTTGATGGCATAGTAAAAGGGCGTCAGGTTGTGGTCGTCCATCGAATCGACCTCTGCACCAGCATCTATTAGCAATCGGGCGACATTTGCGTATCTTGTCCCTGCTGCAGCCACCATTGTATCCCTTGCGAAGCCATCGACCTGACCGTGTAATGTCTCAAAGCTGAGCTGGTCACATGCCATATTGGAAGTCCAGGAGAGTGCCGACCGACCTACACTATCCTTTGCATTCAAATCGGCGCTGGGGTGTCGCAACAGACGCTTGACAATCTGTTCGAGACCACAATATGACGCAACCATCAACCTTGTAAAGCCGAGGGGATACTTCGTCTCAAAATTGAAAAAGTATACCATGAACCACGCTGCGGGATACTTCGGAGCGTGTCCACGCATAGATACAAGAGCCAACGCAGCATCGCTCGCTTTGGTCTCCGATGCGAGAAAGTGGTTAACCCAATAATAAGCAGAATACAAAAGGAATGTGTTTGTGGTGGACTTTGCGGACGATAACATATCCTCAGCATCATGAAGATGTAAACTCCGCATGCAAGCGTTGGCTATAATTTGTTGCGATTCTTGTCCATGGAGAGAATATTTCCACACCAAGCGAGGTCCGTGTGTTGACGAGGTCTCCTCGCTGTCGATGTCTTTGTCCCACACGAGGAATTCCTTCACCGTTTGGTGCAGAAGATACACTTTAGAGTCAATGACGGTCACAAGTAATCCGCAGAGCTCTCGGATGCGTTCACGGAACCGTGCTTCCGGTATCATCACCACCTCATCATAGTTGCGGTGGTGTGGTAGCAAAGCCAGCGCAAAATTCAGCTCCTCGACTGTTAAGGGCCGCAATGCTGCAACAAGAAAATGCAGAAGCCGTTTGGCCTTCTCCTTGTCGGGGCTGCTTGAGAGCATTCGCTCATATGCCGCGTCAACCGAAGGTGGTAGACTCGATGCAATGGTGGCCAGATCCATCTCTTCGTCGAACTGGGCTTTGATGACGTCCAGTGTGAGATGAACCCAGAGATAGGTCCTGTTGTCGAATTTTTGTAGCCCGGCCAGCAACGTCTCCATTTCGGTAGCGTCGAGCTGAAAATAAGACTGCAGCTGGTCGACCTCAGCCTGGATGACAAGATCAATCTCCTGTTTGATTTTCTCGACCTCCTCGTCCGTCTCACCCCTCAAATGAATAAGGGAGAGCCCATTCGATTCCAGAGGATGAAGGCCTTTGCGAATTGAGCTGTAGGGCCGACTGGTGATGAGCATCTTGATGCTGAATCGAGGATCGTGACCGAGTACTTCGTAGTAGTTGCACAGTATCCTCATGAGCTCGGCCTGCTCACCGCTATCGCATTCGTCCAGGGCGTCGATGACACAGACAACGCTCAGATGTTCTTCGCTGGGGAGTCTTTGCGACAGTGTTTGCATGAAGATGTCCCAAGTATCGGCCAAGGAGTTGGTCTCGTAACCACCGCCGCCCCCAAATCGGTTGACGATTTTGTCAGAAAGGAGCTCTTGTCTCTGCTCAAAGACCTGATGGAGCATGCATCGCAACGCACTTTTAGCCGATCGCTTGCCGTCATCCTCGTCTTTGAAGAAGAAATAGCAGATCAAGCTGGATGCGAGTTCTCGAGGCAATATGGTGTCCACGAGATGTCGCGCCAGGACAGACTTGCCAGCGCCGGGATCTGCAGACGCCCAAAGAATGTTTGACTCGCTGCTGTCACACCACTGCCTGAACAGCCTGTGCCCAACAAACCACTTGCACGTGCCGGGGACAGGAATCGGACTCCGGTTTTTGTCGTCCTTGTATGGTGTCGTCTGTAGAGAGTTCTTGATGGACTGTCGTTTTGTTCCATCTTCGTCTAAGCCAGAAACTACGTCACCAATACTGTTAGGCAACCAAATCATGTGTTAAAAAGGCAAAAGGGATTTCATTTTGTTCCGTACCAATACTCATTGTCTTACCGATCTCCTGGTGCCCAATCCCCGAGATTTCTTGGTGGTTCCGACCATAGATATTGTTCTGGTAACTTGTTCCTCCACCAGCAATAAGCGGTTTTGGTGATGCGAGGCCCGCGTCCGCCGTGACGGGCTTTGTCGTTGACATCTCCGTCATCTTCCTCTGCAACTGTGCTACCTGGCTCTCGGTGGCCACGCCAAATGTCTGGTACTGGTCCACGATGGCCAAGTCCGCCAGGATTTCCTTCATGAGGGTTTCGACTTTGTTTCCCTCTGCTAGCTCGAGAAGGACACTGCGGCAGTTATGGCCAAGGTCCGCCCACGTCTGTCTCTGCCAGGACTCGCTCCCCAAACCATGCTGCAAATTGACAAAAATGTCGTGAAGCACCCTGATCTTCTGTTCGCACCGGCGTGCGATTGGCCGAATGGCGTTTGCCAGCAAAGCATCGGCACTGGGACCAGAGCGGTGGGTTTGTATCTTCCAAAGGGCCAGTTGAATAAGCTGCAGGCTCTTGTTGACCCTGTCAAACGCTTCGGGACGGCCCTTGATGGTGTGGATTGTCGTGTACGTCTCATAAATGGCCCGTGCCAGTGCTCTGCTAGACGCAACGGCACTCAGAGGATCCATCACTTTGCCTGGGGCAGATGGCGATCTCTAGTCGTGGTAAATGTGTCGCTGTGGATGGTAGTTTGGTCAAAGCATGTGGGAAACGCCCGCCGTATGCAGAAGTGGCAGTAAACAAGTCATAATTTGAAATCCAAAACACAGTTGTTTTGCCCATGAAAACGAAGGAAAGGGGAATTGGTCTCCTTAAAATGCTCGTCTCCTTACTGGGAAAAGCTGTTTTTGAATTGAAAAACAGCCAGCTGCAGACCAGAAAACAACTTTCCATACGAAGCAGCATGACGCCAATCAACGCTTCCGCATTACCGCCAACGAGCACTGGATATAGTATGCTAGGCTACCATGCAGGAAATACGTGTCAGACTGCCACAAGACAACCATTCCAAAGTTGCACCTTTCCCCTACGCGGCCCGCTCCTTTCGCCCTCTGCTCCCCCATGGTCCATGCAGATCAGACCATGCAGATAAAAGGGATGTGTTTGATGACGGAGTACATCATATATAGCGCGACCACAAAACAGAATTTAGGCTCAGAATATGCGTACCTGATGTAAAAATAAAGGTCACGTGCCGATGACAACAAATGCCTTGAGAAACTCCAAAAGCTTTTTGCTGTTCGTGAGGCGCTTGGTCGGTATTTTGTTTGTCGCTCATGTCTTTTCAAACATAGTAGACATCAACGTGCACCGTCCCACATATATATGCTGCTACGTTCTCGTCAGCATTACATGCAAACACTCTTATATTATGCTCTCGTTCGCTCTCGTTCGTATGGTTTCATTTATATCCTCCGAAATACAGCAGGCTCCAGCAGCCTAGACAAACATACTGTCGCTGAGTGTGAGCTGATTTCCTGGTGTGGATTTGGTTATGACTCCGTGATTAATAATTATGGTTGATCTGAGAGCTATGACGGTATACTTGAAAGCACAATTAAAGATGACTTATTTGAACTACCTGGAAAGCCTAGTACGGCGTATATTGTTTTATCTTGAACGTCTTAGCAGTTTGTAATTTGAAGACTCAAGCACCAGACACTGGAAATGTCCAAATTGCAGCAAAGTCACGAGACAACCTAATTGTAGCCAGGAATGGTCAGCACACTAATTTACGCCGAAATGGTGGCTGCCTGTCCACTGACGTCGTCTGCTGCGCTAAAACTCCAGCCTCGTTGTCTTGGGCAAGAACATATGGTTGGTTGGTGGCGTCTGTTCTTTCCTTCGTAACTCACATGTGTGACTTCCTAATTCTCAGTTGTCTTCATTCAACTATCACGATCCGACAAAAAGAATCCGACGAAAGCCTCGACTCACATAGCACGAAACCACTTACACGAAACCACTTACACGGCCATTTCGACCGCCGCCCCATTATTGTCAGTCGACTCATCCCGTTTCAATAAGCCCGCAACCCCGCGCCGAACACGTTGCAATCGGCGCCACCCGACTCTATCGCCCCCAACACGAGCAATTGCTCCTGGTTGCTTTCCATATCGCGCCCTTCTCCCAGAAACGTCGTGCATCCAGCGCGACATCTTTCTGTTGCTCTGCCCGCTATGAACCGCCTGTTCGGCACCCGGTCCAAGGACACCAAGGCCGACGCCATCGCCGCCCTCAATAAAGTCAGCGCCAGTACCAACGAGAGTCTCGAGTCCGCAGAAACCAAAATTGCCGCTCACAATGCAGAGCTGGCGGTCATCTACTCCAAGATGAACAAGTTGCCCCCCGGACGTGCCAAACAAAATCTCCGGAGGGACGCCATCAAAGTCCTCACGAGACGCAAGCAGCAAGAGGCTCTGCGCGAAAGACACAGCAATAACGCATGGATGATGGACAACGCGCGCGGCATGACGGACAGCTCGGAAAGTACGATTGCGGTGGTGGGTGCACTGAATACGGCGAACAAGAACCTGCGGAAGCAGCTGGGCAAAGTCGACCTGGACAAGATTGAGCGGATACGTGACGAGCTCGACGAGCTGCAGTACTTAAACAACGACATCCAGGAAGCACTCAGTTGGGACGTTCCCGAGGACGTGGACGAGGAGGAACTGGATGCCGAGCTCGAGGCGTTGGGCCAGGACGTGGAGCTGGAGGCCGAGATGGGCGCGGCGACCGGTGTGCCCAGCTTCATGCAAGACGAGGTGCCCGAGTTCATCGACGAGGCGCCCGAGACCGAAAGCAAGGTCCAAGAGGTGGCTCGGTAAAGAGACGGGTTGGGGGAAGGATGGACGACAAGGTCGTCGATGCGCGCGTCCTGTTTCTATGTGCTTCGCCACATGTAGTTTTTTTTTCTTTTCCTTTTCCTTTACCTTTCTCGTTCATGTTACTAGCAACACGATTTTAAATTGTTCAACGCGTGTAATGGCGGAAAGCTCTCAAATGAAGCCTGATGCAATCAAATCCAAACGCCCAGTTCATGCCGACCATATTTCGCACCGCCGTCTCTCCAGCTCCCGCCGCATCCTACTCAATCGTCCCAAAAAACCGCGCCGCCTCCTCGAGCTCCGGGTCACCGTTGCAAAAGTCCCACCCAACAATGATGGCCGTCTGGCTGCAGCAAATGATGCGGCGGGCATCGAATTGCAGCTTGAAGACGCGCGCCGGGTTCGCCATGTCGTCGGCGGCCGCAGCGGCTGCACCCGCGTGCATATGCGGATGGTGCGGCGGCGGTCCTGCAGCAGCGGCAGCGGCGGCAGCGGCGGCGGCGGCGGCGGCAGCAGCAGCTTGAGCGTGGGGATGGGGAGCGGTGTTGGTCCCCACGATCGCCGGCGGCGGCAAAACGACCTGCTGTTGGTGGTTCTCGAGCGCGGCCAGCGAGACGGTGTGGGGCGCAATGGCCGTGGCGGGCGGTGCGCTGGGCCCGGCCGTACTGGCTCCGGCGCCCACGCCTACCACAGTCGACCATGACGGCGCGGCGCCAGCTGGCGTAGCGGCCGTCTGGCCCGCCTGGGCCGTCTCAGCTTGTGCGCTGTCTTCGGCCGACGTGCCGGTCGTAGCTTGTGTTGTTGTCGCTGCAAGGCCGGCTGGTGCTGGACGTGGGCCGGTGGCGGCCTGCACCATCTGGGCCCGAACCAGGGCCGAGCTGACGGCCTGGCGCAGCTGTGAGCGGACAAAGGGGCTCGGGTGGCGGTCAATGGCGGCCTGCAGCGTGGGCTGCATCTCGAGCAGGTCCGGGTACGTGGACAGTGCCTGCTGGAGAGCATGGACGCCCTGCGCAATCAGGTCGTCGATCAGCCGTGCCAGCTGCGTCTGCACCGGTGTATGCGCTGTTGCAGTGGCCGCTGCCGACGAGGAGGCAGCGCCCGCGTCCGGCAGGTCAACGTGCATCGCGTGCGACGAGGACGGTTGCGGGGTGGCGGATGCTGTGCCGGGCAGAGGCTGATGCTGCTGTGCAGGCGTGGAACTTTGTCCCGGGGCGACTGTCGCTGTAGCATGGCTTCCGCTCGCCGCGCTCTGTTGGCCGATCTGCAGCTGCTGCTGCTGCAGTGCTCCAAGCGCCGCCTGTGTCAGCGGCTGGCTTCCGGGTTCGCCGGCCACGGCAGCAGCAGCAGCTGCTGCAGCCTGGCGCCGGGCCATGCGCAGCGCATTTGTCGCGCTGGATGTGGCTGCCGACGCGGCGGCTGCGGCTTCTTCTTGCTTCAGGTGGTGTTGCGGCTTCCACATGCCGTGCTTGTTGCGACGCCAGATGATAATCGTCGTGTCGTAGGAGCCCGACACGATGCGGCCGTACTGGCCACCACCGCCACCGGGGGGCAGCTTGGCACCCGTGAAGCGAATGTTCTCGGGCCGCAGCATGCCGTTGTCATCGTCGTCGTCATTGGCCGGTCGGTTGCCGCTGCGGTGGCGGCGTCGAACGTTTGTCGGGTTCACCGGGAGCGTGCCGTTCTGCACCGCCTCGAGGTACCGCTGGTCCATCAGCGCGGCGGCCTTTTCGTCCTCTTCGGCGCTGTAGGGCAGGTCACCGAACCCGGCCTGGACGGTGCGCACCAGGTTCGAGTGCGAGCGCAGGCTGCCGACCTCGAGGCTCGTGCGGCGGTCAAACACCTTGACCTCGTTGTCACTGCTGCCGGATACGATGCGGCGGCCGTCGTACTGCACGCAGGCAATGCCCTTGCTGTGGCCCACCAAGGTACGGACGCATTGCTGGTTGGGCCAGTCCCAGATCTTGACGTTGCGGTCGCCCGAGGCGGAAATAATCTCGCGGCCGTGGATCTGGACGGCGTTGACTGCGGCGCTGTGGCCCTCGAGGCTGCCAATCATGGTGTAGGGCGGCTTGAGCGGCAGGCGGCTGATCTCGTCGTCGTAGCCGTAGCGCTTGAGATGGATGGGCACGGGGTCGACGGCAGACGACGACGGCTTGCCGTCGCCAACCGCATAGCCCAGATCGCCTGGTTTGAGCGGGCGCCGGTTGAACACCTTGATGGTCTTGTCCTTGGAGCACGTCACCAAGATGTTCTTGTCGAACTTGACATTGAGGACAGGCTCGCGGTGGGCGCGGTGCAGGCGCTGGAGGATCTCGCCCGTGGAGAAGCGCCACAGGATGACGTTGGAGTCGCTGCTGCCGGACACAATCAGGTCCTCCTCCGGGTCCGAGTCGAACTGCAGACAGAGCACGGAGCCGCGGTGGCCGACGAGGGGCATCCGCGCGAGGCGGCGGGTCTGCAGGTTCCAGATGCGGATGGTGCGGTCGCGGCTGCCGCTGACCAGATAGTCCTGGTTGAACTGGATGGTGTAGATGCACTCGCCGTGGGCCTCGTTGGGGTGGTCGGGGTGCGGGAACTGGAAGTTGGTGTACTTGCCGAGCTCCCAGTTGGCCTCGAGCCGCCGCCGCAGCGTGTAGAGGTGCTTCCAGTTCATGCGGTACTTGCCACTGGCCGAGTCCAGCACCCAGAGGCTCTGCTTCGGTAGGCCCTCTGGCGAAGCTTCGCGCACGGGCGCGACGCTCTCTGCGGACGGGCGTGGTGGTGGCGACGATGCACGCTGCTTGCCCTTTTTGCTTGCCGAAGCTGCCGCCGCCACCGACGACGACGACGAGGCGGCCGTCGACATAGACGAAAAGGACGTGCCCGCTGCCGGGTCAGGCACGTTGTCTCCTCGCTTGTCGTTGCCAAACAAGCTCGAGGCCGGCTGGTCCTCGGGCAAGGAGTCGACGGCCGTCATGTCCGACTTCCAAATACGGTCCGCGTCCAGCATCACATGGTCCCGGTCGCCGTCGGCGGCGCGTCGTGACGAAGTAATGGCGCGTCTCTTAGACGTGTGGCCCCTGCTCGTCTCGTCGTACGGCGCCGGCCGGTCGCGGTTGACGGTCTCTTCCCATTTCTGCAGCTCGGATGTGATGGCCTTCCAGCCTTCCAGGTAGTACAGGCGCTCCCAGAGCTTCCGGTCCGAGGCCAGGCCGTACCAGGCACGGCACGACCGCGCAACCGCAATCAGAGAGAGCGGGTCGAGGTAGCCGAGGATGTTGAGGCAGATTTCGGCGGGCAGGTAGCGGATAAAGTCAATGTACAGGCGCGGGCTCAGCTGCTGAACGATCTGGGCGATGGCGCTGGTCGGCAAGCTGTCGAGGAGGGCTTCGGTGAGTTCTCAGCGGGTTAGCCAGCGGAGGTCCAAATCAACGACTCGACTCATACAAGCAAACACGAAAGGCAGAACGTACGAATCTTGGACGCAACCGAGAGGGACGAAATGTGGCGTGCCAGAGCTGGTGGCAGGCCTTCAGCATCTCCAACAGATGACTTGCTCGCAACAGCCAGCGACCCGGACGTCGATAGTGGGTCTTCGGAGTAGCCCTCATCAGGCTGCTGCGTCTGGAAAGGGTCCATGGTGGACTGTGAGCCGACGGTGATGGCCCGTCACGCTTCGTCAATGACGCGATGGTGAGGGGGGAAGGGGGGGGGTCGTGTGTAGAGGCCCGTTCGATCGCACGTTTGTTCCGCGTCGTAATGTTGATGAACGGCGAATCGCCAGACACCCGTCGTTGATCGCGTCACGTTGATCGTTTGAACATAGATCGCTGGTCAAAGGGCCGGCGTGGTTGTATGTCGGATGGAGTAGGGGTCGGCAGTGGCGGAAACGGAGGTAACGGCAGGCTGGCAGGCTGGGCTGCCTCGCCTGCTGTCGTGATAGGCTGGAGATCGGCGCCTGGTGAGGGCGCGGAGAAAAGCGGGGCGATTTGGTGGGTGAGGTCAGGCTGACCAATCACAGGCAGGAAATGTTGCTGTGCGACTCTCTCAATAATTTAGCGACCAAAACAACACAACAACAATATGTGAGTGTCCAGCAAAATAAACATATAAACATACGGGGCACGAAGCACGAAGCATAAAACACAACGTGTCATACAAGGACAGCTTTTGCATAGGCAACCAGAGCACACGCCGTACCAGGCCGTGCTAGGATACATGCGTACGTTGTCTATGCACTGACTCCAGCCTCACGCTGGCTGACCTTTGTATCTTACTTGCGCCTTTTCTTGACGGGGATTATTATGTGCTTCCCTTTGACATATGTACGAGTTGTCATATGAGTAGAAAGTGAAAACAATCATGACAAGCACATCATCTCGACGGATTGACTGGCCCACGGCCCCCCGTCACTGGCGGCCGTGCAGTGGGCCAGGCCACACCTGCCGTTTCTCGGCGGCTAGCCTTACGGCGCATTGGCGAGGAAGCTGCGGTGGGTCAAGCGTCACGCCCAGTAAGTCGACAGTCGTCGTCAGGTCGTCAGATGGTGGGTTGTTTGAATAGTTTGGATACAAGGAAACGAGCCAAACAAATATCTCGGTGTTTGTTGCGGCGGCAAGAGGGACTGCGTCATGGGTTCGGTGTCGTTGAGGAGGCCGTCTGTTCCATGATGCCTGCAACTAAGTAGAACCATCACACAGTAGAGGCGTCTCCACTCTATCCTGGGGAGTTTATAGAGGCATGCTAGTGCAGAACGCCATATTGGCGTTGAATTTGTATGAAATAGGACTGGTCGTTTGTACAGGTTGCATGGGCACAGCTAAATTAAACATCGGCTTCGTCAACGACATAAACGCAAACTCTTTCTTCCCTATGTGAATGTGAATCAGAGACAACTCCGAGTCTTCCACGTGATCAAATAACTGAGCTGGGACGGATGAAACCATTTTTCATGTTTTCTTCAGCTGCTCCCTGCTTCCATTTGATTTGCAACCCCCAACGGCGGGCCACATTTGTTTTGCATGAACGCATGGTTTCAACAGCCAACAAAAGAGTTTCTGCTCTCCTGCCCGTCCGCCCGTCGCCCCGGCTGGTTTGACAGCTTCTGGAAGGTCTATAGTGCACCCGTCCGCCCGCAGTTCCGAGAAAAGGGCCGTTAGGGAATGTTGGGCAAAATTCCACCGGACGTTAGAGCCAAGAATGCGATTGCAGTGTCGTCATAATGCCTTGCTCTTGGATGTCGTTGTTCTGAATCGCCACTGCTGAGACAGCGGCATCGTATGGGTCAAAGCTGTCTCGGACGCCGAATCGCAGTACCGCTTCTGGTTCCCGGAACATCAAACAAGGTGGCCTGGGCGTTGAGGCACATTCACAACCCGCACCTCGCGGGTCGGATGGGGTACGCACTTTTGCTACTCGTTGCACCGTATGCTGGCACATACTTTTCTACATGGGTGCAGGCACGACACATCTTACACTTTTTATATATCGGCAGCGGGCACACCTGCGTTCTTGTGTTCGTCATATGCCGCATGTTCTCCTGCTACTTCTCTCTCGCGACTGTCGTGCCCGACCATACTTTGCAGTTCGTACTCTGCGTGCACGACGCGCAACACATCTCCCCCTTTCTGCCAACCCCTGCCCTGATGATGTTCCTGGTGATGTCTTTTCGACTCAGCTGTTGCCGTTTCCAGCGGCCGCAATTACCCACGCCTTGTCGCCGCGCCCAAACAAATCCATCACACGTCCAGAGCATGCACTGGCGTTTTATTACCGCCCCCTATTCCATACACATCCACTCCCAATTCTCACCCCATTCATACCCTTTCCTGTCCCATTGTGCTGCCACCCCTTATCGCTCCCCCACTCTGAATCGAAAGGGTAGAATGTTCATTTCTTCCAGCAAAAGGCCCAGCGAGCCGGGGTTCGACTGTCCGTCCAGGGACTAGCGTCGATAGTCGCAATTTGAAACGAAAGACGTTGACAGATTCAATGCTGAAAACGCCCAAACAACCAACGGCGAGCATCAACGACAATAGCGGCGAGACATATTCGTACTGTGTGCATCGCTTGTGTCCATACTGTTTTCTGAAATGGCGTCAGTTGGGTTCCGGAAAAGCCACTAGCGCTACCCATGCCCCTTTTCTAGGGTTCTCTAGCGCTCGCTTTGGCCTGTTCTTTGCCCTGAAATGACCCTGAAAAATGACATGAACATCAGCTGTCGTCCAAGGGACAGTGCCTGTTCCTGCCCCGTGCACCGTAGGTCCCTAGGGCTCTGGCTCTTTCCTTTCTTCCAGAAACCGCTCCCAGTTTGGACAGGACACCACTTCCCTCCTTCTGGGCCGCTTTCCCCACTTCCTGTGGCCCCTTCCCTTTTCACCCCCGCCTGGCGCTTTTCTCCCCCCTCCCCCTTTTTTATGGGACAGGACATCGAGTCACCAAGGCCGCCCAAAGGCTGCCCAAAAGTCCTATTTCGCACTGGATATTGGCCTGTTTCTGCATTGGCCGCCCCTCCATCTTTGTCCAAGGCCCCGTCGTAAACTCCTTTCGCCCTCCACTACCGTCACATCCACACAAATCTTCCCGACCAACCGCCCGCCTTGCCCGCCACCCCTGATCCGTCGTTCCTGCCTTTTTGCCTTGCCTTTTGCCATTCTGCACCCTTTTCGAACGTTCCAAATTAAGAAAGAGCGTCCCGACACAGCAACTTTCGTTCTTTCCCAGCGGTTCTTGCATCTGGGGCACGCCTTCCGTTTCCTGCATCCTGCATCTCGCCTCTTCGCATCTCGTCTCGGTTTCTTGGGCCTCATTTGCCGGCTTTGTTTTTCCAGTCTTCGCTCGCCGCCTTTGTACAGTTTCGAACCCACCCATTCCTTATCTGCACTCCGATTTCTGCCCACCAATAATCACGGCAATACCCTCCAATTCGGATTTCGACCTTTGTTTCCTCCAACGCATGCCTTCCGGCGACGCGACCGTTAGATGCTGTGACAAGAAAGAACCTGTCCGCTCTTCGCCGTCTACTTGACCCTAATCGCCTCGTGCCAGCACAAAGCGCTTATCGCCAGTGCACGCGGCTACCACCGCATCTCGTGTGTCCTCCTTTCGACCTTGCAAACCCTCCGTCTCGCTCATCTCGTGCCCTGCAACCCTGCCAGCGGCTTTCACTTTCGCTTCGTTTGACTCGTCCGTTCTTTCATCGACACTTCTTTGCACGTCTGGCCGCCTTTCATTGTCAACAACGCTCTCGCTGCTGTTATCCCCCCCTCCCCCCTCCCCTCCCCCTCCTTAAACCAGCCTGTTCACTCTCGCCTCACATTTGACGAAGACGACGCCAGGGATTTAAGTAACCCCTCCACCCCATCCCTTCGTCAAGCCGACTTCACCGCGCCCCCTCGGCGAATGGAGCAGCCATGGCGCACGCGCCCTTGTTAAGAACAAACACCGCGCCGCTCTTCTCCTCCTCCACACCCGCTGTGGCCGGCGGCGCAAACGGCAGCGGTCCCATCCGGAACACCATGAGCGGCGTCTCCGGCGGCGCGCCGCGCTCGTCCCAAATGTCGGGCAGCACCGCATTTATGAGCACCACCTCCCTCACGTCCCTCTCCAGCCAGACCACCCTGGCCAGCCCACCCGTCACGGGCCAAGTCGTGGCCACCAGCAACATCATCAACCAAAAGGCCGACGCCTCTCGCTCGCTCTACCAGATCTGTGTCGCCCTCAAGCAGCGGCTTGCCCAGGTGCCCGGCTTCGAGGGCTATCTCGAAGAGCTCGCGCACCTCGAGCGCGATGTCACGAGCGGCGATCCCGTTGAGGGTCTGTGGCAAATGTTCCGGTCTGGGCTGCCCTTGCTGGCCATCTACAATGCCCTGCAGCCGGCCGAGCCGCTGATGCTGGCCGAGAACGACATGGAGGCCAGCGAGATGAAGCGGGCCAAGATTGCCGCCTTCAAATTCATCCGCGCCTGTCTCAGTGACCTCAACATACCGGCGCCGGAATGTTTTGTCATTGCCGACCTCGTCGGCACCGACACGACAGGCTTCGTCAAGGTACGTTCCGCCGCCAGATTATCATTCCCCCTCACGCGCTTCACCCACTAACCCAGTCTATCCCTAGGTCACAACCGTGGTCAACCACGTCCTTGATCTCGCCCAAGAACGCGGCCTGCTGCTCCAGGCCCAGGACTCGGTCGACGAAACCGTCGACGGACCAGCCTCGCAGCTCAGCTACCGCGATTACATTGTCCGCGAACTTGTCGACACCGAGCGCAAGTACGTCCAAGACCTCGAGAACCTGTACGACCTGAAGAAAACGCTCGAACAGCGCGGCATCATCAACGGCGACGTTGTTCATCAGATTTTCTTGAACATCAATGCCATTCTCGATGTGCAGCGGCGCTTCCTGATCCGCATCGAGTCGACCAACTCCATACCACAAAAAGACCAGCAGTGGGGCAACCCGTTCGTTGCATTCGAAGAGTCCTTTGACATCTACCAGCCCTTCATTGCCAACCAGCGCAAGGCCGCCCAGCTGACCCAAATTTATTTTGACAAGATCCGCTCCGCCAACCACCCCGTCGCCGTCGATTTCAACACCCTCGATGGCTTCTTGCTGAAGCCCATGCAACGCCTCGTCAAGTACCCGCTCCTCCTCAAGGATCTGCGCAAGAAGAGCGAGTTTGAGGATGAGCGCCTGGACCTCGACGCCGGTATTGCTGCCGCTGAGCGCGCGCTGCAAAAGGCCAACGAGGCCGTCAACCGTGACTTGCTCGAAGAGGCCCTCGAAGACCTCAAGAGCCGCGTCGACGACTGGAAGAACCACCGCGTCGACCAGTTCGGCAAACTGCTTCAGCATGGCGTCTACACCGTCGTCACCGGCAAGAGCGACCAGGAAAAGGACTACGAAATTTACCTCTTTGAGTGCATTCTCCTCTGCTGCAAGGAGATCACACCCAACAAGAGCAAGGACAAGAAGGACAAGACCAAGTCCACGGGACCCAAGATCCGGAACAAGAATGCCAAGCTGCAGCTTAAGGGGCGCATCTTTATGACCAACGTCACGGAAGTCCTCTTCTTCTCCCGGCCGGGGTCCTACACCGTCCAAATCTGGTGGAAGGGCGACCCGGGCGTCGAGAACTTTGTCATCAAGTTCCAAAACGAAGAGTCTATGAAGAAATGGGCGGCCGGCCTCGACATGCAGCGCAAGCTCAACGCGCCGCGGCCCGACCAGAGCCCCGAACAGCCGGCACCGAGCTTTGCATGGATGCAGACCTCCGCCGGCGGTGTGGCCGCCATCGAGAACCCCTACGCCGAAGACCCCGACGAAGATGACGACTACCTCGTCATGAACCAACAAGCACAGCAGCAGCAGTTGCTGCTGCAGCAGCAGCAGCAACAACAGTTCAATGGCCAACCACTCCGTACACGGTCGATCACAGCCGAAAGCGGCCAGTCTCTCGCCGGCATGATGCGCCAACCACCACCAAGCTTCCCCTTGCCCATGCTCCCTGGCCAGCTCAGCGTGCAGACACAGCAGCTGCCCGCACAGCAGGCGTCGTCGCCCAGCTTGCGCGGCGGCGAGTCCTACTTCTCGCCCGTAGCCGAATCGCCCGTCTCGTCGCGCACGAGCACAACGTCGGGCTTCTTCCCGCCCGGCGCTGGCTATGCGTTCCCCAAGGTCGGCACACCGCAGCCCGGCGGCTGGGACGGCGAGACAAACCGCTACACAGCACCAGCCATGCCTCGCGCACCATCACGCGACGGACCCTCGCCCTCCAACGCGTACGGCATGGTCAACGGCGGACCTGGCGGCGGTGGCGGCCGCAATCCGCGCGGCCCCTCCATGCCAGTCATGTCGCAGAACCCGCAGACCCTTTCGCAGCAGCAACGCAGCCGCAGCTACAGCACCCCCGACATCCAGAACCAGCCGGCGCGGAGGACACCCGGAGGCAGCCAGGGCAACATTCCCGCGGTGCCTGGCATCCCGCCCCACCTGCATCCGACGCATGAGCGGCACGACTCGACCATCCCGCGGTCCAACACGGGCAGCCCACGCAACGACCTGCCGATCCGCACCAGCACGCAGAGCCCTGGTGTGCAGGCCAGCCGCCTGCAACAGCAGCAGCAGCAGCAGCTGACCGCCTCGTACGGCGCCACCATGGCGCAGTTCCCCGCGCAGCCCGTCTACCCACGCCAGACAACGCCCGGACCGACTAGTGCGCCACCGCAGCACCAGCACCAGCACCAGCACCAGCACCAGCCGTCGCTGCCAAACGACATGGGCGCGGTATCGCCGCCGCTCGGCACCGGCACGCCCGGCATGGGCACGTCAGGCATGGTGGGCAGCTCGGACCTGCCGATCCCGACGCAGCTGAAAGTCAAGGTCAACTACGACACGTCCAACTACATGACGCTGGTGGTGGCGTTCAACATCACGTACCAGTCGCTGGTGGACCGGATCGATGCGAAGCTGGCGCGGTTTACCAACAGCAGCATCGGCAAGGGCAACCTGAAGCTGCGGTACCAGGACGAGGACGGCGACTTTGTGAGCATCGAGAGCGACGACGACATACAGATTGCGTTTATGGAGTGGCGCGACGGCGTACGCAACATGTACAATGCGGGTGTCGGAGAGATTGAGCTGTTCTGCGTCGGCGACGGCTTGTAGGCGGCCGGCAACCTTGTCTTGCTTGCGATTGTCTTCTTCTCTCGTCTTCTCATTCCCATATTCTGGTCTTTCTGGTTTTACAAGATAAACTTTTTGTCATTTTTTCTTACAGCATCGAAGGCGCATCCGGATTTCTTTCCTTTTACATTACCCGATTATTTCCTTCTCCTGTCCATATCTATTCTACTTGCTTCCTTCACCTCTCTTGCGTTCTCCACATACCTCCTTTCTCATCCGGCCATTCTCCCGCCGAAATGAAGCAGCATTTTTGTTTTCTTTTTTCGTCTACGGCATGCAATGTCTACTGCCGTTACTTTCATCTTTCATTTTCGACATTCTAGTGTCCACTTGCCCTCGATCCTTGTTTCACTCTCATATACACAAGACGTTCTTATCGTTCCTTACCGGCGCCGTGGAGTTCTCTCTCATTGTTACCTCCTCTTTTTTCTATGCAGCCTACGCGCATGTCGACAACAAGCTGCTCTTGTTACGCGGCTCGGGTGTCTTTGTTTTCGATATGTTGTCAATCTCAATTATTTAGTCATCGATTTTTGGGCGTCTTTGAATTGAATAGTTTTACCGCCTTTAGCAACGTAATATGCCAAATGATGACGCTCAACCTGTGAACCGTGTCACATGACGTAGTTTTGCTATCTTTTGCTAGATGGTGATCGTCTGCGGAACGGCCAAAGGTCTGTTGTATTACATCGTAACGTGCCCTGAAAGAAGAAGCGGGCGCTAAAAATGTACGCAACCAATTAGCCAGCATGTGCCTGTCTGCATGATTTTGGGCAGTGGTACCGCCAATGCATCACTCCTTTTCCCACGCCGCGTTTACACCGAAAAACGATTGTTTTGAGACATCACCAAACGCGACACAGCAATCGTGCACCACAACCAGAACCACCACAACTCTACCGTGTCCATTCCTCCGACCTTGCCGGCCGGACCCATTGCCCCGAATTCGAATTTACACCATATTGAGCCATTGCGACTCTGGATCTTCTTTTCTGACAACTGTTCCCATCCCCGCCAGCACCAACCAAACTATGGCCAGCCTCGACACCGAGAGGCTCAGCCTCGCGTTTCAATCGCGGCCCGACCTCGTCGAGCAGATCCGGGCCGCCGCGGCCAAATCGCCGGCGCACACGCCGCTCTTCAACAGCATTGCCGGCTACGTGTACGAGCAAGTGCATGGCGGGGGCGAGCCGGCGCACAAGCGGCGACGCGTGGAGGCGGAGGACGAGGCGAACCGACACAGTCACAGTGCGCTGCCGGCGCGTCAAGGGACGGCAGAAACGGCATCACAGAACGGAAGCACCGGCACCGGAGGCGGAGGAAGAGAACCCGACTTGCTCAGCGCTGCCGCGGCGGAGACGGTGCTGCTCGAGGTCAAGGACATTTCGGTGTCGATCCCGCAGCGCAAAAAGTACGACCTGTGCTTTACCAAGAACTACCTGTATGCGCGGGCCGCCAACACGACGACGCCCGTGCCCGGCATCGTCTACGCCTGGACGGATTTTGGTAGGTTCCCCCGACCCCACGCGTGTAGAGTGCCCGTTTGTAATCAGGAGCTAACGTGCTGCAGAATACGTCTTCTACCTCCCCGTGCCCGAAAAGACGCAGGTGCAGTACAACTACATCCTCTTCCCGCGCCACGCGGCGCTCGCGTCGCTCTCGAAGCCGACGCCAGCAGCCGCAGCCGTGGCACCGACAGTCCCTCCTCCTCCTCCTCCCACGACCGAGCCGCTTGTCTTTACGGTGCCCGCCACCGCACCGAAACCGGGCCAGGTCGGCGGGCCCTCGGCCGGCCTCGCGGCCGCCGTGTCCGACTCGTACACGACGCTCTTTCACTGGGCCATTGAGGGCCAGCTGCGGTCCGCCGAGAACGTGTATCTGGCGCGGCAGCGCACCATCATCGTGGCCGCCGACCCCAACGTGTTCCACAGCGCCGCGCGCCAGCCGTTCCGCCCGGCCGAGAAGGCCGTGCACGTGCGCGCCTTCCGCGGCAGCAAGGACGGCTACCTGTTCTTCCTGCCGACCGGCATCCTCTGGGGCTTCAAGAAGCCGCTGCTGTTCTTGCCGCTCGACCGCATCGTCGCCGTCAGCTACACCAACGTGCTGCAGCGGACCTTCAACATTGTGGTTGAGGTGGACGTGGGGGCGGGTACGGGCGCCGACGACAACGAGGAAGTCGAGTTTGGCATGCTGGACCAGGAAGACTACGGCGGCATCAGCGAGACGTACGTCCAGCGGCACAACCTGCAAGACCGCAGCATGGCGGAGCGGCGCAAGGCGAAGCGGGAGCTGGCCGAGAACGCGCGGGGCGACAAGACGGCCAACGGCGAGGGCGGCGCCGACGGTGGCGCGGCCGGGGCCAGCGGAGACGGCGTGCCGGACGACGGGTTGACGGAGCTGCAGCGCGCCGAGCAGCGGCTGCAGGATGAAGAGGACGAGGACGAGGAGGACTACGATCCGGGCAGCGACGGGGACAGCGACGGGTCTGGGAGCAGCGACGAAGAGGGCACCGAGGATGGCGAAGAAGTAGAAGGAGATGAGGACGAGGACGGCGAAGAAGGCGAGGACGGCGATGAGGAGTGACGGGGGAGGAAAGGTGCAAAGGCAATAAACAAGCATGTCTGCCATGACTATCGTGCATCGTTCATCGTTGGATCTCGGCATGATTTTTTGGGTTTTAGTGTCATTTCATCTTCTGTATACTAGTGTCGTTTATGTTACAATGGCTCACGGCGTTTTCACGGGATATGGTATTAAAAGGTGTGTCCTACCTCAGACTCGTTGGTTGTTATCATGCGTTTTTTATTTGGCGCTCTATTTCCTTCGTTTTATTTATTTACGTTTTGCTTTTTTTAAAGAAAAAAACGAAATGATAAATTAAACAAATAGGTTTTTTTCCATTGTGTACCCCCACTAACCTGATAATTCATCAAAAAAGTACGATCCAAATCATGGTAACCTCTTCGAGTTTGTCGGATCATTTCCAGATACTATGCTCCATACTACTCTGGCAAAATAAACACACTTGATGCCGAGTGATGCGTTTTGGACGTATGCGTTGTCGTCTTTGTACAGGCGCGCTCACTGCTCGTCGTGCTTGACGACGTTGTTGTCGTTGGATACGGTGGCAGACGTGACGTCTCACTCGGCCGCACAATGGAGTGGAAGCTGCGAATGCTCCGCGAGTGGTGCCGGCGCCGTGTCGTCGATTCGGTGGCAAAGCTGGGGGGCCACGACGTGATTCCGTCGAGCGATGTAGAGGGACAGAGCGTGGAAGACGACGAGGACGACGGCGGTTTCGGCCACGGCGGACTGTGGACGGGCGTCAGGCGGCCATAGGAGTAGCTCGCCGGCGTGGGCAGCGGCGACGACCAGGACACCCAGTAGGTGGTGCTGCTGGTGGTGTCGTTGCTGGGGAGGGAGCTGGAGGTGGAGTTGGAGCTGGGGCTGGAGCTGCAGCGAGGCGTGGATGTGGGCGTGGTGCAGGACGACGTCGTCGTTGTCTTCGTACAGGTGTCGGTGGGCGCCGACGCCGTCAGGTTGCAGACGGTGTAAAAGGTGCAGCTGACGGTATGGAGGGTTGTGCAAGAGGAGGACGGAATCGACGACAACTCCCTAGTCGATGTCGTCGACGACGTCGTTCTCTGCTGCTGCTGCCGCCTGTTGCCGAGGATGGACATAACAGGATCCGGGCAGTACCGGACAATGGAGCAGACGGCATCTGGGTTGCGGGGAACGTGGCTCTCTAGCTGATTGCCATCCGGAGAGGCGTGCTGTTCATGATGATGGTGTTGGATGAGGCCGGGCCTCTGAGCCAGACCCAAGGGGCATAACGGGGCGAGGAGTGCGAGCAGGAGGGCCGCCCTGAGGACACCGTGATGGGCAGAAAGACGCGTCATTATGCGTAGATACAGCAGACAAACGTGTGGACGCATGGAAGAAGGAGGAGAAACTTGTCTTGGGCTATGGACACTTCCAAGCAGCCGGCCAGGAGGCAAGTCTGGGAGAGATAAGCGTTATTTTATATTGATGCATCGTGCTCTCTGTATAGTTGAAGGCATCACAAGTCTATTCTTGGCCCTCCGTCGCAGAAGCAAAAATGGTAGCAAGATGGCCTGCCCTACATGAAAGCAGGTACAAGAGAGCACAAATCATGATGTTAAGAGCTGCGCAGTGACACAGCCAAGTCTTCGTCTTGAATAAGAGACAAGCTTGCATGGCATTGGAAAACGGAGACAACACCACCCGAAGCGCAAACGAGAAATCGAATATTATGTGCATCCTCAAAAATGGTCTGTGACAGTGTAGCGTCTAACAAATACGTTGTACAAAGCACACAATGGTCACCTCCGCTGTGCTGGCTGTATTTCGGGCCTATTTTAGAGTAAAATGTGTTCCGGCAACCTGGCTGTGCGTCTTCGACCTTTGTTATGTACACCAAAGTAGCTGCAGCCAGCTTATCCATCGTCTGTAGCTGTGTCAGTGTAGCCATGGATATCCCAAGATGGGCAATACTGGCGATTTTCAATGGAAGCCAGGATATTAACAGCAAAAGCTAGGGAACTGTAGAGTACCAAAGCAATAGTTCTGCTTAAATCCACGTCTATACTGAGAACAACTTCTTTATCAAAACATTTAAAGTTATCATTACTACTATTGTTATTATATATCAAGAGAGTGCGAAAACGATCCCTTGTTATCCCCCCCTGCTTTGTTCTTCATTTTCGTATGTTTTTTTTTTTTGTCCGTTCCCTGTCCCTCCTACTCAATCTTCCATTGCGATTCGTTGCGCAGCCACGTCTCAAAGGACGACACGCCCGGCGCCTCGCCCTGGCGCGCGGCAATGTCCACGCCGTAGCCCTCCTCGTCGAACCACGTAAACATGGTCTTGAGGTCGGGCACCAGCAGCAAGACCAGCCTGCCCACGATCCACAGAGCCCAGGGCGTCGGGTGGCCGACCACGCGCTGGAAGATGGCGCGGGCCTCGCCCAGCGTCAGGTTGTCGCCGGCCAGGCCAATGGCCCGGTTGGCGTAGGGCGAGACGGCGGTGCCGTCGGCCTGGTCGGCGAGGGCGGCCTCGATGGACTTGGCGGCCCAGCGACCAATGTCGCTGGTGGCGACGAGCTGCAGCTTGGTGGACGGCTTCATCGTGATGGACAGCATGCTCACAAAGGCGCCGGCCACAAAGTAGCCTGGGTTGTAGTTGTCCATGAAGGCGACGGGGCGCAGGATGGTCCACGTCACTTGTTTGTTGTTGTTACTGGGACCCGCCTGCGTCGCGTTCTTGGCCGCGTCGCGCAGATGCAGCTCAATGGTGAGCTTCTCGGCAAAGTGCTTGATTTGTGTGGGGTTCGACCACGAGCGCTCGTCGCCGCCGCGGTCGACGCTCGAGTAGACAATGTGGCGGACGCCGTGGGCGAGCGCGGTGTCGATAAACGGAATGGCCTGGGGCTCTTCCTTGGGCGGGACGGTGATCAAGAAGAGGGCCGAAATGGATCCCTCCGGCAGCTGGGCGAAGATGGCGTCGGGCTTGAGCTGGTCGCCCTGGACGAGGCGAAGACGCGGGTCGGACGCAGCCAGAGCCTGGGCCCGGGGTGTCGACGCATCACGGGTCAAGGCGTGCACGACGAGGCTCGCGTCTTCGCTCTGGAGCAGGGACTTGACGACGGCGGCGCCCTGTTTGCCTGTGGCGCCGACGACAAGGACGGAGTGGGCCATTGTATAGTTGGGAGAGTCAGCTTTTATAAGGGGTTGTGAGATCAGTCTGTTGGCTGGTTTGAGGGTCAAAGACTGTGTCCAAGATGTGAATATGTAATTGATGTGTGGAAGACGAGAATATATTGTGAGATGCTGTAGCTTGTGCTTGTTGATGTTGATGTCTGATACTCTCTCTCTCCTCTGAACGACGAGCGGACGACGGCAGTTTTATACCCGGCGACGTCTGCTTCTTTGACGTCAATGTACAGAATTCATACAAAGGGCTACGTGCTGTTGGTTGTTAGTTTGAGCCGCGTCGGATGTAGATTGCGCAATGGGAATAGCACACGTGATCCAGGCATGTCTCGTCGACCGCCGAGATCTACAAACGCAAGGAAAACAAAACTGTCGATGCATTGCAAAGCAAAACAAAAAGAAGGAAAGAAGGTCGCAGAATAGAAAGGTCAGGGATTACCTCATGTGCAACGTTGTGTCGAATTAAATTGCTTAGGTCATCGCTGGACGGAGTTTGCCTTTATTTCCATGCACCGCCGAGTCGTCGGAGGAATGCGCATAGAGTCGGTGTGTTGCTGTAATTTAGTGGCGGCGCTATGCATCAGCTCTGGCGCCGTGATATTGTAAGCACAGGTGTCGCCCGTTTTAGTGCGGCCCTCCAACAGTCATTGCGCCGCGCGAGTCGGAGCAACTTTGGACGACTTGCATCAGCATCTTAATCGGACGTAGTCGAGCGGTGACGTCAGTGTCGCTTTTTGGAGAATGGAAAAGAAGTGTAATTATTCAAAGAGTAGACGATAGATGGTGAGTAGAATCAGAAAATGCAAAATATAAAAAAACAAAAAGACAACCAAAATAATGGGCTCAAATGCACCGAATACGCTGCCTGCCCAGGCACCTTACAAAGCCGGCCCTTCCCAGCCGTCGCGGTGCAGCCGTCCAAACCACGACTGCTTGTGCCGGAACGTAATCTCGCGCTGCTTGTTGAAGCCCGCCGCCTGCAGGTGCGCAATGAATCGCTCGTTGTCGACGCGCGGCTCCATGCACACGCTCATGCACCGGTAGTCGCTCGTAAACAGCCACTGCACGACGCTCGTGAGCCACAGCGCCACGCGGCCGCGCGCCCACTCCTCGCCCACAAAGACGTGCAGGCCGCGGTCAAAGTCGTCGGCCTGGGCGCCAATCAGCAGGCCCAAGGTGTCCTCCTTGACCCAGTACAGCTCAAAGTAGCCAAAGGGGACGCCGTCCCAGAGGCCGATGACGGGGAACGAGTGGCGGCTGGCGAGGGCGGTGCGCAAAAAGGTGGGCGAGTAGTCGCCCCAGAACTTGTGGACGCGCGGCACGGCCATCCAGGTCTGGAGGAGGGCGTCGTCGGAGAGGGTGGCCAGGAGGGCGGCGCGGTCGGCAGGGGGCGCCGACGACGCGCCTGTTCCCGGTGACGCTCTCGGCCCGTAGTAGGGCACCGGGTGCGGCGACAGCGAGGCCACGCGCAGCGACAGGAACTGCTGGACCGACGGGATGTAGCGGTTGTAAAAGACCTCGCCCATGCGCGGCGGGCGCGGGCGGGCCGGGTGGCGCACGTTGCCGGTCATGGTGTAGCGCAGCGGGCTCGGCGGGTAGTAGGTGGGCAGGTGGGAGGTGGAGTAGAACGGGCCCATGGGGAAGCTCTGGACGGACGCGAGCATGGGCGGCGTGGGGGTGCCCGACTGGCTGCCGGGGGAGGAGGTGACGGCGTACGGAGCAGCCACCGGCACGGCTGTATTGGTCGCGACGGTGGACAAGGACAGGCTGTCGGCCAGCTCGGCGGCCTCGCCGATGCCAAGTGCATGCGGCGTCGCCTTCCTCGCGTCGCCCAGCTCCGGCGAACCAGGCGAGGACGGCCGGCTGGCCATGGGCGACCCAGGGAACGACGACAGGTTGCCGCCGCTCAGCCCTCGATGGTGGTCGTGCGGCTTGACGGGCTGCAGAGAGAAGAGGAACAGCTGCGGCGGGATCTGCCAAAACATGCTGCGCGTGACATACATGTGGTCCCATCCGTCGTCGTCGCCAAACGTGGCCCGGGGCGTGTCGCTGCCCCCCGGCCCCCCACCACCACCACCACTGCCGTTCGTGGTGTTGCCGCAGACGACCGACGACTCCAGCGTCGCAATCAGCCCCATCCGCTCCAGCTTTGGAATCAGGTTCCGCACCCGCAGCATGCCGTCCCGCTTCACCCGGATCCGCCACTCGCCCCGCGGCCGCCCATCCAGCGGCGTCCCGCTCGAGTGTGCCGTCGGCGGCAGCAGCACATCCGGCGCCGGCTGCTGGAAGTACCAGTAGAGCGACACCCACAGCATCATGGCGGCCAGGCGCGTCGGGCTGGCGGCCGGCTTGAACTCGGCGCTGCTGGGCTGGTTGACGGAGGAGAGAAAGAGGGAGTCGCCCTGCAGCGTGGGGCGCGAAAAGGCGTGCACGCCGCGGCCATGCGCACCGGCCGAGCCTGACGGCGCGCCGCCCTCGTCACCATCATCGGTATGGAGAACGATTGTCCACCCGACTGGATAGGGCGAGTGGTGCGGGTTGAGCTCGTTGGACTTGAAGAGGAGGCCGGCAAAGACAGGCACGACGGTGAAGTGCTGCCCGTCCGGCAGGTAGACCGTGGAGTTGACCATGGCCGGCAGGCTGCTGGCGGTGTGGACAGCGCGTGCGTGAGAACGGTGTTGCCAATCGAGAGGTTGTTGACAAGAGTTGCGAGAGTAAGCCGAGCAAAACGTTGCAAATTGTTGATGTCCCTCGTAGCGAAAAGCAGCCCCACCCTCGACTCGGTAGCTCTGCGTGCCGGCTTGGGAAAGTGCGTTCGGCAGTCGCCGCCAGATCGTACGATATCGGCAGGTACGTCGGTACCTCGTAGGCCTGGAGAATGCGGTATACCGGAGAAGACAGTGGAATATCCTGTCCAAAGCCGAGGCCAGCTGTCACCAAATCACTACAGTCGTCTCTCTCTTGGTTCATGAAAGTAGAAGCGGCGAAAGCACAACAGAGCGATAACACCACTTCATCCACTTCCAGCTGCTTGTCACCCGCCTGCGAAGGTGGGGCCACTAATTCGTACGTGTGTCGCCCCTTAAAGCTGTTCGAGCTCCTTTCCCCTCTGTGGCATGCTTTATTTAGTTGGGGCAATCACGGCTAGCGTCGCCCATCTCCAGATCTCACGGGAGCGGGGTCCTTCCATATTTGCTCAGCCTTGTGGACGGCAGGCATTCACAATAGTGGGCGTAGTGGCGTGGCAGGCCCTGACGCTAGAAACCGTCCCACGATTGCCGCAATGGACTGACGGCCAGGGGCTGGAGCACACCACACTGACACACCACATCGGCACCGCCGAAACACGGCGACCAACGGGACTCCGTTTGGCGGATCGTCACGATCGATCTCGAGATCTCGAGCAACTCCAAGTCATGGTATTCGCCGAGTATGTACATCAAAGATTGTCCGGCAGCCCATCACCACCTCCCTCCCCTACTTCTTTTCCTTGTCCTTGGCCTCCATCTCCTCATCCTCCGCTTCCTCCGCCTCGGCCTCTTCTGCCTCCTCACGCTCCTTCTTGGCCTTCTCCCGCTTCACCTCCTTCTCGAGCACCTTTTTGACCTTGGCACCGCCGAGGTCCTGTGCTTCGTCCCAGTCCACATCGTACTCGTACGCCGCGCTGCGGATCTCCGCCCGCAGGCCGTTGGCCTCCTCGACCAGCCGCTCCCAGCGCCGCACGTCGAACCCGCGGCTCTCGTACAGCGCCGTCTGCTGCCGCGACACCGTCACGTTCATGGCCGCCTTGTAGCTGAGGTCGCGCGAGATGTAGAGGAACCAAAAGTAGCCGCCCAGGATGAGCGTCAGCGACGCCAGGTACGTCACCGGCTCCACGAGGTCCCAGCCGTACTCGGTCATAAACGTCAGGTAGTACACAATCGCCCACCACCCGACGAGCGCGCCGAACCCGCCCTTGGCCAGCCGCCGCGCGCTGCGGTGCGCCAGCGCGTCGCACTCCTGCTTGATGGCCGCCTGGTGCGCAATCTGCCGCGACAGCCGCCGCAGGCGCATGCGCTGGTAGAACGTGCGGTCCGCAAACGACGGCACGCTGACCCGAATCTCCGTCGCCGGCGGCTCGCCCTCAATCACAATGGCAAACTCGCGGCCCCGCGCCGCCTCGCGGATGAAGTCGCCCATCTCCGTGCTGCTGCCCCACCGCACCCAGTCCTTGTCGGCGTCGTGCCGCTCTGCCGCTTCGTGCCCGAGCCCCGAGTACGCCGCGACGTGCGAGCTGCCCCGCGCCTGGCTGGCGTCCGCCGCCGAGTCTGTGCGGCGGCCCTCGGCATGCTCGGCGCCCGTCTCTTCGGCCCAAAAGTACACGTTGGGCGGCCGCTCGCGGCCCTTGGCGTCCACCACGGGCGGCAGCTCTGCCTGGATCAGCCGCTGCACGTACGACAGCGGCTGCTGCGGGTGTAGGAACAGCGAGAGCGGCTCGATGTTTGTGTGTGGATTCTGGTTCTGGCCGTCCGTGTCGCCGTCCTTGTCGCCGGCTTCTCTCTCCTTCTCTTGCCGTACACCCACTGGCAGCGGCAGCGTAAACTTGAGCAGTCGGTTGGGTGTCGTCAACAGTTTGCCTGCACACAATTAGCATGGCTTCCCCGTATCGTAGTCGCTCGTGAACATGTATTGCCTACCCTTTGCTGGCAAGGCCCCCGTCTTCTGCGCCGGCGGCTGGTCCGCATCTTCGCGGTGCCATGGCCGCTTGGCTTGTAGCTCGCGTGCCCGCGAATGCTGCTCGTCCGGGTGGAGTCGCGAGGCGCTGTCGTTGTCGTGCTTGCCATCTGCCGGCGGCGGATTCGTCGAGAAGCCGACACGTCCCGTCCAGGTCAAGGGCGGAAGCGTTGCTGGTCGGGTCGAAAGGGCGTGGATCGGTGCTCGCGGTATGCTGCACAGAATGGCTGTGCGTGGCGAAACAACCAGTAATCGCGGTGGTAGCCACCCAACGCCGGCCATTGTCAACGACAAGCTGTGGGAGCTACGGTACGGGCGTCCGTTTCGGTGTAGAATGGTTGTCTCGTGCCGGTAATTGTTGGCGCCGTCGTTTGTTGCGTCGCAAAAATGATTGACTGAGAATTCCAGGACCTGTCAGGCTAGTCAGCGCGTCCATTATCGCGTGCCACCTGTCATGCATAGGAACAAAATAATGACGTCACGACACCACGGGAGCTGGGAGCTGTAGTCAGGGGCTAGAGCCCTACATCAACAAACCTCAGCTCAACTCACAACCGCACATGCAATGAAATGGTTGTCGACGAAGAAAATAAATCAAACATGACATAAAATAAGTAGAATTAAAACCGAATTAAAAAATACCATCACGTTGTCCACAGTTCTCGTATATGAATTGCTCAAGTCACCCCGAAGGCCGTTCCACGCCATGGTGCACGTCGTCAAAATCGTCGCACGACCAATATACCACTCCACGCAATCCCGTCCAATACTGCAATCTAATCTTCGACCTCAACAGGTTCGACTCTCTCCACCTTGCCGCTGCTCATCCAAACAGTGGCATCTTGGCCCGGCCGGAGCCGTCGTGTCAACGCCGCCGGACGGTGCGTCACAATCAGCACCGTGTGGCCGGCACCCTGTTGGCTTTTGATAAACACCTCCTCCACCACATCGTACACAGCCGCCTCCGTCTCCGCATCGAGTGACGCCGTGATCTCGTCCAGCAGAATAATGGGCATGCGCTTGCCGTGCTCGCGGTCCGAGTACGTCTCGGAAGAAACGCAGGACCGGGTTTGCAGCTGGAGCAAAGCACGGGCCAGTGACAGGAGCTGTGCTTGGCCGGCCGAGAGCACGGGGAAAGACGAAAGTGCCCGGTCCCATAGCGAGGCGGTCGCTCCATCCACATCACCAGCATCGTGCTCATCGTAACTGCTGCCGACAAACAAGCCGAACAGCCCCGTCTTCTGCAGTGCCTCAGCCAACGTTCTGTCCGGCAGCGTTTCGGTTGGGTCCAAGTGGAAACGGAGACTGGCGCCGGGGAGGAGGAACGGATCTTGCGACACAGTCACAAATGCGCGCTCGCGGATGTCGTCGAGCTGGAGACCGGCCAGGTTGATGCCGTCAATGGTGATGCTGCCGGTCGTATGTACAGTTAAGAGTCGCAGGAGAGACATGAGAAGAGAGCTCTTTCCACTAACGACACGGTCAGCGAAAGCAAGGGTTATACTGGGCCGCGCAGTCTATCACATACCTCCCTGTCCTCCCGCAGATAACAGCAACCTGGCCCGGATTGATGCTCAGGTTCACCCCGTTGAGCACGGGTGTATCTTGGCTATGCAGCTGTTAGTAAAGAAGCCACAGTGGCGTGTAGCGTCATAGAGAGATGCTCACCTGTAGGATGCCGTCACATTGGCGAGTTCGATCTTCCCAGTACTTGGCCAGTTTGCCGGTAGCTGCCCTCCAGCGTCGCCATTGGCTTCGCTCGCATCCTTGTCCAGCAAAGACTCCTCCTGTGGCGTCTCGTGTGTTGCTTCTCGAAGTCGTGCAACAGCCCCCAGTGACACTTCCAGATTTGTCCACGTCTGGATCAGGCGAAGGAGCGTCGTGTTGGTCACAAGGATAATGTTCAAAGCCACACCAATATGTCCACCTGACGGACTAAATCGTAGGATGGGCTGCGAGGACGAGCCTCCTGCAAGTGCCCCCCACACAGCCAGCCAGACCGTACCAACAGCAATGCAGGCAACAACCGCGTCCAGGACGACATTCAGCCAGCGCTGCAAAGACAGCGTGAGGTAGACTGGCCGCTGAGAATTGTCAAGCGACACGGCATTCTCCTTGGCCATGGTATCCTGCCAGCCAAACGCACGGATGGTCTGAACACCGCTGACTGTCTCCAGAATGTTAAAGTACACGGCGGATTGGGACTCGAGCTCTATTCGTCGCAGTTGCCTTGACGTGCGTAGATACCGCTTTTGCACCACATACACAATTGCAACGCAGACCGGCAACGTCACACCCAGGAGGGGCTGCGAGATGAGAAGGACAATGACCTGCATCAGAAGTTTAAAGCACTCTGAAACAGTATTAGCATCGTAGTTGTCTCGTTTCTTAGAAATACGACGTTTGGTCGCGATACGTACGAGCTAGAAAACTGCTCATTGCAATGGAAATCTTCTTGTCAACAAGCTGGATGTCTTGGGTGAACCTGAACAAGCAACGCAAATATCGTTAGAACATCGTACGTGGCCGGGCGGTCATCCATAGTCCTCACCTGTTCAAAACAGTTCCGAGGTCCGTGATGGAGAAAAAGAAGAGAGGGGCGCTAATGAAGAACTATTAGCAGTTGTCTACGGATGGAGCTCGTTGGCAATGAACCACATTGCGTGGCGCGTACTTACTTGCAGATCGACCGGAGAAGACGACGATGCAAAGTTTCGCCAGACCGACCGGCAACGAGTATAATATCAGCCCTGAGACAGCTTGTTAGCCTCATAAGCGCGGTAATACACAGCGATACATCTTCAAACCCTCACCATTTCAATAGGCTCGTGGCCATCCATGCGACAACCAACATGGAAACATATCCCGCAGCATATAGCACAGTATTTGAAGGTTTCGATTCCGTCCACCACTTCAAGTAAAGAGCCGGCATCGTCAAGAAAAAGCCCAACGTTGCCGCCAAAAGGACGACAAGAGAAACGTTGCCAATACCTGCAGACAAGATGTAGTACTTGTATAATGAACTATCGCCATCTTTTCGTTGATAGTCTATAGCAGCAGCAGGTCCGTTTGGGCTCGCCTTTCGGGGCTGTGAGGCGTCTGCCTGTATCGTATCGTTTTCAGTGGATTCATCCGAATTGGTACTAGCAAGCGTGGTATCCGTGAACATCTGCCCAAGAACAGCGTTGTCACTATCTTGCAAATCGCCTTGATATTTCACAGTGCCATCTGCAAGCAAGATGACCTTGTCGCTAAGGGAGAAGTACGACTGGTTGTTGGTTACCCATATGACGGCTATGCTGTTGTTACGCAGAAGACCGCTGGGTCCAAGCAAATTGTTGATCACGGCGCTCTGTGTTTTGCTGTCCAGGGCACTGAAGCTGTCGTCAAAGATGAATATATCAAGATCGGAATAAACAGCTCGTGCAATGGCCTATTGTAACTGTGGTCAGTATGTAGCTAACAAGAAGCATATGCGCCATAGAGAATACGCACCACTCGTTGCCGCTGGCCACCGGAGAGATTTTGACCGCCGGTACCAACAACTGTTTGATCTCCGTCTGGAAGGGCACCAAAGTCCTCGAGCAGGCAGCAGGCCTCTAGCACTTTGTCATACCGTGTCTGGTCAACGTGGACACCTCCGTCGAGTCCCAGGATGCATTCTCGGATCGTTCTGTTTGGCAACCACGCGGTCTGCGAGCAAAACGCCATTTTCAATGAAGACACAGCTACCGTTCCTTTGCTGAATATAGTCTCCCCCAGGATACTGTGCATTAGTAGAGTCTTGCCAGCTCCGACAGGCCCAGTGACAATAGTAAGTGATCCCTTTGCGATACTGAAATTCACAGACTGGAGAATAGGCTTCGAGTTTTGCTGATCGGGAATGGTGACATCCGTAAAAGCCACTGCATCCGATGTTCTGGAAATGTCTTCGTGTTCGGTAGATACTCTCTTGTCGTCCACACTTGGTCTCAGCAGATACGTCTGGATGCGCTCAAAACTCGACATGGATGCTGCAATCCGGGGTAGAATGGTCATGACCATGTTGATCGGGTGTGTAATCATAGACAGAATGGCCGTTGTCGTGAATGCGGTTCTCGTGTCAAACTCTTTGCCGTGGGCCGACGCGAGAATTGCGTATAGGGCAACAGTCAAGACAGGCGAGAAAAGACCCAAAGCGTTTGCTGCAAAATTACTCGTCAGTGAAAGATACAGGTCGATTGGTTGTATAACAGTCGCCCCTTACCGCTCGAGTTGTAGAGCACATTCACCCAGCGCACGCCCTTTGCTGCGAGGAGCTCATTCTCGCGAAGCTGTAGGATCACATCCTCGACAGCGGTCTGTATCCCGAGAATCTTCACACTTTTGATCGCTCCAAGGATCGAACTTGTCATGGAGAGCCGTTTCTGTGTCGCTTCGTTCCACGCGGTTTGCCTCGCCTTCATAGGCCTCACCGCATAACGGCTTGTCTGGGAGAAGACTGACATTTCGGTATTAGCTTTGTGTATGTCGTTGGAAGAGCAGCACAAAGGTACAAACCTACCAAAAACGATGCCCACTGGCAACGGCCACAGCCAGCCAATCTCCATGGCAAGCATGGAGAAGCCGACGGCTGCTTCGAGACAGAACGCCCACAACTCGTGAAACATCTCCGCAGCACCCTCAATCTCGACAACATCTGTGCTGATGAGGGTCAAGGCTTTTCCATCGTCGTATGCGTGGCTGCGTCCTGTCAAAGACTTTTGGTGGATGATACCAACGAGGGCACCCTTGAGCATGACTTGGATGCGATCGAGAAGGTGGCGATAGACAACAGTAGATGTCATCAGACCAAAGTAGACAAAGACGGCCGCCACGACGATCCAAGATCCTGCAGCGGATGCATTGTCATCAATGCTCTGTTCTTGGGTGAGTCCTTGGACAAAAGAAATTGCCCTGCTGATCAAGACAGGCTGTGAAAATTGAAATAGAATGAGAAAGAGCCGTGGAATCGCGACGAGCGTGATTGGCACCGAAAAGCAACTGAACAAGGCGCGAGGGAGTGTCGTTGGCTTCTCGGGAGTCTCTAGAACCAAAGCAAACTGCGTTAGGGCCATGTAGTATGCCGCCTTTTGTTCCTGAAAAGACCTACCTCGTGTTTCCCATACGGCCAGTATTTTCTGCCGCAACGGATCCGATTCAAGCTTGCTATCCATCCGAGGAAGGTCGGCTGGCAACAGAACTTTGTCGTAGCCCAACTGCAGCAAGTCATGAAGCCACCAGAAATACGTCAAGCTGAGAACGCCAGCTAGTTCCTCGGGAGGAACATCGTGAAATTCCTCGCGCAGGATAGGCTTTTTGCACCGGCTTTCGAGGAAAAGTAGCGTTCCCTTGGCCGTGGCCTCGAAAATCTTGGCCCCGTAAAATGTAGTCGGCCAGCCAAAGCGCAATGGGACAGCCAGCGACACCAAGTCGATAGCAAGCGTTGCCACGAGATACAGCACGATTGTGTTGGACGGGCGAAGGTTTCGACGGTGCTCCTGAAAGGAGAGGATGGCGACCGCTACGGACGCGGCCGGTCCACCGTACATGCTCCATTGAGCTGCAAACGAGCCGGAGGTGTCACTGCGCGCCAAGATGAAGGCCGAGCTAAAGCAGGCGACGATGAGCAGCAACGAGGCAGCCTAGGGTTGTAAACAGGACGAATCAAAGCAACAGCGGGTACGTGTATGAACATGCGTGACTCACGATTTTGTAAAAGGCAAGGCGAGAGGTGTTGACCTTGACTGACGCCAAATGCAGTTGTCGCAGCCTCACCGGCAGGACCAGAAGAAAGATCCACGAAGCCAAGCCGGCGGCCAGAAAGAGACCGTCCTGTGCAGACGGGCGGGCCCTCCACGACAACACAGTCTGCAATTCCGCCATGCTGCATCACGCTCAAGAAAACAACAGCAGCCTCTTGTCGAAGAAAGGAGACGAAGATAGCGAAGACAGATGAGATGCATCGCGAGCGGCCCAAGTTGACGCTCTAATTACCCTGTATACCGCCGCGGCAGGGGTCGCATTGCACAATTCCATCCATACCGCTTACGGCTGCGATGTGTGGTGGGGACGGGTGAGTTTCTCGTATTGTGTCTTACGGAGCATAAAACAGGCGCGTTGATACAATGTTGGGTGTCTCCGAGGACAAGTGCCCAGTTTATTAGACCATTACAAAGGAAGGCTTATCTGCACATAACGAATAAAAGGAAGGCGCTTGAATTAATGCAAAGGAAGGATCGATGTTCAGTACGAATTATGACCATCAGTGTTTTGTTACCAGTCAACTCGAGGAAGGAGCGACTGACAGGCTGAATTGTCGACACCACGGGCGGCTTTTGGGGGCCTCGGAGGCGTTTCGGCGCAGCGGTTTTGAAAATGCGCGCCGCATCGCGTGCAGCGCCCACCCACTAGAGCCTCACCCAGGACGCTAAGACAGTTGCGGATAGCGAGGATCCCTGCTCTAAAAGAACCGCTGAAGGGCAGGCCTTCCCGCTTTTGGTGCTATTTGGCAGTGCTCCATAAACAGATACCAGTTTCCGATCTTGGTTCGAGACAGCCAATCTGGCCGCATCGTCTTTTGACAGGTCTTTTGCCGCAACGTGTGAAAACACACGACACACATTCTCTTTTCTAACTGCATACATTCTTTTATCTCTCACAACGGTCCATTGCAGCGGACGAAGACAGGACCACGGAAAGAAGAGTGTGTGGATGCAAGCGACCGAACGGAAAAAGTCTTACTCTCGAACGAGTCTCACTTGACAACGTCGGACGAATCTGGGCCGTAGTCTGCGCTACAGCACGACGTCGGGGTGTCGATCGCAAAACAGGCGACACTGCATTGCGCCTCACTGCGGGAGACGTACACCCGGCGCCGTGGAAGCTGCGCGCGGGCGCCGGGAGCCGACTGTCTAGAGGACAATACACCCCCCGCCTTTTCCTCCTCGTCCCGCCTAGAGTTTGTTTCGTCTCCGGCTGCAACACATCATGTGGCCACTGCAGCCGTCTTGGGTTCCAGGCACCGATCCCTTTTCTTTGTCTCTTCTTCTCGCGCACCTCCTCGTCCTTGCGACGTACATGACCGGCGCCCGCGCCTACGGGCCGCTGTCGGACGAGAGTCTTTTGCGCATACCTGCGGCCGGCGCCGACTTTGACATCCACAATGGCAAGCTGCTGGCGCCCATCCTCATCCCGCGCGTCCCGGGCACGCCCGGTTCCAGGGCCGTGCAACAGCACTTTGTGCGGTTTTTCAAGGAGCAGCTCCCCGAGTGGGAGATTGAGTGGCACAACTCGACGGCCACGACACCGGCCACAGGCGACAACCAGATTCCCTTTGCCAACCTCATCTTTCGGCGCGACCCGCCTTGGGCTGCGCCCGGCGATGTGGCACGGCTGACGCTGGCTGCACACTACGACACATTGTTCAAGCCCGAGGGCTTTATTGGTGCCACGGACAGCGCTGCGCCGTGTGCGATGCTGATGCACGTGGCGCGCAGCCTCGACCAGGCGCTGACGCAAAAGTGGGCGGCCATGAAGGCCTCGGGCGATGCCGGCAGCGGTCTCGAGGAAGAGCGTGGCGTGCAGATTATGCTGCTGGACGGCGAAGAGGCATGGGTCAAGTGGACCGCCACGGACTCGCTCTACGGCTCGAGGTGAGTTTGGATTCCCCATTGTATTCTGCCATTTATGACGTCTGCCTTTGACCGTGCTGTGTCCCATACTAAACCGCTCCCCCCTCCGTACAGAGCACTTGCCGAGTCATGGGAGTCCACTCGGTACGAGGCCCTCTCGACGTTTTCCAACCCCCTTAGTTCCATCAGCCTCTTCGTGCTGCTCGACCTTCTCGGCGCACCAAACCCCACGGTGCCGTCCTACTTCCAGACCACGCACTGGGCATACCAGCGCATGGCCTCCCTCGAGGACCGTCTGCGCAGGCTCAAGGTCCTGGCGTCCGAGGGCACAGGCGCTAAATTTCTGCCGGAGTCGGGCAAGAAGCCTTCGCAGTTTGCCCGCGCCTTTGTCGAGGACGACCACGTTCCGTTTATGGCTCGCGGCGTGGCTATCCTGCACATCATCCCCGCGCCGTTCCCGCCCGTGTGGCACACCATGGCGGATACCCCTGGCAACTTGGACATCCCGACCGTCGACGACTGGGCCATGATCGTGACGGCATTCACCGCAGAGTGGATGGAGTTGGACGGCATGCTGCCCCAGCTTCAGACTCGCCGCACGACAAGGGAGTCTGCCAAGACAGAGTTATGACAATGACAGTGGGGGGAGGCTATCATAGTGTGGCGTTTATATTATGGGCTTCTACTCAAATTACAATAAAGTTGGGCTCTGATCCTGTTTGTCTTTCTGCTTGATTCTGCCATCTGTCGTCTCCAACCGCGTTTGAACATAGCCCTGCGAAATAGGCGTTTTGCAGCGACCACCGCACGTCTAATTGAATAGACCTGTAACTAAAACGTCAGTGTACTGAAATAATGCCATGTCATGGGAATTCAATCAACTTTATAACGTTTTGTAATTCCAAACCGACGTCCACTCTTTTCTTGCTGTGACGTTTGCAGTTCGGCATTTCCGTTATGTGCACGTGAGAATGCACGTGTAGTTTCAGGGTCACGGGCCAGGCGGAGCTCCACCAGAGAGACACGTAACTGCTAAAGCTGTCGCACGACCGCGCAGCACCAAGCTCCAAACACCCTCTGTCGTATAGCGTCCAAACGGCACGGTGTTCTCTTTTCCATCACAGAGGGGTGTCTTTGCTTCTTTTCCGCTACCAGCTATCTGCCATTGACGACGCTGCCAACCCTTCAGCTGGCCCGATCTGTCTTTTTTTCTCAGCCGCCTCTTTCTTTCTTTTCTTCCATTCCTTCTCCCTCAATTGCCCCGAATACAACTCTCGCCACAGGACGCCTCTTCTCGACGACATCTTCGACCGATCTCGAACGTCACCAACCTCCATCCCTCCAAAACACTACTTCGACCTGCTTCGAGCTTGGCATTGCGAACTCGCCCTTTCTTACCTCCCAAACCATACATCAATATGCGGTTTGCGGTCTCATCACTGTTGCTCGCCGCCGTGGGTGTGGCACAGGCGGCGTCGGCCTGGAGCTTCGACGACGGCAGCATCACAATATCGTCCAAGGGCAGCAGCAACAAAGTGACGGAGAAGTAGGTGTTGCTTTTGTTTTTGGCTCTTGTTCTTCGCTCCTCAATGGGCTCATCGTCCATTTCCATCCTGCTGCTCATCTCATTGTTACTAAACGTATCGTCAGGCTCAATGCCAAGGCTTCGCTCGACAAGGCCCTCGTCCTCGGCAGCAACGACGTCGCCAAGATCACACTGACCACCAAGGACAATGGCAAGGAGAAGCGGCCGCATCAGGCGTTTTTGTTGCTGCAAGACCCGGCATCGGGTCTTGAGGCGCCCTTCCCGCTGGCCGTCAAGGAGAGCGGCAAGGGCTCCGTCCAGATCTCCCACAAGGACATTCCCGTGCAGCTCCTGGCGTCTGGCAACCCCATCCACGCCCACCTCGTCATCGGCTCCTTTGGCTCTGCCCAGGCCTATGTCTCGTCGCAGGCGGGCGGCGGCCTCTTTGCGCTCACCCTGCAGCACGACCCCAACGCAGCGGCCCCCTCGTCGCCCGCGCCCGAGCGCTTCTCCAAGAAGGGCGAGATTCACCACATCTTCCGCGCCGACCCGCGCTCGCCGCCCAAGATCATTAGCCTGTTGTTTGTTCTGGCCGTGGCCGCGACGGTGCCCGTGCTGTTTGGCGCGTGGCTGCTGCTCGGCGCCAACCTGGCCCACCTGAGCAAGGCGCTGTCGGCAGCACCCCTTTCGCACGCCGCGTTCTTCGGCTCCATCCTGGCCATGGAGGGCGTCTTCTTCTTGTACTACACGTCATGGAACCTGTTCCAGATGCTGCCGGTAGCCGGTATCGTGGGTGCGGTGGCGGTGCTGAGTGGCACCAAGGCGCTGGGCGAGGTGCAAGCGCGTCGCCTGGCGGGTGAGCGGTAAACGGCGGGGCGGGTGCAGTGTGAAGAGGGGATTAGGGACAGCTGGTGTGTGAGCAGGATGGGATGGTCACATATCGACGAGCTGCGAGCTGCAGGCGATCGATTAACGTGATGATTGCAAAGGTACGAAACTGTATCTTGAAGAAACTAGAGAAGTCAACAAATGTATACTAGGACACTGAAAATAGACGAGTGGAGGAGGAATACAGCAACAAAGGTCTGCGGCACAGTTTACAATTGCAGTATCGGATTTCTGTCTTGTTAGTTCTTGTCGTTCTGCAATACTCTACAGTTTTTTGTCGCTTTTCATATAAAGTGCATCTATACAAAAGTAACAGGTAGTGGTTTTGGGGGGGGAGATTGAATTCAAATTTGTAAAAAAAAAATCCGACAACAAATAATGAAATAATGAAAATAAAATAAAAAACGAAAATTAAAAAATAGGACTCCAAAGAAGCAATACCCGCTCTCTATGATTATAATACAAATACAAAATAAAATGAATCAAAAGACGTCATTTTACAACCGCCGCCCTAGTTTTTCGAGTGTTTTGACTGCTGGTCGTTGCCGTTGGGTGTATACGGCGGCGGGGCGTGAACGTCCGACTCATCGTCAAAGACGCGGCGTTGCTGTGGCTGCGGTGCGTTGCCATCCCGAGCCATGTCACGGCTGTTGTTATTGTTGTTGTTCTGAGACGATATGTCGCGCGTTGCATACGTCGGCGGGCCTTGCGGCGGGGCGTACTGTTGATTGTTGTTGTTGTTGTTGCTGCTGCTGCTATACATCTGCGAGGCCGGCGGGCCTTGCTGGTACTGCATGTTGGTGGTGTTGTTGTACATCATCCGCTGCTGCTGCTGCACGGGCGAGGGCGCGGACGTGACGTAGGCGGTGTCGACAACGTAACCGTGGCGCATGTTACGGCGAACGTCGTGGTAGTCACGGCGCAGTTCGCGGCGGGCCATGCGGCGGTCGTGGCGGCCGAGGTAGGGAGAGCCGACATAGGTGGCGCCGACAGGGACAGGAGTCGTGTAGACGACGTTGCGGTTGTGGCCGCAGTTGGGGTTGTTCATGTTCGCGTTGTTCATGTTGTGATTGTCCATCACGTTGTAGACGATATCACGAATGATGCCCATTTTGAAGAAGGCTTGCTTTGGTTGGTGCGTGGGAGAGTTGTAAGACGGATGAGGTGTCAGATGGATGGGATATCGGCGTGGACAGGTGATGTCACAGTAGATGTTGAGCGTTTGATGGGTTATGAGAGATGTGTGTGAGTGTCTTCTTGAGAAGATGGAGATGTTGGAAGCAAATACCAACTTGAAGATAGACAGGACCGGCTGGCTTTATATCTTACCTGTCCCTTCGAGTTCTACGACAACCACGTTCAATTGTTACCTTCCAGAACCAGGATGGAGTCCATCCATACCTCTCGCCGGGCACAAAATTGATATTGCAGCCAGCCCCAACGACTGACGGCGAGGCCGCCAGCCGAAATCGATCGGCGCAGCTCTGTAATACGCGCTCAGTCTGGATTACGTGGGCGCCAAGGGGCTGTTCATGGGGAGGCAACGGGAACCAAAAAGCTTCTCTGTGAGTCTGCTTCGCAGGTGGGCTGTGCCATGCTTCCCACAGAGTGGTACGGTTAGCCGCATTGGGAGCGATCGTGCGAATTGTGTGGGCTGTGATGGGAATCAAACAGCCTGCCTGGGGAGGCGCTAGCAGGTAAAAGCATGTCGTAAAATTACTTGCTGTTAGTCCCTGAAAAGGGCTGCCTAGAGCCTTGCATTGTTGGCGGAGCGGCAGGATCAAATGGACACTCGGGGTAGGAGCGACCGCCTATTGGCTGTGATGTCGCATTCGCACTCGTTCCAACACGCGGAAAGTGCGACGGTGCAGAGTGGCACTGAAAGGACGCTAAAATGGAACACAGCCACGGAGCCTTTAAATTATTCTCTATTTCGTACACTGCATTCGAGCTTCCAACGAAGACGGTGTTTATTCCTTGCGGCGGATGGACCGATTGGCTTTTTGTTCTTGAGACACAATGAGAACAAGATCGGACTATCTATTTGATGCTGCTCTTTTGCTGGTGCCTGAGCTCTGCCTCTCGCCTAATCGTACTGCTTTGAATTCGTTTTGAGAAAGCTCTGTGCATTGGGCGAAGTTGGGCTATGCCTAACTTCATGTAGATATGCGTCTCAGATTGGCTGAGCATGTCCACCGATGAAACTGTCACAGCCGCTTCGCAGACGAGGCCGACCTTGCTGTCGTCATGAATGCTGACATAATACGACAATACGGCAGACTCGACGTTCGTAGCGCCTTCCTTCTGAAGTATTGTTCCCGCACTCTGATTGGCCAGCTATCAAAACAAACCGTCCACTACGGTCTTTACGTCGTCGACCGCTATCGAGTGTGGCATGTCTACAACACTCTTTTTGATATTATGGAAATGCAAGACCTTTCTTCCTTACGAGCGGTATATCGGAAATACCAGCCTCGTCCGAGCCGTCGCATTGTGTGGCTGAACAGTAGAGAAGAGCCAATTCGTTCGTAGTTGTTTTGTTCTTGCCTTTTTGGGCCAGAATTGTGGCTGCTCCACGCCCCACAATAACACACTGGCCACCAGCACCAAGAGCTCTCCTGCTGTTTTGTTTTGTCTCGACCTCTTCTCCCGGTTCTTGCAGCACGACACGTCTTTCCCACGCAAAGAAACGGCCTCACCGCGACGAGGACCTCGACACACTCCCGGACAGCATCGTGCCATTCTGGAGGTTTGAGGACGCGTCGCATCATTGCATCTGGGCAAACATTGTTTTCTTGTTCCCTTTATTCTTTATGACTTGATCTCACGGCCGCTTTGTTTACTTTTATTTCTTCACCCCAAAAGTCGCGTTGATCAGCGTGTTTCTTCTAACTCACCGATTGACTTCACACGCCCTCCCACAACTACACATATACACACTCCTATCCTGCAATGGATTACCGGAATGTCCAGACGGCCAATCGCGCCGCCCGGCCTTCCGTCGCGCAGGACAAGTACCACCGGCCACGCCACCAGCACCAAGAGTCGGCACGTAACGCGCCCGGCTTGTTGCACTACGACTCCGACCGCTCCACGACACTCGACAGTCTCAAGGACCTTATGGCCTTCAGCCAGCGCACCAGCCGCGCCCGCCACGACGACATCTTGCTCGCCGCCAAGCACGCGCGCGCCCAGATGCCCGCACAGTTTCGCGAACCGCCCTCGTCCACAGGCTCGCACGGCACCATCACAAACAGCTCCATCCATTTTGGTGACAACAACGACAACAACAACGACCTCACTTCCGACTCTACTCCCTCCTCTACCTTCTCGGCCGGCCCCGACGCCGAGTCCACGCGTGCTTCTATGCACTACCAGCGCGGGAGCCATCGCGTGCGCAAATCTACTGGCCGCTTTGGCAACGGCGGCGAGGAGAAGCGGACAGCCACCGACATCCTGAGTGGTGTCGTTAACACGTCGGCCCTGTTCCGTACCTTTAAGGAGTGGCGGCCCGAAGATGTGACCGATACGGGTATCTTTGAGGACGCCGACGCAGGTGCACAAAACGACAACCAGGTCAACGTGGACGCGGATTCCACTACCAACTTTGGTGTCATCGACAACCTGGTGCACATTGACAAGGAGAACTGCGGCCCCCTCCCATCCACCCAGAACAATAAGCAGAAAAACGGTCGCATGGCCGACGCGCCAACCGGGCACAACCGCCCAGTTCTGCAAGCTACGGTGCAAAACGAGTCTCAGACGTCGTTCGTCATGACGGCAGCGGCTACCAAGAAGCCAAAGCCCTCTCCCCTGCGGCATGGCGCCGTGTCTCGTGCTGCAGCATCTGCTCCTGCACCTGCGCCGGCGTTGAAGAAATCGGTCACGACAGGTTCGCTGAAGGAGACGAACACCAAGAGGAAACACCAATCTGCTGTGGTTTTTGAGAACCCTCCGCTCCTGGACGACGAGCTGTCGTCGCCTGAGACGTCTGCCGGTTCACGCGAGGATATCGACCTGGGTATCCGGACAGCCGTTACAACCGCCACGACTCATGTACCGCAGAGGACGAGCTCGGCGCCACCTGCACCCGCAGCTCATGCCGTGATCCTGGCTCGGTCCGACAGCAACGACGGCGTTACTAACCAGTCGTTCATCGTTCCGTCCAAATCGTTCCCTCTCCTGCACAACCTCGTCACCGGCACTCTGCGCTTCACCCCTGGTAACTACTTCTATACCCAATCCGTTGACGCCCAGCAGAAGTACCAGCTGCCAGCTGGTCGCATCCCCGAAGACGAGAAGGAGATTTTCGTGGATATTGAAACCATCCGCGAGGAGGTGAAGCGCCTGCAAGAGCACGACGAGATGCTCCAGAATGAGATTGTCCAAGGCGAAATCAAGTACAAGTCGCTTCTTGATCGTTTCTATAGCCTTGCCCACAAGTCCGCGGCAGATGACTTTGCGCCAGACCTTGATAACCCTGTCAGAGAAAGCGGCGAGGAGAACCAATGTGAGTAGCTGTCTGAGTCTGCGTCGTTCATTCTTCGCCCGTGTACTAATTGCTGTAGTATTGCAAAATAAGATTCTTGAGCTCGAGACGGATATTGACGTTATCCATACCCAGTACGAAAAGCAGGCTCAAATTTCGACCAACCTGGCATCCGAGCGCGATGCGGCCGTGAGCCGCGCCAATGCCGCTGCTGAGAAAGCCAGGAAACTCTCGGCTGACTTGGAGGCTCTTCGCGAGCGGATGGCCGCGTCCGCACAGCGTCCCAACCAGGAGGCGCAGCGGCGTATCCAGCAGCTGGAGCAGATGGTGGCTGAGCGCGAGCGGGTGATCAAGGCACTCAAGGACGAACGCGACGCCGCCAACAGCAGCCAACGCGAAGAGCAGCGTCTCCACAAGGAGCGCATCGCACGCATGGACGCCGAAAAACGGATGCTCAGTGGCGACCACGCCAAGTGCAGCGACGAAAAGTATGCACTCACAACCGCCAAGGACGCTTTGGCACAGAAGAACACGGCGCTCAAGGAGAAGCTACACGCGGTGCGGCAGCAGTGCAAGGACCGCGAGGCCACAGTGCATGCTGTTGTCGAGCGCCAGCGGAGCCAGATCACGAAGTTGCAGGTGCTTCTGCGCGAGAAGGAGAAGAGCGTTCACCAGCTCGACGAGAACTTCCGCAAGCTGCGCGAGTCGTGGTCGTCCAAGGATGAGACGCTGATGCGCATGACAGAGGTTCTGGGCCAATGGCCTGGCGGTCTGCCCCAGGAGCACCGGGGCACGCTGCAGCCTGTGGAGACGACCCAAGATCTGGAGCACGATGGCCGTGATGAGCACGAGTTTGACGTGTACGTAGACGATTTCCAGTCTGAGCAAGATGACCAAGAGCGGCCCGACGACAACCAGAACGTGGCCGACCTGGCCCAGAGTGATGGTGCCTCGGACTCTGGCCAATCTGCGGTCGACCACTCAATGGATGAGAACATGACGTCGGCGTTTATCATTCCCGATCTAGACTTCCAGACGGAGAACGTGGAGGTGGAGCAGGGCGAGAACGGCGAAGACGCGGAGCACGGCGAGATACATGACCAGGAGCTGGAGCGCGAGCTGGCACAGGTCCACGCCGCCGCGCGGGTTGCAGAGGCCAAGGCTAAAGCGAGCCATTCCAAGACCAGCAAGACCAGCAAGCCCAGCCAGCAAAAGTCTGTTTCCTTCCAGGCGACCAACCACACTCTGCGCCACACGACCACGTCAACGTCCGCGGCATCGACGACGGCCATCTGCAAGCACAACCGCGTCAACTGTGTCGTGTGCTGCCAAAATGCCGGCCCAGTTGGAGAGAACGAAAAGGTAACCGTGGCCGTACCGCGGCCGATCCAACCGGGCCAGCCGACCTCGTCGAACTCCGCCGGCCGCCGCAACGACATTCTGCCCGACCCGTCCATGGATCCTGGCAGCGCGCTGGCGTACGTCATGAAGCTGCTGGACGACGAACGCCGCCACCTGTGGATGCAGATCTTGGCCATGCGCAAGAGCGGCGAGACGGAGGAGGCGCTCAACGACAAGCAGAGGCCACGTCGCGTGCTGCGCGAGGCCGAGGAGCTGTGGAACGCCTACGTCCTCAAGGTGGAACAGCTCAACCGGCTGGACGATGTGCTTGCAGGCCAGCGCGCCGCAGGCCAGGATATGACGCGCGAGGAAATCGACGTGACGATTACGCGGATTTTAGAGGTGTAGGGAAACGTGGAGGCGGGAGTTGGTGAACGGGAGTGAATGGTTATTTTTCTTGGTGTTTTGTTTTCGAATTCTCTTTGGTTGCGCTTTGCTTGTCGTCTTTTTTCATGTTTTTCAGCTCCTTTTCGCTTTCTGCCTCGGCTCTTCATTTTGGGTGTTTCGCATAGCAAACGAGCTCACGATGGCGACAGTCTGGTTGCACAATACGGCGTTGTCTTCTTTTTGAAAGCATTACTCTTTTTGTTTCATTGGTTCGCCTGCTTATCTGCTCCCTATCGTTATTATATGACTTGTATTATTGAGGACGTTCCCTTTGGATCCCTCTCCACAACTGACTACTTGGATATTTGCACCATTGGACTCTGTTTTGACTCCGTCGCCGTCCTGACCCGACCTTAACTCCGCCCACGAACGAGAACCACCAATCGCCGGGCCAGACGCCGGCACGGCCGCCCCAGCGACCACAGCGAGCCCCACGCACCCAAGATCGCCGTCGTGCCCGTGCACAGAATCAGCGGCGCGTACTCGCCCACGACAACGCTCGTTTTGGAGGGGCCACCGGCCGAACCGGCCGCCAGCAGTGCGCCGCTGATGGGTCCGCTGAGGACAAACCCCAGGCCGCGGCCGCCCATGAGCATGCCAAAGACGAGGCCCGTGTTGGCCGTCTCGTCGCGCCGCTTCATGTCGTGCAGCACGGCCGACCAGGTCGACGAGAAGCCGCCGGCGAAAAATCCGTAGGCCAGCGCAAACGCAATCAGAAGGGCCAGCGGGTTGCCGTGGACGCTGGCCAGGTCGCTGACATACCAAAGAGCAAAGACGGACACGGCGGAGCCGGCCGACGAGATGAGCACGACAGTGGTGGCGGGCATCCGGTCGCCGAGCATGCCCATGACCATGGTGCCCGGGACGGAGGCGACGGAAAAGAGTGCGAGAAGGAGCGGCCCCGCGTAGGTGGCGAGCGTGGTGGACTGCTCGAGGCCGAGCGCGACGGCATAGGCGGAGAGGTAAGTGTTGGGCATCTGGTAGCCGAGGGACTGGATCATGTTGCCGACCATGAGCATCCAAAAGAGGGGCCGGCGGAAGAAGACCAGCGAGGAGGCAAGGGTGGTGGTGGTGCTGGTGGTGGGGGCGCCGACGGCAGACGGCCGGTGGGAGCCGGTACTCTCGTCGTCGTTGCTGTGGTCGTTGGCACCGTCTCCGTTGTGCTCGTTCTCATCGTCCCTGCCGATCGCGTCCGCAGACGAAACACCTTCCGGAACGCGTGGGCGCAGGAACAGCAGCACAGGCGCTGCCATGACCGCCGACGCCACGGCCCAGCCCCGCAGCGTCGTCTCGACGCCGTACCGCTCGAGAAGCACGGCCACCAGGAGCGGCATGCCCCCGCCCACGGTGCTCTTGGCCGCCCACATGACGCCGTATGCAAACCCTTTGCGCTCAAGGAACCAGTCGTCCAGGCTCAGCGATGCGGCGCCAAACAGCAGCGCACAGCCCAGCGCATACAGCACACCCTGTGTGGCGATGAGCGCGGCCGCCGAGGAGCTCGCGCTGGCGCCGGGCGCGGACGAACCAGCGATGCTGGCGACGGACACGACGAGACCCAGCGGCCCGCACCAGGGCCGGAGACGGGGGAAACGCGTCAGGGCGGCCATGACGACGGGGACGGCGAGGTACATGACGCCCGTCTGGGAGGTGCCGATGGAGGTGACGCTGCCGGGGGAGGCGTCGACGAGGCTGTGGGTGGCATAGTACTGACGGAAGACGCCAAACGAGAGGGAGTAGCCTGGGAGGTCAGCGGAGGGAAACTAAAAAGAAAGAAGACGAGACCCCCCGGGGGGGGGGGGGGAGCTCACCCCATATGGGCGCCTGTGCCAGCGAGCACGCGGCCAGCACGAGATAGGCGCCCCGGCCCCGGTCGGGCGGCGGCACGGTGCGGCGGCCGTAGGTGACGTGGGCCGGTGACGACGGCGAGGGCGAAGCGGCATTGTTGGCGTCACCGTCATCGCGGCCTCGTGACGCAGCAGGCCGTACGTTGCGGTAGCTCAAGCGGTGGACCACGGCGCTGCTCTTTTGGCGGATGGACCGAAACAAAGGCGCAGTGTGAGCGCCGCCCAGCCTGCTGGTGGCGGCCGGCTCGGGCGAGCGAATGTTGTCGAGCTCAATGTTCATTGTGGTCCGTTAACGTGAAGGGTCCCGTTGTTTCGCATACGCTTTGGGCGCGCATTGGACGGATGGTGACGAGAAGATGGACTTGCGTTTTGCAATCATGAATTCATCAATGGCCCTTGAATCATGGACGTGACTCTTTCGTAGTCGGCAAGAAGTCCGGACGATGTGCGGCCTTCTTCTTTCTGTCTCCTCTTTTTCTAGGTTGCATGGCTGATACACGCCAGTTTCCGGTTCTCTTTTTAGGGCTGTTTTAGTGCATGGCGGAGTGTTGGCAAACAACCAAAATCATGACAACTGCGACGTAATACCTCCGACATCGCCAATAACCCCGGCGTGCAGATCGTCCGTCTTAAATCACTCACGAGTGCGAACGAGAACACATATTGTTTAAGTACATATTTACAAAGTTGAATTGTGACTGGTCAGGTGCACGAATGCGTGGTATCTAGATATCTTTTGTGTCAGCGAGTGAAAATATGGCTGTGTGCAAATGAAGAAGGCGATAATTAGAGATGAGAAACACGACGAGATGAAATCAAATCGATCCGCTTTTTGTTTGTACTTTGTACTGTGATGCCAAATGTTGGCTTTCTGTAGCGTAATTGACGCTGCTATCCAAATGAAAGAAATCATGACCAAAAAGAGTGAACCTCCGAGATAATTGATAGGATCCAATGAAAAGATTAATAGATACTTTGATGGCCAAAGACCAGCCATGGCCAATTTAAGTCGCAATGAAATACACGAGAAGGAAATGAAAACAAAGAGAGACAAGAATGCAAAGCCAGACGCAAAAAAAAAAAAGGTGAACAGAAATGTCTATCTCGGCTCGTCTAGAGCCATGGCGTAGACGTTGTCCTTCTCCCACTGCAGGTAGTCACCCAAGTCGTGGCTCAGGTTGTAGCCCATGGGTGCCACGTACTCTTTGCCGTTGGCACCGCGCGTCATGATAAGGTCGGCCATGGGGCTCTGCGGCATGCTCTCGTAGCTGGCGACGCTCGCATAACTGGCGCGGACGTCCTGGACGGCGTGCATGGGGTGGAGGTTGTGGATGGTTCGCGGCTGAGTAGGTGTGATGTCGTCGTCAATATGAACTGCAGGGTTGTGTCGAGTCGTGCTGCTATTGCGGCTCATTGCGTATGCGCCGTCGTCCGTACTGTTGTTTCGGCTCATGGGGAACGGTAGGGCCTGGTTGGCCGTCTGCGCAGTGAGGCCCAAGCCGACCGTGTTGACGGTGCTGCTGGAGACACTGGCGACCGCCGCGACATCTCTGTTGATGCTGCTACCGCCACTGCTGTAGATCGATGTCGTCGTACCGATACTTGTGTCCGTTGCAGTGCGGCTGTGTGTAAGACCACGGACGCTCGTGTTGGTGTTGACTGCAACGCCGGCGGCGACGCTGCTGATGGATGTCCACTGTGACCCAGGCTTATGACGCTGGGTGTCTTGGGTCATCGTGGCAGGTGCTGTCGCTACTTCAGATGGTGGTGCAACAGGACGAACCCACTCGGTGTCCTCTTCGGCATTTGTCAGGAGCCTTTCGGTGGGAATGTCGAGCGACCAGAACCAGTCGGCCAGTCGGTCAGCCTCGTCGGCCGCGGCGGCCGACATTTGGCCGTAATCGATACTTTCGTTGCAATACTCACCCGCACCACCCAATATGGCCATCTGAAAGGCGGTCCAGTCCAAAGTTTCCTCGACGGTGGCAATGTTGGGGTGGTGATGGCGGTGAAGATGTAAGTTGCGGTCGTACGAGCTGCGGCTGTCTGAACGCACGTCGAGAAGATCTAAACGATTTAAGCGGATGGGACCGTGGCGGTAGGTGGGCATGACGAGCGAGAAGGGCGTGGCCGACAAGTAAACATAGGCTGTGTCGTCGCGGTGCTGGGATATGGTCGATGCGGCAGCACCTGCAACGGCTGTCATGGATGTTGCTGACGACGAGGTGGATAGTGAAGATAACGACAAAGGAGGAACGAGCGAGGTAGGGGACGACAGGAAAAAGGACGATTTGGGTGTTTTGGCCAAGGACTTGTGTGATGTGGACCGGTTTGCACGACGCCGACGCCTCTGGCGGTCTACGTCGGTCACGGTCACTTGCGGAATAGGCTGTGTCGGCGGCGGCTCGTTCGACGGCGGCAGCGAAGCAGCGTCAGGCTTGGGAGTCTGTGCCACCTTCCTGATAAAGCTCTGAAACCGCATTGGGTTCTTTGTGGGCGGCGAGGGAAAGGGGCCAATTTCGTCGAGAGGCGACTTGGCTGGCTTGGGCACGACGTCGGAAACGTCCTTAAGCAACTCAGACTCGGGCTCTGATTCAATATTTTTGGCAGCAGCCTCCTTTTCCCGGCTTTCCTGCGCTTCTCTTTCTCGCCTCCGACGTTCCTTGTGCTGAGCCACGGACGAGGCGAAGTAGGCCTCTTCCTCCTCGACGGGAAGCAGGATGGACTCGCGGACGCCGGCGGCGCCAATGCGGCTCGGCAGATCTTCCATGTGGAACGGCTCAATTGGTGTGGTGCTGCCATCGGGTTCGTCGCGAGATGCACTCAGGTACACGGTTCGGGTCTTGGTGTTGCCGTCGTTGGTCTTATCACGGACCACAGTCAAGTGGCCTGGCTCGGCCACCCGAGGAGTCTTCTCTTCGTCTTGATCGCCTTCTTCATCTTCTTCTCCGCAAGCAGGGCCCTCACCTCCTCGCCACACCATCTGCGTAGCGATGTGCGGTGGCATTGGAAGAGACTTTGACGGGTACGACTCGGTCGGCGGTGACACGGGCATGGAGACAGTTGGTTCGATGGGGTGGCCATGTGCATCAACTGGCATGTCGTCTGGCTCGAGGGGGCTCACCTGGAGCTCTTCTTCGTCGCACTCCAACAATGTCTCGAGTGGGCCAGTCGTGGTTGTGTCGGCAGAGTCACACTGAGACTGAGACTGAGATTGAGACTGCGGGTGTGGCCGCTGCAGCTCCTTGATGAGCGCTCGCTCGGCGTCGGCCAACTCTTGCTGCTGCTTTTCATTTTCGATTGCCCGCCGCTCTTGTTCGTCCTGCGCCTCCTGCATCTGCTGTGCCTTTTTCTTTTCGTCGGCCTCGACCTGCTGCTTCTGGGCCAGGGCTCGGCTCGCACGGATAGCTTGCAGCTTCTCAAAGGGGAGCGTCTCGGTGACTTCCATGCGGCTAAACAGGCGCCCATGGAAAAGTTCTGTGACATTGTCCGGTAGTGTCCAGCGAGAACTGCCACTACCGTTGTTGCCACCGCTGTTGGTGCTGGTGCTGCTGGCATTGTTATTTGTGCTGTTCTTGCTGTTCTTGCTGTCCTTGCTGTTCTTGCTGTTGCTTGTGCCGTCGCCATCAACGTCCATTTGGCTTTTGCCATCTACGAACGGCTGTCCGTTTTTGTTGGACGTCGAAGCACAAGAAACAGCGGCAGAAGATGCAGCAGCTGCCCGATCACGCTTGACGGCGGCCTCTTTGGAGCGTTTCCGCTTGATGCGCAGGGCAGCGTCGGGCAGGCCCTTGTTCAACCGCAGAGGCAAGAAGCGCGTCTGCCTTTTTGGCGAGGGCGGCGATGCAGAGGCGGGCAAAGCACTAGAGGTTCCAGACGTCCGCGATGCCACGCTTGTCAGCGAAGGCCGTGGTGTTGGCGACGGCGATGGGCTCATCATGCGACGCGAGATTGTGGCCTCGGACGGGACGACGGACGGGACAGCCGGGGGCGAAGGTGTCGGTGCCATGCGCGGCTGGGTGAATGTGGGTGTTGTGCACACATTGCGCACAACGGGAGAATCGGTCGTGGCGCTGGCATCGGCACTGACATTGGTGTCGCTGTCGATGGCCAGCCGGGACGACGACAGTTGCATGCTGGCAGACTGCGTAGACGACTCGGTCGCTGGTGGGCGACGCAAGAGGGCGGCCTCTTCAGGCGGGATGGAAAGCGCCTGCAGCAGATCAAGACACGAGCTAGCGTCGGAGCCGTAGTCAGAGTCGGAGTCGGACTTGACGTTGTTGTTGTTGTTGTCGGAGGAGGCGGAGGTGTTGTCGTTTGTGCTGCCAACGAGACTGGTCTGACTGCGGTCGAGTGCAATTCCGCTGTCCTTTTTGCAGTCAATGTCGCCGGACCGGCCACGGTAGAGAGGATGAACGGCAGGGTCTGTTTTTGTCGAAACGACAACAGTCTTATCCGGTGATGCTGCTGAGGACGACAATGAGGCCTTCTCAGTCTGTGGCTTCCATGAGCCGTGACTTGCGACGAACGAGGATACACGAGGCGGCGGTGGAGGTGGGAGTGCCTTGGTCAAGAGATTGGGTGCATGAGCGGACAGGGAGGTTCGAGACGAGACGATCGAGGCGAGAGAGACGGTGGTATCGAGAGTCAGAGGGTGCACATTTGGCCGTGACGATGATGCTTTGACTGTCGAAGTGGAAGAGAACGGCTGTGCATTGCGATGCTGGTCACGGCGCCAGGCAGCGCGGGCCACATCCGCACCGGCCTTCTTTTGTTTGTCCCCTTTGCCATCTTTGTCCGGGTGCGACTGCTGGTCCGGTTGCTTCTTTGCTGTTGTTTGCGAGGTGTGTGTTGCTTGGCTGTGTTTTGGCTGGGAGTGGCGTTTGTCGCTTTCTGGCTGGATTTGGCCTTTGCTGTTTCCGGCGGCCAGCTGCGCCTGCCCTGTGGGCGGGGCTGCGACTGCCTCGTGTTGTTGTTGTTTTTGTTTTGCTGCCCCTTTGTCGCTCCTGCCGGATTTTCTTTGTTGGAAAAGGCTGTCGTGCAAGTGCTGTTGGCTCTTGCCGCTTTTGGACCCAAGGCTCCCTCGTCTCCCTTGGCTGTCCACGCGGCGGTGCTGGCTCTTTCTTCTTTTGTCAACGCCGTTGTTTCGGCCGCTTAGACCGTTTCGATCGCTTTTGTCTCCTTTGTCAACTCTCTCCGTCTTTGCGATTCTCTCTGTGTTGCTGTGCTTGTCGCCACCGGCCTTGTCGTGTGTATCGGGTGCGAGCACGCGCTTTTCCC